GTTACACATAAGAATAAATGTGATTATATAGTGTACACTTCCCCTTTAAGTAACAGATTAATGCAAGATAAGAGGGTATATAATAAGTATAGAACTTTTCTTCGAATTCGTTGTTTCTCTGCTCCCATGACATATTTTCGTTCAATACAAAACATCCAAAATGCACTGGTATGACGTTCAATATATATATTTATTATTACAACTGTTCTATTTGGGACCTATTTCCGACACAAAGTGTTTGTTTCATTTGAATAAGATCATGTTAATTTTCTGGAGCGAGTGAGTGAATTTACTTTTACACCACACTCCGCAATATTCCAGCTATATGGCGGCGGTCTGTAAATAATCGAGTCTGGACCAGACAACCCAGTGATCAACATCATGAGCATCGATCTACACATTTGGGATACGATGATATGTATCAACCATGTCAGCGAGCCTGACCACCCGACCCCGTTAGTCGCCTCTTACGACAAGCATGGGTTGAAGATCAATTGATGTTATAAAACAGGGATATTGCGAACTGACGGAAATAAACCCAAGAGAACTGGAAGCGAGCCGTCCACTTGGCTAATGAGTTCAAATTAACGCAAACATTCCAATGGCTCTCAGGCGTTCATCACGTTAAAGACGCACCCCTAACCCTACCCTACCAAGTCTGTTTCCAGCCGCTCTTACAGTAAATGGTCATATCCCATGCTTCTATTAGCCACCAACCAATAAGTTGGACGTTGATACTGCGTTCAACCATGGGTTTACCGGGTCCAGACTCGATTATGTACAGGCCGTGGCGAGATTAGTGGAAAATGTGTTGATTGTGTACGCGTCACTAATGAATTTCAAATTGTCTCACTTGAAAACGACATAAGAATCTCTACCCAAACGTCTTTTCATGATAGAAAAAAGAAGTTATCGTCCCGCAAAATATCTTGCCTATACTGTTACCAACCAACTTCTAAATGATTGTCAGACAATTCGGGCGACATTAATGGCATTTAGGTCGTTTGTCGTTTAACGCCGCACTCAGCAATAAAATAATTATAGAATGGTTTCTGTCAGTTATAATGTCATCAGTCAACAATTGTAATTGAATATTTTACTAGCCGGAGAACGCTTACAGTGATTGACTTTACCTGTATATAACCGATATCTATAAGAATTTTAGGTAGTTATTCTTAATAATTTTATAATCCTTCACCAAATCTTGCCATCGTGGTGTCAAGTCTGAATGGGTTGTGATATATTTTTCGCATACATGAATAAATTATAGACAAGGATAAACTAGTTTTATATTAACGCGATGATCTGTCAAATTACCAATTGGTGCTTAGAAACTTGGAGAGTCAGATGGGGTATATCTGTTTATTTCAATCGAGCCCGCAACATATGTTGTCGGGTGGCGCTTACAACGTATACAATACAAGAGGTGACAATTGTATTGTACATGCATGTTTCCTCATAAATGATTCCAAGGCTGAAGCCACATATTATTATCGGACTTCTGGCTTATATCATGCGCCGTCTTCGAGCTCGGACGTTCAAAGTGCCGGGGTTATCTTATCAGTCAACACACGGACAAGCTATATATCAATCCAGACTGTCATCGAAATGACGGTCAGTATATACAGTCAGCACGGCAAACACGGTCACAGGACGCTGAACATGTCAACTTCATCTTCGCTCCGCCATCCAAAGCATAAACTGACAGTCTCTGAACATTTTCCTTCTGCACAGGCCTTATAGCAATGCGTATAAAACCTTAATGATGCAAGTCTAAAATTCTTCAGGTTCTGAATATCCCATTTCACTGTGGCTCCTTTTCAGTTTAAATGGCGTTATTTGTTACTATTAAAAATGATACAGGAAAAATACTACCTCTGTATAAAATAAACAATGGAGGCGAATGGAGGTGCCTTATAGCGGCCATATACTATGACATTTGATTATCAGTATTATTTAATTTCATGTCACGTTTACTTTATCTTAAAAATATATCTTCAAATTCTTTGTGAGTGAGTATGGTATTAGGCCGTTTTTAGCAATATTCTAGCAATAACACGACGGGCACACCAGGGGTTTCTCACAATGTACCCATGTGTGGAATCGATCCTTCGGCGTGACGGGCGAACACTTTAACCACTAGGCTACGCCTCGAATTCTTTGTGATTATTAATATGAAGTGGCATGGGGATGTTTTCCTCTTTCTTCGACACGTACATGTGTACTATTAACATACATGTATTTGCATAATTGCCTTTGCCTAACGGATTTGCTGAAATGTTTGAAGTTAGGCAGAACATCGTACAATGGATACGCGATCCTGTTTCATTTCGAGTTTTTAAAAAAAATTATTACAATTACGATTACATCCAGAGAGTATTGTGTTCCGAGCTGTTGCCAGCGTTTGTGCACAAGTGGAGGATGTTGTAAGGTAAAAATGCATCCCTCAAATATTAGAAATTGTATTCAAATCATGGATTCAAACTGACGGCTGTCGTCTCGATAGCTCGATGCTGTGTGGGGTTTTGGGTAAAGTGATGCCAGATTTAGAAACAAAGGTGTCCGAAAGCATCGGAGTTAAAGGCAAATCGATACAGAAAATCGAAAATCGATGGAAGGTGATTCGACTGATTCCCCTATGGGGAAATTTACCGATAACGACAAAAACACGAGATTATATAGTCTTATATGTGATCAAAATTATCCTTCGTGATAATTCGAACACGTTCAAAAGAGCTTCTCAAGATCCGCTTGCTTTGCGGTCTTCAGATGGATTGAATCGGATCGCTCCTGTCTCCCATTCTATGATGAATACATCCTGTGCAGTTGTTTGGTTTATTGAGATTGTGATTGTTTGGTTTGTTGTTTAACGCCGCACTCAGCAATATGGCGGCAGTCTGTAAATAATCGAGTCTGGACCAGACAATCCAGTGAACAGCATCAGGAGCATCGATCTATGCAATTATGATACGGTGACGGTTTATTTAGAGATGGGCCGAGGTTAAACCACTTGTAACGTTTAGGTGTGTGTATCAAACTTGGTGCTACTTTAACTCTTGCATATGTGTGCGACGACACACGACTTGTATGTAAGTATATAATTGGGAAGTACAGTCCTCGGACCCAATTTTCCTACTCTTAGAGAAACTGTCACGCATTCCTGGGACCCAATTTTCCTGGACATAGAGAAACTGTCACGCATTCCTCGGACCCAATATATTCCTGGACTAAGAGAACCTGTCACGCAATTCCTCGGACCCATTGTTCCTGGACATAGAGAAACTGTCACGCATTCCTCGGACCCAATGTTCCTGGACATAGAGAAACTGTCACGCATTCCTCGGACCCAATATATTCCTGGACTAAGAGAACCTGTCAGCAATTCCTCGGACCCATTGTTCCTGGACATAGAGAAACTGTCACGCATTCCTCGGACCCAATATGTTCATGGACTTAGAGAACTTGTCACGGCCATACCTGTTGCCTTCAACTCAACAGGGCGACATTGAGCGACCAATACCTATAATTAAGGTTCTCCGGAAGAGGCTCTAGTTAAAACATGGGGTCCGAGTTTGACTTTGCTAGGAGCATCCATGGTTGTCAGTCTTTCTTATTATATGCCAGTTTCTGTTTGACCGGCATTTTAGAAGTTGGCGAGTAACAAGAAAGGTATAAACATCTATATCGAAACGTCACATCATACTAGAATAAATTAAAAAGGACACAGATCATTACAGGAGCGTAGGAACTGTTTTCAGAGGGGAGGAGGGGAGGGCTAATTTATGAAAAGTATTGAAAATCAAAATGAAATTGTAGTTATGGGAAGGTAGATATAGTTTCGTCTTGAAAAAAGCCCCCCGTTCCTACGCCCCTGCATTATACCAATACCATTTAAAATAACCTTTTTTCAATTAATCAAATGTTTCTATACACCAAATTGCATTTACCTCCTCCAAATAGATCGTGAAAACATGCTAAAAAGAAGTACATTTGTCATGTATCAATCACATGAACCATGTTTAATATTCATACCAAATATGTCGTTCCTTTTAATGGCAAAAGGGGCGGTGGGGTAGCCTAGTGGTTAAAGCGTTGGCTCGTCACGCCGAAGACCCGGGTTCGATTCCCCACATGGGCACAATGTGTTAAGCCCATTTCTGGTGTCCCCCGCCGTGATATTGCTGGAATATTGCTAAAAGCGGCGTAAAACTAAACTCAGTCAGTCAGTTTAATGGCAAAGGACCACCTCCGTGGTGTAGTGGTGAGAGCGTCCGCCCGGAGAGTGGAAGGTCGCGGGTTCGATCCCCGGCCGCATCATACCAAAAGACGTTAAAATATGGTACTTAATTGTTGGTCCCTGTCTGGCGCTCGGCATTATAGGTACATCAAGGACTGGTCGGCTCGGAGTCAGTATAAATGTGTCTGAGTAAGGTATTCATGCTTCACTGCGGCATGGTATCTCAGTGGGCTAGCACTATAAAACCAGCTGAAGTCTGGGCTAGTACAAGCAGCCGCACATACACATACACACGCATGCACGTCGTCATATGAGCGAAATATCTTTAATGGCAAGGTTTAAATATATATGAGTGCAGAACTATTAAGAACGCCCGCGTTTTGGTAAAACGAAAAATACGTTTTGAATTACTATTTGGAAAAGCTGATCTGGATCCTTTCATCTGAAATGTTATATAAACATGTGTATATGTACAGCCTTATAATCAGTGAACCCAGAGACCACATATGGTCTCTGGTAAACCAAAAGCACTTTTTGTCCATGTTAAATTTATTCATATCTCCATAATTGACTTTTTTAATATGATCTTAAATATTTTGAAAGTGATATGCTGCCTCGATTAGGGGAAGAGTCCCTGCTGAAGCCTATGTGTCCAATCTGTACGAAATGCCGTGACCTTAGCCACGTCGGATTTAGGTTCACTAAATGAGACCTCCCTAACAACTCGGATATCCTCGAACCAACTGCTTGCGTTTTCACGGAATCCAATCACATGTTGTGATTTGGTCACGTGGCCAGTCAAGCGGGAGTTTGCAAAGCCCAGAAGCCAACGTTTTCAAAGTCATATTATTCATGTTATTATAATGTCCAGTCTTGCAGAGTCCATTTTAGAAACCCAAAATAATTATGAACAAAGGTAATGTTACGTTTTAAATCTTTCTTCTTATTCATTTGTTTGTAATGATCTCTTGAGCTGAATCTGCGCCTTCCAAAATGGGGCGTCAGCTCGACTCATGTTTACATCGACAATAACAATAGACAGTGTGTTTTGATGTCTCGTATACACCATACAGGTCTCATCAGTCTAATTCGTCCACGTACCATTGTAAGAGTTGCATATCCGTGCACTTCACCTTCAGACATGTTCACCTATTTGTAAACAAAATTGACCTATTGACTGTCATTCAATTTGAAGTTTCACCCTCAAGCCTATGTCGAAATATCTTTGAATGCTATTGTTGTCAAATTTAACTCACAGTAGTTTCTAATGCCATTTTGTGGTGTTGTGCAAGCCATAGAATTTCAATGAAAGTAAAGTGAGGTTTTAATTATATGTTTGATATTGACCGTTTAATTTGCATGTTATTTTGCTCTCTTAGGCATATTGTAAGACATGCATTGTGGCAGTAGACCCATTGCAGTGGGTCCAAGCAAACCATCTACCTAATATATAGCCACAGACTTTCAAGAGAATAGTGTATAGGTACCAGGTTGGGGATAAGAACAACCCTGGGTATTATCTGTATACTGATGCTGTATGAGCCATGGTCACTGTAATACATAGCAGCACAACCATTATTTACAGACTGACAAGCATATGTAGCTGGAATAATGCAGAGTGTTGTGTTCAACAACAAACGCATCACTTAAGTGGTGATTTCCGTTTACTTTTGAAGTAGATTTTTCAGAAAATATTTTTTGGTTCAAAGTAACCTTGGGAATTGGTTGAGATCTCATAACTGATGTTTGGTTCATAACTAACGATCGAGCAATCATTGAAAAAAAATCATTTTTCACTTTCCTATTCAGGTTTATATTGCAAATAAGTGTAAAGAAAAAACATGTTATTTGTTGTTGTTTTTTGTTATATTTAGAATCTGCAAAAGTTGCATTTAAATTTCACATCCAATGTAAATTTATGCAACTTGCTACTTTAAAGTGATGGCTAATATTTCATGAACATAAACTTACCAGAGTCTTCAAGAAATATTCAGTCAAGTGTTTCAAAAACTAAAATCATTTGTATTCAATTGTGAGAAAATGGGATCTATTGCTTGGTTGTTTGGTCATTGCGACCAATCTTCAATTATTTCAATTTATCGGAACACCACAAGTTCAAAGTGAAGATTTTGTATTGAATGACAACAAGGATAACAAAATACCACAGCCAAAGCATATATATATTTCAAAATGAAACATTGTAAACCAAGTAGGGTATGAGACAGTCCAACTGAGGTATTATTCAGTTTGCTTATAATTATTCAAAGGCCTGTATTTATCCTGAATGATGAATATCAAAGAGCGATACTTCAAGTACAATGTACTTTTGTCAGGGCCTACTACTACTAATATTCTTTTAAAAGATGATAATGTTTTAGGTGTTTATGTAAATGTACATGTTTCAGGTTCAACTGTGCTGTGTGTTTGTGTCCTAAGCTACACATGGTTTATGGGCACTGCCAACACAACTTCTGTGTTGATTGTCTCTATGATGCAGGAGGAAACATCAGAACAAGCATGATAAAATGTCCAACTTGTCAGATGGACAGAGCCTTCCCCAAGACCAGGTGAGGTTAAAATGTTTCTTAATACACAGAAACGGTGGGGTAGCCTAGTGGTTAAATTTAAAGCATTCACTCTTAATGCCGAAGACCCGAGTTTGATTCTCACATGGGTGCCCCCCACAGTGATATTGCTGGAATACTCACTCACTCACTCACTCTTAATGCACAGTTCTTTCTGATAATGAGTGATAACCATTGCTACTTCTTGTTAATTATTGTTTTGATCTTATTGCAAAGCGGAACAGGGACTCTGTATTCAGCAGCGATTCTTGTTAACGCGATATCTTGTGCTCTGTTGTCCTCAGTATCTTCAAATTTGGTGACATCCTACATTGGGGGATTATGCAGACACCTGTCTTTTTGGGTCACAATGACACTTTGACCACTTTTCAAACTAATGTAAACACAATGTCTCATAAAACGTTGCACCCAATTTTAGCCTCCAAGCTGAAGAATATATTGCCATTTCTTACAAATTTGATTTCAAGAATTAACATAATGGGTATCAGGGTAGAGTAATAGGGGGTGGGGTACCCGGGTAGAAAATTTGCACGTTGATACTGACAGTGGATATGTGCATCTGCATTTATACATTCAAGTCTACTATATTCCTGAAATATCTTCAGAGTTAAGAGAAGATTCTGAGAAGTGACCATGACTAAAAACTACTTTACACAAAAGGTAATCTTCTATGTGACCAAATGATAAAAACTAGTAAATATGTTACATTTCATTCTTTAGCGGCAAGGGATATTGCCGTGTTAGTGGCAAACACTTGTTGTAATTGACCCTATTTGAGTAAAGAACTGTCAACAGTTCAGTACACTTCATACATCTGACAGAAGTCTAGATAAGCTGCGTATCTGCGTAAAATACGCATTTAAGTTTCCAAAATACGCACAGAAATATATCTGTAGCGTCCCAAATACGCAAAGGAAATTACAGAAACTCTTTGGTTACTTGCTAACCTGCGTACGCTGACTTACCGGCAAAAAACAAGTGCGTAACAGAAAGTAGCTAACTGTCAAATGTTACGATCAGATAGGGTAGATTATCGATTGAATTTCACTATGTATCTCTTCAGATTATGAACTACAGAAAGAAACAATCTCGCAAAATCGCAGTTAGTTATGTATGTAACACTCGCCTTGATTAGTTCTGCTAAAAATACCACCCAATGAAATCGCCAGATTGTTAGAAAGACTCATTGTTTATCAACGATGGCCTCACGGGAAGTCGCTGTGTTCATTCATCATCTAAAACATCATCTCAAAGTAAGATTTCGGCATTTGTCACGTTTCAAATCGATCATTTGAAACCTCTGCCATCGCGAAAAGAAATTATTGCTGAACTTATTGGAAATTGTTTTGAATCGGAGGTTGCTGTCGATAGAATATTGGCAGATTTGCTCACCACTGTCACATTACGCACCGGCAAAGAAACATGACAGGAATAAACTTTCTAAAAAAACTCAGGATGCATGGAAAATGAAGTTTCCATGGTTATCTTTCAATAAACAATCTGATGAAATGAGACTATGCTGCACTTATTGTCAGTCGGCAAAGATAAGTTTGTCCCTACAAGTGTGTGGGCTAGTGATGGTACACCAAGTATTCAGATGTCGAGCCTGATTAGGCATAACAACAGTGAAGATCACAAACATGCTTCTGATAAAATGGAGAGAGACAAGGGGGCAGATATAATACAAGAGGAATTAGGCGATGATGTTGGTTACGCTTTGTTCTAATGATGACACCATATTGTTTAATACTGTTTATTTTGCTGCCAAATCAGAATGCCCATCTGAACATGTGAATGGTCTGTTGTCATTACAGAAAATGAATGGTTTGGATGTCAAGTACAAGAATTTGAGTTGGTCAACTGTAACAGAGATTCAAAAATCTATTTGCCATGTCCTGACAAAGACACTTGTCAATGAGATTAATTTATCTGAAGTATTTTCAATAATGCTTGATGAAAGCACTGATGTGACTGTTGAAAAAAGGTTAAGCATATGTGTCAGATATGTGAAAGCTGGAGAACCTGTGACTAATTTCTTATGCAATCATCCTATTGATGATGGTTGTGCTCACACCATTGTTAACTGTGTAGCAGCAGAATTTGAAAAAGTTAGGCATTGACTTAACAAAATGTGTTTCTCTCTGACTGGCTGATCTGCTGCTATGATGGGTAAGCACACAGGTGTAGGAAAACAAATGCAAACCAAGTATTCTCCTTTCTGCATCCAGACCCACTGTAGCTCACAGGCTAAACCTTGCTTGCATTGATTCAATTAAGAAAATTGAATTCATGGTTAAGTTCAGAGACAAGTTCAATTCACTCTACAACTTTATATCTGCATCAAGTAGACCTAATACTTGCTCTTAGAAGAATTCAAACACTTCTAGAAGAGCCAGAACTGACAATCAAGGAACCACATTCTATTCGATGGCTAGGCTTGAAAATGCAGTTGAAGCAGTTTTGAAAGTTTTGAATCTGTCCTATCAACACTGTCAAAATTTGCAGCTGAGAAAAATGCAGTTGCAAAAGGTTTGTACAAGTACTTTGCTAGCTATAAAGTGGCACTTGTAATAGCTTTCCTCCTTGATATCCACACAGAGTTGGCAGTGTTAAGCTGTAGCTCCAGAAGAAAACCTTCTCTTTAGTGAACTCCGCCTCTTATTGAAGGGACACTCAATAAAGTCGATACCATGAAAGCTCATGATGGGCAAAGCTTGAGTGAAATGAAGACCAGAATTGAAACAAAGAATGAAGAAACATTTGTAGGTGGAGAGAAGTTGCTATTTGCTAAAACAATGAACGGACAGTTTGAGACCCTCAGAGCAGAATACCTGAAGAACCTCATGAAGAATATCAAGAACAGATTCAAGGAGGAAGACAGTGCCATTTTCACAGATATGAGTATGGCTCTGGAACCACTTACAGTAAACACTGTCTCTGGAGAGGAGTCTGGTGATGCTGTCCCACATCTTGGTGCTCTCTATGGTGCACAGAAGGAGGTCAAAGTGATAGAAGGGGATCTACACCAAGGTCTGGCAGAACACATTAAACTGGTGGGACCCCTGCTACAACCTGACAAACTTCTTGACGAATGGCCCAGGCTTAGAGGAATGATCAATGGAACATATTCCAAACTTCTACCTGAACAACTCTGCAAAAGGGTCATTCTGCTTCACAAAGATTCAATGCCGAACTGTGCCAAGCTTGCTTCTATTGCTCTATGTATGCAGCTTACAAGTGTTGAATGTGAGCGGAGCTTCAGCACACAAAATCGACTGAAGAATAAGTTTAGAGCATCACTGTTCTGAAAAACTGGATTTACTGCTCAAACTCAGTATGCTGGGTCCCTCTTTGCAGTCGCTTTGATTCCCGTCCCTGCAATCAAACACTGGCTCAGAAAAAGAAGAAGAAAGGGCAGACTCTTCTGTGATTACCAGCCCAGACCTCCTAAATTGGCTAAAACGTGTGACACTGAATGACAATTAGCAAGTGTTCCATCAAGTGAACCATACCTGCTTCCATTTATTCAATATTATTGTGAGAGTTTGAACAGTTAACCAGTTGAAAATAACATTCATGCGACATGTATTTCAATTTAGTCACTGCACAAGTCAAATAATAAAGTAACTTAAAACTTCACATTTTTGGGGTAATTACCTTTAAACAACGACCATGTTAATGTCTGTCTTTCATATTTTCATGTGCATGCATAGCATGCTAAATGTTTTAAACCATGCTAACAGTATAGGTCTTATTTGCTGAAACAATAGTACACGGATCATCATGATTATATTCAAATATATTGAGTTTTATGGAGTTTTTTGTAAGAGTGCTATTGGCTGATTTTTATAAACATTTATTCAGAACTTTACATAAAAGATATGTGTTTCTAGTTAACCATTTGAACTGTTTATTCAGATGTTATGCTGTGGTAATTTTGCAGATAAACAACAAGAGCATGCTCTCTTATATAGTGATATATGTCATTACTGTCCCTGTTAACATGGTAATTACAATAAGTCTTGAATGTTATTTCAGTATCGATACAGCATTGACATTAATTAGTTGATGCATCAGTGTTGTTATGTACAATGACACTGTTAATTTAAATGTAACTGTAAATGTTGTCTTTGCCTTGCAGGCCAGATATTCCTGATGACAACCTGGAGATGATGAGATGCCTGGGGGTACAGTCGTGTGAGAACAAGGGTTGTGATGTGGAGCTGTGGCAGTGGGAGCTGGAGGACCATGTCAGGTAACTGCTCTTTCCTGGCCTGCATCATTAGCTGTTTGTTGATTTGAAAAACATTTTAGTGTTTAGTGTGAAACAATTATTAGGTGTAACTTTTCCAAATTTTTAATGTGGGGTCCGTTTACACTGAGGTACCATACTTGATACGACTGCTTCAGAACACATCACTGCATGACACACACAAACACAAACAAACAAACAATTGGAAAAGCTTAGTTATTATCTAACATGGCAGTTGTTATGTATAGTAACATCTTATGGTTGTTTACTAAGCTTTGTTCACGTTTGACGTCGTTCCTTTTTCTCTTGAAACATGTTTCATGTCAAGATCCAACCCTGTTTTTCTCCAACTGAATGGCAGACTACTGACAGTTAAAGTAGACACAAAATCTCCCCTTTTTCCTCCATTGACTGATCTGTTTCTGTTCTTCATTTCAGGTCCTGTCCAAACAGAGTGACCACACCTAAGACACCATACAGCAGACCTCACATAAAACCAGAGAGCAGCACAAGTACAAAGAAGGCAAAGAAAGAATCAGTAGCCTCTCCGCCAACAACAAGACAGTCAGGAAACGTTGTGTTACGGAGACTGCGATCCTTCAGGCGCTCTTCCTTGTTATGACATGGAGTGAGGAGTTGGCAGTGGACAGTTAACTTATTCAGCGTTATGTAAATACAGATTTCCATCCAGTTTGCCATGTGCAGTGTGTTTTGGTGTGTTGGCAAATAATTCATGGACCAAGGACAGTTCAGCAGTGCTATTGGATATGTTGAATTTTATGTATACATGTTTGTTTGTGTGTGAATATGCAAAAATCAAAAATAGAAAAAAATGGTCAAGAAAGACTTGGCAAAAGGTTCACTGATTATTGCTTTGATCATTTAATTGTCCATTTCATGATGATTAAAACAGCGTAAGTATTGATCGTGTTGGCCGAAACTGAATGTCAATAACTGATGATGATTGACCGATTTAAATACGGTCATGTGAGAAATGGATTGTCATGATAAATGTTTCAGTTGTGTGCTAACAAGGTGTAACTAAGGTTCCATATCATGTTTAAGGACAGTTAACATGGTAAATGAAAACGATTGTGTGCCGGTGTACATATACAGAGAGGTGAAGTCATCTCCCTTTGTACAAAGTCTGATCAAGGATGCTCCTAGTCTATAAAGCATGATGATGGTCAAACTTTCAGTTATCAAGTTTGATGTATCGGATATGGAGACGTCCTTCAGGGTATGAGGATACAACTGCTTAGTTGAACAAATCTACTGAACATGTGGAAAATGAAACTTGAAATATTCTGCAGCAGTGTGTACTTGTCAATAGTGTGGGACTCCCATGCTAAGAAAAGAGTGAGTATGATTTTATGCTGGTTTTATCAATATTCCAGCAATATCACGGCGGGGGACACCATAAATGGACTTCAGCGTGAGGAGTGGGCGCTTTAACCACCGCCCCGCCAAAAAGAAAATTAATGAGATATTCATCCACCAGTTGTCACTAATTACTATTCTTTTTTTATGTAGCTGTTTAAAAAGAATCCTGAAACATTTATTATTTTATATGTTTGTAGGATTTTTAAATCCTTATTTTGAATAAATATGAATAAATTCTTGAACGAGCTAACAAGTCAAGAGTTTATCATGTATTTTTAATTCTGTCAGTAGTTTTCAACTGACTTTACCAGATACCTCCATCTATAGAATTGATGATAAATTTCTTTTGAAAGCCACTATTCACAGTGCTTTTAGGTATTATGATGCCTCATATAATAAACTTGGGTTGTAAGTCTTAGTTTTGGACTGGACATTTTAAGCACTACCAGAGTATGTGTACTAGTGTACAGCACTAAAAACTTGTGTTAGTCAACTTGTCCAAGACCACTATATCATGTATATTGTGCTGACATGTGAAAATCCAATGACTGTAGTCTTCAATGACTAATACATTTGATGGCTGTCATTCTGAACCAATCTGAAGTGCCACAATTTACTGTGCAGAGTAGCATTCCTTGGGGATGGAAGTAATATATGATTGTGATTCAATCCCATTTTGCCTCAATTTAGTTTCCAGTTTTGTCAGCACTCTACCTGTGCTCTTGCTAACAAACCATGGCTTAATGGGAATACTGCTCACAAAGGCGTTAAAACCAATTCCGCACCCAACTTGCTCACCTTGAACCTGTTTTCAATGCTGGAGGTTAAAATTGTAACTGAATAGAACTGATAGTGTAAAGTACTAACATTTTTTTTTAATCTTGGCTTCCAATAATTTTCTGGACTAGTCTTTAAAGAATCTGAATTTCTACACCTGTGTGAATGTGGAATAGTTTTAGTAATTGTGAACATAGAAACCTCTCTCAACTGGAAGAACTTTCAAACCTCACAGCCTTGAATATGATCAGCCCCAGGATTCAGATCTAAACAATAAAGTCATGGGGTCCTTGTCTTAACCCTAATATTGATAGTGAAAGAGAAGATATTAAAATATCCTAAAAGCAAATATTGAGGGCTAACCTTAGTTTTGTCAACACTGTGCCTTTCATGTCTTCACAATTTGCACAATTAAAGTAGAATATTCAAACTAATTTTAAACATGACAGAATTATATTTTACATAATGGCTACAAGGCGTCATTACTTCTCAGTCTTCTCACTAAAAGCAAGAAGGATGAGGGTCTTTTAGACAATAGTAAGGTTACGCTTCTTTGTGTCAACCTGTAACAAAAGAGTGTCTGTACCCATTATTTTTTAATCTCATTTAAATTTGGTCTTTTACTCTGATATGATACTTCCCTGCATAAAGTTCTGAAGACACCATCTTTGAAAGTGATTGGTAGGAGGTATCTACCTTTTGCTTGGGCCAGGAGCAATGTTACTGATACTATGTTGCCAATACTTAATGTTATGTTCATATTTTTGCAGTCAACAATGTTGTTATGAGACATTTGTATTGTAAACCAATTGATTTTGTTGAAGTTCACTCAATGTTAATATTTGAGTTTAGAATATTGGTTTAAGTAACAGTGTTACATTTGGTCTGTTTATATATCAAGATATTCCTTTGCTTAGTTCTTACCTATCATATAAAATTATCTTTTCGATAATTTGATGATCTAAAACGTTGGTAAATATTGGTGATCACATTTTGCATAACTGGTAACAAAACAATAAAAATATGTACCAACATGAAAGTTTTTGATGATGTAGATATGATGTAATGTTTTGTGTGTCATATGTATATATTTGGTGAACTATTGGAATACATCAACAAATGCAAACAAATAAATTTTGTGAGAAGCCGTGGGGTTGTCATTTGTTTGGGTTTTTTCTTTTGCCATCAATGAGAAGCAGTTGAATTTGATGAGAATGTTGCAAGTGGATCAAGCATAAAGGAAAACCAAACTGGAGACTGGATTACCAAACAAGTTCAGTCCAAGAATTCGTCCTCGGTCATGGCATCACTTACAGACGTTCATTACAAAACATTGGGTTCATTTTTTTACTTTTGATATTGATAATGGATAAGTGACCCTCATATTCATCAACCTTATGCCATGCAATGATTTGATAGTTTCACATCCTTGACTGGAAGACAAAGATTCAACTGTAGTTTTCAACATGGCAGTAACCACTAATGTGAACCAATTGTTTAGTGGCTGTTAGAAAAGAGAAAATCATTTTGCAGAGTTCTATGTTTTATTGATTGAATCAGTAATGAAATACAGGTTTCAAGGAGAATATGAATACCTATCTTGAGTAGAGCAACCATGGTAACAGGGCCTGAATACAAATATGTGACTTCCACTATAAGTGATTTGAAAAAGACATTATTATATATGTGGTTATAATACATATCATTAAAGCTAAAAGAAAGCTCGATGTTTTTTTGGTTGAGAAAATGCAATCATTTCAATAAAGATAATGTATTAAATTGTAAGAAATATGTTCATGAGCATGTTCTCAATGGCATTCCTCTTGTAGAAATACACACTTAAGGTCACAACAAGCATCTCCTGTTTCCCAACATTGCGACACTTGCTGACTGGCATAACAATGAAACACTGTTCTGACAAGAAGGCACCACATTGAATGACTGCACAGTAAGCAGGTGAAAGAAAAGGCACATTAATATTCAGTTGAAACTAATGTGAACCTGAAAAACAAAAAACATTACAAATTATATAAACGTGAGGTCGCAGTTGGAAGACAGCTAGAGACCTTATTTCTACATTGTGTCACTTTCAAAGCACACAATAACCTAATCAGCAGGTTCCACAAGTTACCATTTAATGAACAACACATCATATACAGACGTACAGTGGTATCTCTTGAAGTATCCACTTCTTTAAACATGTCTCCACTACAAACATAAATCTTTAGTAAAGCCGGAACTGATGTGAACTACATACTGTTTTCGACGGCATATTTCCGAGTAAGATAAAGAAATACAATAAGAGGGGGGAAGTACATGGATGGAAGGAGTAGAAAATATACTCCAAAACATATTCTTCAACCACATGTTGACATCCATATATTTTCCCCCTTCATGTTTCACTTGTAAATGCATTTCGTGAAGATAAGCAAGAAAGTTCAAGAAGTGCTTATTTTTCATTGAAATCTTGAATCGTAAAAACATCTATAATGTTTTCCTGCATTGTTTTAAATGGCTTTAATGGTTGACTTTCTACCATTAGTCATTGGTACATTATCTTCTTAATGAATGTTTCCATCATATTATTAAAACAGGAAACATTACAAGACTAAAAAATTTTTACATAAGATTTACATTTACCTTCTGATTACTGTCTGTTCAAGATCAAACAAAGAAATGTGTAAACTGCAAAGTATTACAGCTTGTTCATAATTAAATGTTCTCCCATGGGAATTCTGTCAAACAAAATGTCAAAGATTGATATCAGTGTGTACAAAAATGATTTATGCTATATAAGAAATAGGTACTGGCACATCAAATCTATTGGTATCCATTCAAGTGAGGTAAGAGGGATTTCTGACATGATCAATGGATATTGCCAAGCTATAATGTGATATATAAAGAAATGATTTCTTTCCAAAAAGTCCCTAAGCTGCAAAATGTGTAAATGAACAAAAAGGAATAAAAAGAGTAAGGGAAAAGGAAGGAGAAACATGTTCTGAAGATAAACTTAAAATTCATGTTTGAGTCAGTAAAGATTAGTTAGTTTTGACTGTTCTGTGAGGATCAAAATGTTTTTTGCAAACACCATATTTATAAAGTAAAAACAAACTGGTTCTCCAAAAAATGGGTTGAATAGTAATGATTTACTATTTTGTAAAACACTGATTTTGATTGGTTTTCAAAACTTTACTACATTTGGTAGTTAAATTATCTTTGAAAATTTGAAAAAATCTAAAAAAAAGGAAAGGAACAAACATAAATCTAGATTTGGCATAATAATGTTGTGTTATTAAAAACACAGGAGAAACAATCAAATGAAACAATTTGATTTTAAATTAAAAATATGCAACAGAAATAGACAAGTGTGAGGAAACTGTCACAGCCCGATCAGATAGCGACTACAGTCAGTGTTATTTGTTGTCCCCCGCCGTGATGTTGCTGGAATATTGCTAAAAGCGGCGTAAAACCAAACTCAGTCAGGCAGTTTATATGTTGTCAACATCCAACAGTTTATTAAATGTACAGCACAGACTTATATGGAATGTTATAAAAGAACATTACCAGCCTTCCTCAAATAAACATGTACATCCTGTAGGAACCAGTCTTCCAGTGTAATGTAACAGTGAATTATGCACATAGGAATTAAGAGAACAAGTGAGACATTAATACAAGCTACATCCAAACACAATATAACATAATCCTACACTGAATATAACTGACATTATAGAACAAATGAACATACATCTACTTGAGACAATCATATGGGATAAACAAGCAACAGTATGGGTTATAGCACTAGGGTGAGATATACTTAGGCAGTGATGTTCTATGGTGAGGTTATCGCATATGCCCAGTGTTACATTTACCTGAGGGGTCAGGCATGATGGGTGCAGTCTCCCTCATACAATCAGTCCCAGTCGATTCTAAACTGCTTTCAGCTCATTATGTTTACTAGAAATATAGATGAAAACTTAGTTTTGTCCTTGATAATGGTTGTTACAATTACTTAAGCTTAATGTATCACTAAGTAAAACATTCCTAAATAAAATCCAAACAAAACTGTCCAATCAAAGAGAACCTTTACCTTCACCTAACCAGGTGGGTCAGTTATCATGAAAGCTTCTGATGTCATTTATTGTCTAGTGATGTCATAGCATACCTGGGTGATGTCATGTCTGACTCACTACTGTGAGAGTTCATGTCAAGAGAGATTGCTCTATGGAAATTTATTAATAATGCCTCTCAGGTTTGAAGCTTTCATTAAGTACTTGATCAGCTGAAATTTAAAAACACTGGGAATGTCTGACTAATGCAGTGAGTTCCAAGTAAAGTTACTTTATCAACACTGTAAAATGTAAAATATGTTTTCCCATGAGGCCATCTGAAACTGGATGTTTGGTGTCAGAGCCTGTCCCCTCAGTATAACCGATCAGTCACAATGCAATGTCTACTTGCCTGTAATTAAACACTACACTAGTGATGACTGGCAAAGCAGAAAGAAAGGTTTGTCTAAAAATATATATATATACACAAAATTAACAATTAATATAATACTACTTGATAAAACTTAATCTATCAAATCAACATCCAAGAACTTAGAGACTAGTTTGTGAATCCATCTTCAGACTTCCTGACTTCCACAGCTGTGCAGTACTAAAATAGCCAATTCTCTCAAACAAACAAAATCTCCTCTGCATGAAATTCACAAATCTCTGGAGTATTTCATCATGTGGCATCCCTTCAAATGATTTACTGAGAGATACACTTTATAGTTTGTCTCCATCTTCATTACAAGAGTATTGCATATAGATAGAAAATATTTATCTAAATATGAAATCTTTTTTAATCTTTGCACATCTAAGAAGGCAAAGTTAACAACATAAAACTCAAAACATTTACAAAAGCTGGTATATGATTATATAGCACTAGTACCTTTTACCTCATCCGTTCTAATAATCTTTCTGAGACTGCCCAGCAACAGAAGTAACAAAGAACCAAGTATTTTGTGCAGCTAAATCAGGTACAGTATAATTCTGATTGTCATACCTAGTACCAATATAAAAATTCTGCTTAACAAACACTATGATTATAACCAATAACTGGGTTATAAACCTTCTCATGTGATATCCACACATCCGTCAACAAGGACTTAGCTAAGGCAACAATCTACCGAATATCACTTTCTATACACATCTAAAAAGACAACATGTAAAATATTAACTTTATCTCTAAAAATGCTTTATGCTCTGTTAGCATCCTTGACAAATATAACAGATAGGAACCCCAGATGAACGATGTCTCTTCACAAAAATCTTGTCTGCCATAAGGGCAAGCCAACATTGTTACCAGGGGGCCAGTCACCCCATATATGGCTGATGTTCTACATTCTACCCATCATTGTATTGTAAATTCATAAAGATATCCTGTTCCAGACACAGGTGATGAATGATGTTGCCATAGTTGTTTTAGCAAGTGAGTTATATGTCAGCATACTCACAAATTAGCAATCGAAAGACGACCTAAGACTATAACACAAAATAACGTCCTGACATTTTCATCTTACAAAAAATTCACAGGTATCACAACACTGATGGATACTTTCTCAACAATTAACATATTCAAATTCTGATCATAAGCACCATTAAAAAACAAAGGGGACCATTTTCAGTTTGAAATATCTTAATCCTACCGCCACCATTTTGATTTTTACAAGTACATCTTGTTTCTAGGATTTCTACAGCATGCTTAAAAGACACTGCTGTCTAATAGAATAATAGCCTATGAAGTGTTTGTATATGTTTTAATTCTTGCTTCCACCGTCACCACTGGCAGAGGGTTCTGGTCGGAACTCTTGTTTAATGTCCTCAGGGATTTTGTTGAGATACCACTCATGATTGGCTAATGTTGCCAGAACCCCCTCTGAGTTCTTCCTTGGAACATCCCGGTGGTACAAGATGGGATTTCCCAACATATCTGACAGGGTTCCTCCTATCGCGTGAAGCACAGCTTCTGGGGCACATGTGTCCCACTTCTTACAGCCCTTGCTGGCGAACACATATGCATGAACTTTCCCTTCAATCAGAAGCAGCACCTGTAATTAGCAAATATCAGCATATCACATGGCAGCTTTCGAAATACCTGCCTGCCCGACTGCCCGGGATGGGTTATTTTTAACACGGACTGCCCTCAAATTCACCTGCTCAACGGTCGGGTTAAAATACAGATATATATGTGAAGATATTCATCATATTTCAGGATAATAAATCATTATTAACTCACTCGTAAAAAATAAATGATGAATTTCAATTGGATGATAAACTAGGTCGTTTGTCAAACCTAAATTATTTGCGGGCAGGTACGTTTTTGTCAGGGCTCCCAAGTTTTACATCTAACCAGCCCTGTGGTCTGGCTGAAATTTTGGGGAGTTTCATACCCTGCATGTGGTTATATGTGGTAACAAAACCTATGTTAATATAGTCCTTAATGTAAGTCTTCTGCGAAGTATCCACTTCCATTTAGTGTATGTAAATCAACTCATGCTATGCCCTACCCTTCCTACTTGATCAACTCTGGCCATGCCCTGCCCCTCCTACTTGGTTAACTCATGTTATGCCCTGCCCTTCTTACTTGATCAACTCTTGTTATGCCCTGCCCCTCCTAGTTGATCAGTTCATGTTATGCCCTGCCCCTCCTACTTGATCAACTCTTGTTATCCCTTGTCCCTCCTACTTGATTAGCTCATGTTATGCCCTGCCCCTCCTACTTGATCAGCTCTTGTTATGCATTGCCCCTCCTATTTTATCAACTCTTGTTATCCCCATCCCTCCTACTTGATCAGTTCATGTTATGCCCTGCCCCTCCTACTTGATCAAGTCATGCTCATGTTATCCCTGCTGCCCCTACCCTGCCCTCCTCATGTTATGCCCTGCCCCTCATACTTGATCAAGTCATGCTTTTATCAGCTCTTGTTATCCCCACCCTCCTTTGCCCCTGCCCTCCTCCTACTGCCCCTGATCAACTCTTGTTATGGCCTGCCCTCTCCCCTCCTACTTGATCAACTCTTCTTGTTATGCCCTGTCCCTCCTCCTTGATTGATGCTCTTGGTTATGCCTTCGTGCCAGTCAGCTCATGTCACTGCTTGATCAACTCTTGTTATGCCCTGCCCTCCTACTTGACTCATGCTACTCCCCTACCCCTCCTACTTGATCAACTCATGCAACTCATGTTATGCCCCATCCCCCTACTTGATCAACTACCCTCCTCCTACTTGATCAACTCATGCTCATGCTTCTTGTTACCCCCCCTCCTATCTTCATGATCAACTCATGCAACTCTTGTTATGCCCTACCTACCCCTCCTACTTGATCAACTCATGCTACTCGCCCTACCCCTCCTACTTGATCAACTCATGATATGCTTTGCCTTTCCAACTTGATCAACTCATGCTATGCTCAGCTTCTCCCTCCTGATCAACTCACCTTGTGCCCTGCCCCTCCTACCCGCACCACTTCTGTTGGCTCAACTGCTTCTACTGCCTCAGTCACAGTTCTAGTGGAGTGTGACCTAGTTGTAGTTATGATGTTTTGATCTTTTGTCGGCATCTGTTTTCCAAAGCCATAAGCTCCTGAAATATTTTTTATTCCTGCATGATTAAAACAGTAAAAACAGAAAATATGACTGGACAATTTTCAGTCTTCTTGTTCTTGTTCCCACATTGGTACAATGTGTGAAGCCCATTTCTGGTGTCCCCCACCATGATATTGCTGGAGTATAGCTAAAAGTGGCTAATACTCAGCTCACTCACTCACTCAGCAACATCCTGTGCCATTAGGCATTGATGACCCACATTCCAGCAAGTTACCAAGTGTGACTAGCTGATTCAAATTGGCTGCCTCTTACCAATTCCAAACCAGGTGTGGGTTGCAGCCTGTAAATAATTGTCTTGGCCAGACAATGCAATGACTGACAGTAAGAACAACTCACGCTATCAGGATACACGCTGATACACAATCAACCAAGTCATCAAACTTTGTTACCCGTAGGATGCAAGGGTTCATTTCTAACCAGAAATCCCCAACACAACAACACACCTGTGACTGTACATGGGTAGGCATATAGTCACTCACCTAGACCAATAATTCCCCATATACATCGCCCCATGTTGTTCTCATCCTCCAGCTGGTAATTGTAATACGGTTGATATATAACTCCTCCAACGGCCTTGCCCTTCACTGCCACACCAATCAACACTGTCACATGATCCAGCAGACCTGCAGGACAACAGATGAAACAGATCATGCTCAGGTGGGGTAATATGAATAAATTTGAAAAACAATAAACACAGATAATTTCTTAATGTGTTATAGTACATTAGGAAGCAGTGTAGTTGGGTTTATTTTATGTGACAACTGTACAAGTTTAAAACATTCACCATATACAATTAGTTGTTAGTTAGTCGATACATCAGCAAATTATTAGGAAATTCCAACAAATCTCTAGAATGGTTATTCAAGACTTGTTATACATCACTGTTTCTGCCTATCATAATTTGGAAGGACATAAGAAAACTGCTTTTGCATAAAATTACCAGAAGAGAATTCATATTGACAAGTGGTGCTTAATTGTCTTGATAAAACAGATCGATGTCCAGAACCTGGAACAGTTTATTATCTCTATTTTAACTTGATTTTCCTGATGAACATCGAGGCAATGTTTCAGCTCCTGTAGTCAACAAAAGTCAACCACATAGAACATAAATATTCCTTTCCTGGTACTTGCTTTTGAGAGTAGATACTAGGGTGTTCAGAACTTACAGGACGTGTTAAATACTAATAACAATATCAAGCCTCAGAATTATTTATCTATGTTCAAAATTTCACCTAATGATTTAGATGGTTCAATGCTTGTTGGCTGATATGAAAGTTCACCTGACACAACCTGCTGTGTAGGTGTCTTTAGACCTTTATGCAGAGAGATTTTGTATCAAATGAAACCTGGTAAAACATTCCATTTGAGTGAGATTGGGCTGTAAAATTTCAGGGTTGATTTGAAGGATATCGTTTTACAATCTGAAGGTAAATTTCCTAGAAAATTGTACAGTATTGCAATCAGTTTGGTTGAAAGCAATTACCATGATTACAAATGTCAGTTTTAAATAAATCACAAACAATTTAAACTGTGGGTTTCAACCTTGAACAACAAGATGCAAGGGTTCTGCAAAGGCTATCTGGCGCTGAGCAGTTTCCAGCAAGTTTTTGTTTAAAGAAACAGTGAAAGTGATGTAATGCCTTGTCGTGATGATTTGTATTTCACTCATAACATAAACACAATTTAAGATGAACTTTTAATTATTATCTTGAAAGCAAGTTGCAATGCAATGTGAGAACAGATCTGAAAATAAGACCATTAAAATTATGCCAATTCTGAACGCAATGCACCCAACACCCAGTACTGCATCTTGCATTTTGCATGATATTTGAAAATATTAACAGCATTAGCATGTTACTACACCCCACATATCCTCTGATAACCGTTGACAATAACAACAAAGAGAACAACCTGGAACCTTAACACAAAATCATGCTGAAGTTTGAATGATTTATGAGTTAAAAGACTCAAATTAGCTACAGCAGAGACTATATAATACAATAATGTAATTTTTGGAGTAAAATTGATATTTTATACTTATCCTGACTCATGCTCTTTTTGCTTGTCTTCTTCTTCTTGCGAACATAGTGGAACACTTGTATCTCCCTAATTGAAGCTCCCTTCAATTTAAAATCACTAATTAGTATTCACCACGAGTTACCTCCCTTTCCACAAGCTGAACGAGGGCGCCACCTCTACCCATGTGCCTCACTCTCTCCTCATATACTGAGCCCAACATTTGAATTTACAGGGAAATCCAAAGTGTTATTTGGGGAGGATGGGAGGGCTGACCTCATGAGTCAGGATAAGTATAAAATATCAATTTTACTCCAAAAATTACATATTTTTCCTTATCCTGACTCATGCTCTTTTTGTTTGTAGCATCCTACGGAACGGAGGTGGGAATATCTAATACTTTGGATTTTTAATAATTAGTGATTTGAACTGTGATGATTGTAATAACCCTATGGGAACTTCATAAAGGCACTGAACTGATGAATTCCTGCTGCTAACTTATCAGCTGCCATATAAAAGGTTATTACCATGTACTTATTATGATAAAGTATATATAACATTAATACAATGCTTAAGACTAATAGACTTAAGCTTGTTAATATGCTAGTATAAACTCCTTAGAGTTTGTTAGCTAAAATACTTTAAGATATAACATAGTACTAAGCTTAAGATATGATTAAACTTAAGCTAATTATATAATAGCAAACTCTTTAGAGTTTGTTAGTTAATATACTTATATGATATAGATATAATGCTGAGCTTAAGATATGAATAAGCTTTAGCTACATATATAATAGCAAAACTCTGTAGAGTTTGTTAGCTAATATATTTTATAATATGAGTATAGTACTGTGCTTAAGCTATAATTAACTTAAGCTACATATATAATAGCCAAACTCTGTAGAGTTTGTTAGCTAATATATTTTTATAATATGAGTATAGTACTGTGCTTAAGCTATAATTAACTTAAGCTACATATATAATAGCCAAACTCTGTAGAGTTTGTTAGCTAATATATATTTATAATATTAGTATAGTACTGAGCTTAAGATATAATTAACTTAAGCTACATATATATAGCAAAACTCTGTAGGGTTTTGTTAGCTAATATATTTTTACAATATGAGTATAGTAGTGTGCTTAAGATATAATTAACTTAAACTACATATATAATAGCAAAACTCCGTAGAGTTTGTTAGCTAATATATTTTACAATATGAGTATAGTAGTGTGCTTAAGATATAATGAACTTAAGCTACATATATAATAGCAGAACTCCGTAGAGTTTGTTAGCTAATATATTTTACAATATGAGTATAGTATTGTGCTTAAGATATTATTAACTTAAGCTACATATATAATAGCCAAAAAACTCTGTAGAGTTTATTAGCTAATATGTTTATAGTGTAACCATAGTACTAAGCTTAAGATAAGATTAGACTTAAGCTAAATGTATATAGCAAAATAAACTCCTTAGAGTTTATTAACTAATATACTTTTATGTTAAAAACATAGTACTGAGCTTAAGTTATGATGAAACTTTAAGCTATATATATATAATAACAAAACTCCGTCGAGTTTTGTTAGCTAATACCTTTATAATGTAAACATACTGCTTAAGATATGATGAAAACTTAAGCTAATTGTATAATAGCGAAAACAACCCTTTAGAGTTTGTTAGCTATGATATAAACCTAGTATTGAGCTTATGAAGGAAAACTTAAGCTACATATATAATAGCAAGAACTCCGAAGAGTTTGTTAGCTAATACATGTTATAATGTAACCATAAAGCTTAAAATATGATGAAACTTAAGCTTTAAATATATAATAGCAAAACCCTCTTTTAGAGTTTTGATAGCTAATATACCTATATGATATAAACATAGTACTAAACTTTAAGATATGAATAAGCTTAAGTTACATATATAATAGCTAAAACTCTGTAGAGTTTGTTAGCTAATACATGTTATAATATAACCATATTGCTTAGAAATATGATGATACTTAAGCCAAATAGCAAAAAACTCTTTAGAGTTTGTTAGCTAATCTACTTATATGATATAAACATAGTACTAAGCTTAAGATATGAATAAGCTTAAGCTACCTATATAATAGCAAAACTCCTTAGAGTTTGTTAGCCAATATATTTTAATAATATGAGTATAGTACTATGCTTAAGGTATAATTAGCTTAAGTTACCTATATAATAGTAAAACTCCGTAGAGTTTGTTAGCTTAATTAACTTAAGCTATGTATAAAATAGCCAAAAAACTCTGTAGAGTTTGTTAGCTAATGCATTTATCATGTAACCATAGTATTACTCTTAAGATATGAATAACTTAAGGTAAATATATATAATAACAAACTCTGTAGAGTTGTTAACTTATATATTGTATGATGTAATAATCATAGTACTGTGATGATAAAAGGAACTTAAGTAAATTATATATAGCATGAAGCTATTTAGTATTGTTATAAGATAAGTAAAAATCTGTTAGATTGACTTATCTTCTCCGAGGAACTGTCAGCTGTTGTGCGAGGACCATGGGATCGAATTGGTGTATACCTGAGACGTCCTCGGTGGTGATATCTCTCAGATAATGGTTTGCAACCACCATATCGGATTTCCAGAAATAAACCCTCCATTATTTCAATCACATTTGTATAGAAGTTAGCGCTATAATATCATGAGTATTAAGCTCATGGAGGGTCGGAATAGGTCCATCCGCATATGCACGTAGTATGACAGTTCTGATCCAAATGGAGATATAGTACATGAGACTTCACTCTGCGTAAGTTGATGATAGAGGAAATAATCTGTTGCATTTTTTCCTCCTGTTTGGTTTGGTGGAGATAAATTTACAGTGCTCTTGCTGGCCATCTTGATAGAATCATCGTATCATGGGGTCCAAGTATGTCATCCAGGCGTGTTCATAAACCTCACTTGTGAGGTGTTGGAGCACTATATTCATATCCCCAGGTTGGGCGGAAATTTCCGTTTTATTCTCCAAACAGAAGTTTAGTAGGTTTACTAACCATCTAGTTGTGTTAGTAAAGCTTGATGAAATTCAGCTGTAGTCTGAAACGCTGTGGATTTAGATCCACTTGTATCTTTCGTCTAGGTAATTAAACCAGCGAAGTCCTTGGCGATGTAGGTGCACAACCAGGTGTGTCTGTCCTCGTTGAACTTTATGTAAAATCGCCTGACTGCCGATCCCTCGTCTTAACTTGACAGGGAGGTCTCTAACTGAAGAAAAGGCAGTCTAATCATGAATGTTCAGGTTAACTGGACTGTAATGAGGCTTGCTCGTTCACTAATATATAGTTGTCACTTGTGACGTAAGTCTTGAACTGTGAATAGAGATCGACCTCTGTGTAGGTCGTTGTCCCTCAGCGGTCCAATCAGAACAAGGCATTTTGATTCTGTATAATACCCGCTGTGATGTCACCGGTGTAGCGGAAAAAACCCACCTTGAATAAATTCTTGTCGCCGTTGATATTAGCATAAACGCCGGTCTTCACCGTAGCTTCCCGTTATCCGAGTGACCACGTGTTTCGAGGGTTAAAGGTAACCGCTGAAACCTCCGGTATGAAATATATCTCGCTCTGTAATTTTATGCTGGGTAGGTTATTTTCCTGGTTGTCGTGAAAGTAATTTCAGTTTTGAATATAATTCCGACTTCCTTATATATAAGGGTATAAACAACTTGCAAGTTGTGAGCTTGTAGACTGTATACATGAATGTATCGTCATAATTGTAGAATTAACGCTGAACTTGTACATATTTCTTCTCAGAAACTTTGACGATTAAGAGTTATACTCGCTGTAACAAGACTGCTGTTCAATTTCGATATTGAATTGTCTGCAGATATGCGTAATGGTCACGCATGTAGATAATCGTATCGTCAGTCCGGGATTGTATATTAACAATTTATAATGGAATAGTTGATTTCTGTGAAGATCTATGAAATGTCGTTGACTAATAATACAGCGACGTTCTGTGTTGTAAATAGCCTGAGCAATTATCTTCGGTAGGCTTATAGGATCGCATCTGGCATACAGTTGATAATCAACTTATGCGGCGTCTTGAACGGACTGACGAGTAGCTATATATGACGAAAGTGGCTAGTATATGGAAACCTTGGAGGAGACTTCCTCGGTGAACGCCGGAGACTTCGCATGGAAGTTCTCGAAGTATCCCTTCTAGATCTTCTGGGTGAAGTAGACTTGGAGCCACTTAGCCTTCGCGACCATCGCGAAGGTGTCGAGTCAAAGCCCGATTAGTATATATATATATATATAAATATATATATGAGCTTTGCTTCGTGAACAGCCTCTGTGTTTAACAGGATGTGGGATCGGGCGGTGGCTTTGCCTAAGTCGGGCCGCATGGATCATCTTATCATATTCAGAAGTCGTCGGTTACTGGAAGTCTGGTGATAAGTGTCTAATTGGTCGCTCTAGATCTATTTAGGCCAGCTTAACATCGCCTCGGTCATGGATTCAACAGAACCAATATAACGATTGTAGTTCTTATACTTGATATCGATGATCAACTTGTCTATGGGTTGATCTTCTCGAGAAGACTTGTGAGGGGAACGCTGATAGTTTCGCTGGCTCTTGTATAGTCCCTCGATGTCCTTCTAGATGATGATGATCTGGATTCAGGTGTCCAAGCGCGCATGCCTTCGCTGAAGCTTCCTCTCGTCCGGTCCGGGGAACGACGATATGACCTTCGCCAGGAAGGCTTCCGTGATGTCTGATGGTCCGAGTCCACATCTAGGGATGAAACCGCATAAGGTGATGATCTATCCTGCCTTCGCGAAGTCCTTCGCGAAGGCTGTACATCTAGGGTTCTTTCCGCCTTCGGCGAAGGCTGTACATCTAGGTCTTTTCGCCTTCCGAAGGCCTTCGCGAAGGCTGTACATCTAGGTCCTTCGTCCAAGGTGGTCCGTGACTTCCTTGGCGAAGGTGACATCGCCCTGGCTGCTACGTTGACGGGGTGCCTCTGGGGTGCTGTCTACGTTGGAGCCTTCGCTGGCTCGGACCCTGCTACCGCGAGATATTGGTCCTCCATGATGTTCATAATTTGTCGCATCATGTCTTCTGGGATGGTCTGCGGCGAAGGTCGCCGGTGCTTTATCTGCGGTGTTAATGGAGGGGTCCACCGAAAATCGTCCGACATCAGTGTAGAGGCATCAGGCTGCATGGTGATCTCTGCTGATGTCGTTGTAGCTGTCCCCGGTCGTTTCTTGTAAATGCGTCGTCGGGATGATGATCAGCTGATCATCGTAGAGGTCCAGGTCATCGGCTGGAACAATCTCGGTTGAGAAAGTCCTAGTAGACTTCGTTGATTTTCCCTCAGAGGTCGGCGCTGCCCTGGGTGTGCGGCGTCTGCGTTGAGTGTTGGTAATGATGGGACCCTCAGGACGATCATCGCATATCTGCGTTGGTACATCAGGCTGCATGCTGATCTGTGCCGACATCGGTCAATCTTTGATGTACATCCGGTATGATGACCGGCTGATCATCATACAGGCCCAAAACTTCGATGGGAGCGGTCCGGTTGTTGAGATGTAGTAGAAAAACCCTCTAGTCTTCTGCTGCGGCGATGGGATGTCTGGGGAAGCAGGATGCTTCTTGGAGATGGCGGACTACGTCCCACACCTCTCCACCACTCTAGCGAACACCACCACGGGAGAGTCGGCCAACAGCAGTAGACTGGCGAGGGTTCCGTGTATCAGTCATACTAGACTCTGCATACAGCGACCTATCTGCTGTCGCGTGCCAAACGCAAAGTAAATATTAATAAAAAGGTAGAATTGGATAAATTAGTACCGCGAACTGCAATGTGAATATAATAAACATGGCCCGTTACATCATATTAAAGGCGGATCAGCAGCAGCATAAAAACGTAATCTGCAATAGTACAGAATTTTCATCAACGTAATCCACTGAAACAAACACGGGCCCCGTGAAAACTGTAGAAAAAGCGACTAAATAACAATATATAATCGCTTGAAGGATACTAGCTAAACCTCTATAGATGTCTATCACGAGGTAACTAACTAAATATAATTCAAAGGATATAGTGTGTCGGAGACACAGGCTCTCTCACGTCCAGCTCACTGGGCGAAGAAGGAGAGAGTGAGGCACATGGGTAGAGGTGGCGCCCTCGTTCCCGCGCTTGTGGAAAGGAGGTAACTCGTGGTGAATACTAATTAGTGATTTTAAATTGAAGGGAGCTTCAATTAGGGAGATACAAGTGTTCCACTATGTTCGCAAGAAGAAGAAGACAAGCAAAAAGAGCATGAGTCAGGATAAGGAAAAATTTATATGGTCTCTGGCTACAGATAGAAACTAAGGGTTGGGTAGGTCAGGCATGAGAACAGTTGAGTGGAGCATATCATTTATGGGGCTAGACAAAGTAACTGTTGGCAGAGGAATGTGGGTAGGGCATTTGAAGTCTCGAGTGGACATCTGAACTGCGCAGAGAGGCATATCAATTATCATCTGTGGATCTGCTGAGTGGACATGTTGAACAATTAGAACTGTGGCTTGGGCAAAGGGTCTGTGGGGAACTGTGTTTGGAATATTCAGGCCTACCAAAGAAAACTTTCCCAGAAAACGCAGAAAAGCCCACATTAATTGTGGAAATAGCAACATTACATATTACCTCGCTACTGAAACAGTAAAAACGTCAACGAAAAACTATCAAAACTGCAACATTTTTGTATCAGCGAACTTTGACCTTTACTGCGCATTCACATTACGATCCGCGCTTCTTTCAAGTTTCCAAACAACCTTGAATCACCTTGCATAGTAAAAGTATTGAATATGTCGAAATAATTGCTGTCAATCATTTCAAACAAATGGAAAGTAAATTAAACAAGTGTGCACACAAGTAAGATGGATGATATGCCAAATAACACAACAGAAATACTTAAAAAAGGGAATGTAACTTTTGTCCAATCTGGAAAATGTCAAAATGCTGTCAAGACTTGCTCTTCCATGTGCGCATGCGCAAAATCAAAGTTGCAGGCTCTTCGTTTTGTTTGTACAGTTTTAGCGATTTGAAGATGCCGGTTTTACTGTTTCAGTAGCGAGGTATTATGTTCATGTTGCTGTTTCCACGATTAATGTGGATTTTTCTGCGTTTTTCTGCACAGTGGGAAAGTTTTCTTTGGTAGGCCTGATATTGTGGGATGCAGATTATGATTTGGGCAATGAATCTGTGATGGTGGAGGAAACAAAGTATTCAAATCCTGACATTAATTAATGAAACTATATCAGTTTCAATCCATTCCTACTAATCTAAAAATAACAAACTAAAGAATAGAAAGTTATAAACATTTCAAAATGATTCCACAAATTTACCAGCTAGTTATACTGATTCACCACACATACCAACTGCAATAAAATCATGTTCATACTATTTCAACAAGCCATAAAAGATCATAAAATCATAAGCGTATTAGCAGACAAATGTCACCATGGTTTGATTGGGGAATTTTTGACAGTGTAATATTGAGATTTATGTATACAGTACAGCCCAAAGAGCACTTGTTTTTAGAAGTTTCAGGGAAGGGGAAAGTTGATAGGTGGGTGAAATGTACTAGAGAGTTGTCCAGAAGTCTGAATAACAACCCGTCACTGGTCAGCCCTTTTCAAGATAACACGGTCATAAATACTGTCAAGATGTGAATATAATAATGTCAATGGTTCAAACAAAGAGCAACAGAAGGACAGGTCAAGTTCTGCCATTGTGACCCATGATTTGTGAAGGCTTTGTTAGAGGTAACTGTCATAAGCAATTGAAAGCACAGCAAGTCAACACCATGCATTCCATCTACTTGACAATGACTAGGGGAGGTAACTCATCCAACATACTTCCTGCGCTACTGAGATCCACTTGTGATCCAGGTCTCTGTGCTTTCATTTTAGATGCACCTGCATATTTAGGCATCTATTACAATTGTTGGACAGCAGATTGATAACAGGAGTGGCAGTATAAGTCATTACCAAAGCATTTAATTTCCAAAGCAATTGATAAACTATCAGGTCAGATCAATTTTCATGTTTTACAAATAATTCACTCAGTGTGAGTCTTCACTTTCTTTCCTAATTTGATTCAGTAAAGGTAAGAGTAAAAATGTACAGATTTTGTTAAACTAGCAAATTCAAACATGTGTTTATTAAACCTATCTTTGACTGCTTTTTGTAAGAATACAAGAAAATATCCTCAAATCAAACATAGATATCATACCAAAAATTCTGTAAAACAAGAATGGAATTGGTCTGACCAGATAGATCCTCTAAAATTAACTAAGTGTCAATACTTCTGGATGTTAACAAGGTCAAGGAGTGCTTACCTATTGTAAATTCTGATGTTCCATCCAATGGGTCTACCCATATGACGATCTGCAAACAGGAAGATATCAACATATAATACTTTTTTGTCTATGAACCTCACAGGCACCTGCAATCTTGGTCCAACTCTATGAACAAATAAAATCATGCTTACTGCAAAGATTTAACAACGAAGAAAAAGGAGACTTTCCAGGTCCTTCAGAATGGCTCATGTAGGATTGGAATCTGGAAACCCCTTTAATCTTTAACTTTTAACATTAGGGTTATGACAAGGATATATAGCCTTTCATGCTTACTTTCATTCATTTGTTAGATGATTAAAAGATAAAATTGATTTCTTAGATTTAATCTCTCATAACAGAGAACTCTACATTAATGATGCTTTGCAGTGAAACTAATAACCCAGGTACATGCTCCTAACAACTACCGGTAGTGTAAGGATCTCTGAGGCAAAGGCAGTGCAAACAGTACAAATCAAACATCACATTTGCCTAATTGAGATGGAAAACACTTATTCAACACCTCCTTACATCATCATCCTGGACATTGGACAGGTTTTCAGGACACGTCATCTTGAGGACCTCTTCGTCCATGTCTGACTCAAGGAAGTCATCTTCAATCTTCTCTGTTGGATCTAGTTGCTGGAAGAAACAGTTCATTAATAACCAGTCAAACATCCTAACTTCAAACTTTGCAACATCAGACAAATGTCATTCCGCTCAGATTTGAGACATGCTGTTATCCCGAATAACCCACTGTCAAATATATCAACACAAGAAAGGCCAGTTATAGGCAATGTAATCATGAGGTTCTAGATAATGCTCATAAGGCTGTAGCTAGACAGGGAATGTCACTATATCATATGCTACTCAACATGATAAATTAAATGGGAAATCTACTTCCGCTGGGGTTTTGTTTTCAGCAACAGTTAAAACTGTTTTTGAGCGATATAGAAGGGGAAAATTGTTAATTATCTCTACAATATTACATGTTTGACTGTATAGTGCGAGTGTTTTGATACAACAGGCATGCCCTACTTTTACAACATCTCTAAATATATACAGCCAACAATAGGATTGAAAACATGCGAGACCTTGAGACTGCTTTGACTGCAATGGCAGGTTACTGATAGAAAATGCATGACCTGCATGAGAATGCAACAGTTTATGAAATAAATTATCTTGTCAAAAGGTAGGCTGAATGATATTAACATATTGGATTTATTTTCTGTTCATGAAATATTGTACTGTTATCCAATTGAAAATCCAATATGCCAGAATATATGTGAGGAACATTAATATCTTCATTGGTCAGAAGTCTGTGACAAGGTCAGTGAGTCTACTAGCCCTAACTTTAATAAAAGTGAGCATTGATAACAAAATTATTGGTGAGACAGGTTATTAATACACAGGTATTAACTGGTCGAGTATAGTACTTCCTTAAATTGTTTTGGGTATGGTCAATTACATTGTACAAACCCTAACATTTCCAAATCTTCCAGCTTTAACTTCATGCTCATGAAATGAATCCTATCCTTAATCCTGAAAGATTAATTTACCTACATGCAATATCAGTCAAATTGAGATAAAAAAGAAAAGTTTTATGATAATGATGTTCAGTTTCACATATCTAAAGGTAATCTTTGAAGCAAAGTAACAACAAAGAAATCATATCAAAGAAAGAGATAACAGACACAACATCTCCACTCGAATGTGTCCTGATAGAACACAACATTGTTTGCTTTATCTTGAACATGTAGATGCAGATATTTACATGAGTAACACTGGTACAAACAGTGATGAGCATATTCAAGGCAATCCATGCCCACCTTGCTGAAATAAGATAAGACCCAATCCATTGTTATCATGACCTAACATTATGCACATAACAATCTAATGATAACAATCTAAACAGACTATGTGGCTGGCAGTTCTCTCATCCTCCAGTGTCTATGACCACTCAGATGTATACAAAATGGCTTGCATAAGTAACATGTTGTCACATCAACATTCAACAATAAGCAATTTATCTACTACCAGAAGTCTGTAAGAACCCAAGTAAGCTCAGCTAATAATCATCCACTAAATTCTCCTTAAAATGGTGCACAGAGTCATCTTTGGGGTAATAGACTTAGAAATATAGACACAGACTGCATCAAGTTCAAGACATAAAATTCATGAAGGGCTTGTGACAATTCCATGTGGACTACCAACTGGACATTTAGGTACCAGGGGTAGATCATTTCTTCAGTTTCATTTCTGTCTTGCAAATAAGGCTATTCCAACCATTTGTGACACCAGATTGATGCCGGTAATCAGCATGGATACATGTATCTTATCGTACAAAGCACACTTATACATTATAAGTTATAATTATCACTCCAAATTCACACATACTTTAGAGTGTGAGTATGGGTTTACACTGCTTTTAGCCATATTCTAGCAATATCACGGCAGGGCACACCAGATATGGGCTTCACACATTGTACCCATATGGGGAATCAAACCCGGGTATTCAGCGTGAGGAGTGGATGCTTTAACCATCAGGCTACCCCACCAGCCACAGACCCCACAGGGAAAGCATGTTTGTATGCCAATGTACCTTATCTTGCATATTATCAAGGGAAGGGTGAAACACCTGAACTTCCTACACACCAAAGCCCAGCTGGCTACCGTCTAATCAGCTGATAGTGGAAATCTTCCATGGCCAGCTGGCACTCTCTAGTATTCTTCCTTAGTTCAATTAACTTTGGAATTTTCACGGGCAACTCGTGTCAAGGGTTAGGCTTCATTCCTTTTCGAGTCAAATAGTTTTGCACTAATGTTACAAGATTGTTGGTTTCATTTATTGTTACACACACAATAATATTATACAGGATCCTTATAAATAGAACAATAAGTAAACCCAACATTATCTAGAATATATTCAACTTCGTGATAGCAGTGATAATACGGTAGGTGTTATACTCAATGTGTGTTTTACATATGACTTCAAACAATACAGGTCCTAGCCTTTTCCCATCTCCCCTTGAAAGAGGACTATGATGAGTTAATAGAACCATGGCTGCCGTGATGTTGCTGGAATATTGCTAAAAGCGGCGTAAAACCAAACTCATTCAGTCAGTAATAGAACCATGGCTTATGCCAGACTAAGTTAAACTAAGGGCAAAACGACTAAGCTAACTATAAGACTTGTGCAAAGTTTGTGGTACTGTGCATGTTTGTGTAGTATTGCCTTGTAGGCAGTTTACCTCTTCTCCAAAGATGGCCACTTTAGGGAACTGTCTGTGCAGTGATGCAATGATACACCGCTGGGCAGACCTGTCTGCTTCAGTCTGCAGGTCATTCTTGCCCTGAAACAAAACGGTTATACACTGATACAAACAGGAAACATTTGATCTGTTATTGACATTATATCAACATCACCACTTGTTACCACATATAATTGTTGTAATAACTACCATGGCCACTTACAAAGGGGTGATTGTTAAATGTGTTAAAACCACACACAAGTTAAATTGTTTTCAGAGATCAAACAGATAGGCCTAGTTTGTGCTTATTGGAACAGGACATTGAATTAGGTGGCTGCAATAAGTAAAGATATGCTGGTTTTACTCTGCTTTCTTATATCCTACTAGAGACAGAGTCATTGTGATTAACAGACTCTAAACAGTGTATTCATGTAGAGACTTGATTCCTGGTCTTTGACGCTAGGAGTCAATGCAATAACAATTCGGTTACCCCTACATCCCTACTTGTTCAAGTCTACTTTAAATTAACACACACAGAATAACTTAGACAATATATTTCTTTAGACTTTTTCACTGGAAGTAGTCCCTCAAGTGATTGTGCCACTGCTCCTTATTCTAGTGTTTGAACTTTTAATGACTCTGACTGACAAAATAGAGTAACTAACGGAAATTGTTAAGCACTCATGCCTCCCGCCTAAACATAAATAGTAAAGATTTCCCTGTTTTTTCTGTTATAGTCAGATGGTTAAATGTTTCCTAATTCTTATTCTGTTCAGACAGGTTGTAATGTTGTCAATCTACAATGTCCTACTTTCTCTCAACCATCATTTTGGCACCAGGTATTTCATACCTATTTTCCATTAAACCCATCATCAAATAATTAATCACTAACTAAAAATACCAGCATTGTAATATTTGATGTCCAAATACACACATTTTCCTTTCTGTTGTGTACTTTTGTGACTGTTTATACAGCCCTTCAGTGGAGACGACAGACAATTCAGCATATCACAACTTGTGTGGTACATGCATGACCAAAGGTCACCTTGATATCCAGCCAGATGATGAGGGAATGTCTCAAGGACATGCATATCAATAAAAATGTCATCTTGCAAGGGTGCTGTACTGTTATTCCAGTTGCATGATCCAGCAGGTCATGACTCCTGCTCATGACCTAGTTTGTTCTCACATCCATCATGCTGAGTCACTGGAAACTGGGACACTCTAATCTGAGCGACATTTACCTATAGCACCTACAACGTTCTACATGCAGTGTTCGACATACTGTACAGAAACACTGAAATTCACACAATAAGTTGGATTTACTTTAGGTCACTGTCCTCTTACAGGGCTTGATTTAGTGCTTTGCTACTTGCACTGGTGCAACCCAATATTACAAAGTGCAACCTAGTTATTTGTCTAACTTGCATCAGATGCAAGTCAATTTTGAGAAATATATCAACAATAAATCTAACATTACAAGCATAATTATGTCAGCTCATTTGTCTTCTAAACTTTGAATAATTCAATAGCATATTTCTTTCATTGCATATTGCAATAAAGACAGTGCAACTGGAATTTGGCTGGTGCAACTGGGTATTTATCTTAGGTTGCACCTGGTGCAAGTAGGTTAACGTCCCTTAAATCGAGCCCTGTCTTAGTGAGTGATTAACATAATGAATGGTTAATTCCAAAATCTCATCCACATATATAAGTACACACACTCACATCTCCAAGCAAACACTCAACAACTGAATCACCACATCACACGTTTATCTGATAACAAAATTACTAATTGAACAAAAAAATAATACCAGTGTTTCAGGTTGCCTGATTGTAACACATGTGGGCTGGTCTTGTTGATAGGTTCAAATAATATTTGTTAAAAGTTGCAAGTTTCAATGAGTGAGTTTAGTTTTACCCCGCTTTTAGCAATATTCCAGCAATATCACGGCGGGGGACACCAAAATGGGTTTTATACATTGTAACCATGTGGGGAATTGAACTCGGGTTCTCGGCATGACGAGCAAATGCTTAACCACTAGGCTACCCCACCGCCCGTTCAGTGAGTTTTCTTAAGGAGATATCATGAGTTATATCCAGTATGTCCATTGCTAATTTTAAACTCACAGTTTGTATAACCTAGACATGGTGAGTAGGAAGTTCCAGATTCTAACCTGTGATAAATACTAGGTCTAGTCCCAAACCTGATCCTTGGTCCCTTAGGTTACCAGAAACAGTGATGTTTGCTTAGCCTATCCTGTCTAACAAGGACATCCCCATTACCCCAATAATGCTATGTCATTATGACTCTCAAACATGTCAACTAGTCTGCATTGAACTTTTTGAAATGATAATAATCTAGGTCACTGTCGATTTGAAAATGGGAGTTGTAGTGCTTTCTGTTGTACTCAGAATACTTATTAACTAAAACCTCAGCTTCATACTTCACAACAGAGGCATATCGGGGAAATGTTAATGTGGTTAAGGGAAAAGAGTAAACATGTTTGCATCACAGCATGCAGTGTATGAAATAAGCCCAAACCCCAGCCAGACATCAGGGCTGGTAACTTCAAAATGTTACCAGCCTAAAATGGATTTAACCAGACTGACTGACTGAGTTTAGTTTTACGCCGCTTTTAGCAATATTCCAGCAATATCACGGCGGGGGACACCAGAAATGGGCTTAACACATTGTGCCCATGTGGGGAATCGAACCCGGGCCTTTGGCGTGACGAGCCAACGCTTTAACCACTAGGCTACCCCACCGCCCCCGGATTTAACCAGACCAGACAAAGATATGAATTAGATGTATATATAACATCTAAATTTTTACCAGACCATCGAGCTGGCTAGCTCTAAATCTAGACCATCCATCTGAAATCTAACCAGTCTCGGGCAGTCCGACGGGCCTTATTTCATACTCTGCAGAATGACTAAAAGTATTGAACTTTTTCACACATGTTAACCTCTTATGCATAAACATTGATACAGATGATTGCTGAGAATGGCGGCAAGACTTCTGGGCCTAGATTTTCGAAGCTCTCTTAGCGCTAGCATAGTCATAAGTGCCATACATTAACATTAACTTATGACTATCTTAGCGCTAAGAGAGCTTCGAAAATCTAGGCCCCAGTGCGGAGTTAAGCAAAACTCACTCAAATCACTCATTCATCTAACTGAATGAACCTCACACAGGAGTCACATATAAAAATTAGTGTGTTTTCATGTGTGCCACAGTACATGTCTTGTTTGAGTGGCATTTTAGAAGTTGAGACGTACAATATATAACAAGTTTTATGGATAACAACTTCTTTATTTTCGTGAGTGCGACGTTTCGTTATTTTCGTGAGTGCAATGTGTTATTTACAAAATAGACTGTGATTGTGGACAATGCTACATAGGTGAAACATCCCGACCCATCAACACCCGAGTCAAAGAACATCGCACCTCTGTTGCTAATTCCGACACCAAATCAGCTATCTCTGACCACATCAAAGCCAACCCCAATCATCAAATAGAGTGGTCCGACATCACCATTCTCGCCAACAACCAAACGGACTTCACTAAACGCAAGCTCACAGACGCCATTCACATCAAACGCCACAAGCCTACCATCAACCGTGACCAAGGATACTTCATTCCATCTGCTTATGATCCACTCCTCCACCAAGCCCAGTCTATTGTATAAACATCGCATCCATTGTATAAACATCTCATTGTAACTACATCTCTGGCTTCCATTCACTATCCTTTATGTACTTACTGGCTTCTTCAGCTCACTGCTTAGCCAATCATGGCAATTATGTTGTTTCCTTTGTCTATTATGTTGTTTCATTGTTATATACAGTATATATATGCAGCTCCTACACTACATGTATCACTCTTGCTTGACAACGGTACAAGAATCTGTATCGAAACGTCGCACTCACGAAAATAAAGAAGTTGTTATCCATAAAACTTGTTATATACAGTACATGTCTGTTAAATATGGAATCTAAGTGTGCCAATATATATGAAGCAGTTAGTATTCCTTACTATTGAGACTAATAATACTATTTTAGATTAGCAAATTCCATGTTTATGTTTTTTGCACTGTGAAATACGTGTTTTCATTTAGATATCATCTATATGGCTATGTTTGATTCCAGGTGAGGTGAGGTGAAATTGGGTTTAACGTTGTGCTTGAGAATATTTCGCTCGTATGACGACATGCATGCGTGTGTATGTGTATGTGCGGCTGCTTGTGCTAGCACAGACTGAAGCTGGTTTTATAGTGCTAGCCCACTGAGATACCATGCCGCAGTGAATCATGAATACCCCGCTCAGACACATTATACTGACTCCGAGCCGACCAGTCCTTGAAGTACCCATTAATGCCGAGCGCCAGGCAGGGACCAACAAGTACCATATTTTAACGTCTTTTGGTATGACGTGGTCGGGGATCGAACCCGCAACCTTCCGATCTCCAGGCGGACACTCTAACCACTACAACACGGAGGCGGTCTATGATTTCAGAATGTCCTTCAGACACCAGTAGAGGATCTAACAATTAACACAGAAACTGATGTTTGAATCACAGACAGGACTCAACCTAACAAAAGTACTAGAATCTGTACTTTACTAAAAAAATGATATCCCTAATATAACATGTGGTACATAATGGGTGGGTCACACTGACATGGCTGATTATGTATCATTGTACTCTGTTGAAATGGAACATTCACAATACTATCAAACCCACACAGCTAGATATCTAACAGACTTTTGATGATATCAGACACTCAAGCAACATGTCAACACGTCACAAATATTTTAGGAACATTTCAATCATCATCATGATCTAAGTCGGGCTAGTGCAACATTGTACTTTGACTTTTGACAGTTCTTAGTGTTTTTGTCACACCTTCATGCACTACTCACTCACTCAAACCAAAAATATAGAGTTCCACATAGCAAAGCTGACAACCAAACACTGGCAGTATAGCTTGCTATGGTTGCTTTGATTACTGGTATATTATAAGTATATGTCTTTTTCTTACAGATTGTCCTACAGAGAGTTTTGATGTGTAAAGCTATATAATCAAACACCTCACTACATCAGTTATAGCAGCATATCAACATAACATGTAAAATGCAATGAAAGGCTTGCATTAGTCCTGTCTGTTCTTATTTCAGTATAAGGTTTATATCATCTAAAATCATAAAAAGTCCTGTTATGTGATAAGCCCTCAACAACAGTGAGGTCAGTGAAGCAGAAACATTTCTTGCAGGCGAACAGTGCTGAATACGCCAGATGTTGTCTGCTATTGTTTGCAAACATTGCAAATAGTCAATGTAATGGCCATGTTAATATAGTTTTGTTTATCAGAACACTTTTATCCTGGATAAACATCTAATATGTTAATATATCACACATGGTACATGCTTAGTTGCCTGTAGACGAAAGTTAGTTAATTACAGTTTGGATTTAATTTTTAACTGAATACATAATTTAAATGGAAAGGTGCAAATAAAATTGGTAGATGAATTTCACAAAATGTAACTAAATCCAGTACCCCTGCTTTACAGCAAACAATTAAGATATGGCTATATATAATTTACTACAAGCTAAATAACCTAAGCAATTAACTGGTAAGCCAAATTAGAATTTCAAAATAATTTCATCACGAAATATAGATCTGCGAATCCCAATATAAATTACAATCAATCAACAGTGGTCAATCTATACATCATTTCATGTGAAGGATGGACCTGACGCGCACAATTAATGGGTTAGCCTAACGCTATCTAAGCATTGAACTACTGTAATGTCAGCATTGAGACCTTCCCCTAAATGCGACCTTGGTGACAGTTTAATTTATGAAGTAATTTGATCATTTTACCTTCTCGACGATCCCCAAATCTCCTTTTCTGAGTACATTTCTAATAACTGTTCCTGCACGCTTTGATACAGCGACTGAGGATGAAATTATCCGCATCAAAAGTGGAGCAGTGGCAGCCATGATGTATCACGGGTAAACAGTCGGGTGTGAATGCTTTCAAAGTCGTGATCGACGCGGTTATGGGTCAACCCTTTATAAGATAAGAAGTCCTCAGCTAGTGAAGGCGAATGCCATTCTCATACATGCTGTCATGATATGCCCCAAGATCACCTCCAGCAGACATAGTTAGATGTATGACTTGGTTCTTTCTTATATAACATCACCCCTCTGTGTTATTTAACTAGTCTCTGAAATGAACATATTTTCAGAAAAAAAGTTCATAGTAAACAAAATAAAATATAATGAAAAGGAGCCCGAGACTTTCTTCATTTTCAGAAGGTGTGGAAATCTAGATTTGCCACAGTTTCTATACTTGCGTGGGCTTTCTTGGATATATTTGATTCAGGGTCTGTATAACAGACAATTTAAACCACTGACATATCAAATAAATTTATTCCCATGTTTTCCATTCTCTTTCTTTTATAAATTTTAACATATTCGTTTCTTAAATGTTTTAGTTATGTTTCATGTTATGTTGCACCGTTATAGTTTATATTTCAATCACATGGCAGTAACATTTGGTACACGTTTGCTTTACTTCAGCTTTGAACACTAAGATGCGCAATCAAATTTGTGTACTGCAGAGAAAGAACCAGTTTAAAGGTATTTTAGCGACATGCCGGTTTCAGATGCAAAGGAAACCGAAGTCGCGCAGGTGCACGTTTCCGCTTCCGGACACATGAGAGCTGACACGAAGTCTCAGTGATTACAAGTGAAATAGACATTGTTTTGAGCGTTTAATGGGAGATTCGAGATGTGGTCCTTCTTCAGTAGGGACCCTACGAAGGACTTTAATTATGACATAGGTGAAAAAGTGCCAGGTTTGGAAGACAAGTCGATATGGACTCTGTACAGTGGGAAGAAGAGGGTGTGTTGTTGATAAATGGTCGATTTGACAGTTTTATCATATGAACATATATCTTGTAATATATATTGACGAAGTACTCCATATGAACATAATAGGGATACCTTTCTTACTCACATGTGATGCCGTCTAAATTTCTTTATAATTATGAAACTTATGATTGTCAGTTCTGATACTGTGGGTTTTTTCCCATTTCCGAATGAATGAACATTATGAATCAATGCGTTTCAATACGTCAAGGCCACATTTCCATAATAGAGATGATTGACAACATTTGGCAAATTTCGATTTAACTTGCTGCAGCTTCTTTTACTAATTGGCTCAGGTTCACTCTTGACAAATCTCTGATTGTTCAGGGGTTCAAAAATCGCAACGCCCAACGCCTGGGACAAGTCAGTTTTCATTTCGGTGCTCAAGTAATGGCATCTTACTTGTCCGTGGGCTACCAGATAATTTCTGCAATGCTTACGGTTTCAAATTGCAAATAATCTTGGATTTCATTTCATATCTGCTAAAAATGTAGCTATAAACATTTGACACGATACGCGAACGAAATGAAGTAACTTTCACAATAATGATAAACTAGAGTTATCTTTCTTTGCTATTTATCACTCCTTGGTCGGGGCCTCACAGTAAAGCTATAGAAACCAAAGCGAGCATTTCTATAAATAACTGACCCATCACTGACGAGAAAGTTGGCATGCACTCGAGTCAACAGTCAGGCCGAGAGAGAATAGCAGACGACTGAGTGTCACCGTTTGATGTTAGAAAAATGTTAGATAGTTTTTTACAATCAGCCACGGGGTTGAAAAGGCTTCTGGTGGCGAAACCAAAGCAGATGTTTGCACCAAACAGTTGAAAGATAAAAATTTGACAACGAGAAACGTTGTAGACAATTTCAGAAGTCTTGGTGTTCAAAGTGGACTTAGTTACTTTACGATGAAGAAAAAGACGTTATGACTTGTAAATATTGTGCACGATTTCCATCTGTATCAACGTGGCATGGGGTAAAGAACATGTTTGTCAATTGGTGCTCAAAATTCTGATAAGGTATCACTGAAAATTCACGATAGTTCAACAGTTTGAGTGTGTGTCATATTATATCCACAGCGGTGAAACCAGTGATTTGGTGGTTGGGACAAGCTATAATAAAGTAGAGACAGACGGAAAAGTTTTGAAGTGTTTTTAAAACATGGGCAAAAAGAATTACGATCAAATTGAGAAATTGTTTGTGACAGCATTTCTCATTGCCAGCAAAGGAAAACCACTTAGTGATTTTGCAATGCACTTAGACTTGCTTGACAGGGTTGGTGAGGACATAGGGCATAATTACAGAAACAATGGCTACAGTAACATTTGACCCACTCCCCTTTCCAATGAAGTATGCCTTTATTGCCATCAGTGTTAGGTATCCTTTCCCGGTCAAATACCCCTTGATGATCCTTAATACTGTAGTTGGATCTGTGTCATCATGGTTATTGAATGGGCTAGCTATCTCTTTTAACAAATTAATCCAGTGTAATTTGAGATGAAACATACAGTGAGAACCTGGATACCCAGAACCCATATATATGGAAACCTCGCCTTCCGGTCAGTTTTCATAAAAACAATCTCTTACATTATGTAAGTGACTATCTATAACGGATATCCAGTTTCCATTTCAGACAGTAAATTTTACAAACCAACCGGCTAAATCAACACAAAATTGACCTACTTATCCGCACAAATCTTTGATCTTCCATGTGTCTTGACGGTGTCCTCCCATTACGCAGACAGCCAGTTCGCAGACACCTTAAAACAACATTTACGGTTCAGCGAACAGATTATCTACTACCTGTTACCTACACATCATAATGGAATAGTCCAAATAAAAACACAGCAACAAACTGAAGCTATATTATTTGTTTCGAAAGATGGATGAAAAGATTTGATTTTTTATTGCTGCAATATAAAAACAGTTTATTTTCATAAACATTTCGGTTTAACCTTCTAGTCTAACGGGAGTCGGCATCATCATGTTGAAAACATCAGCTTGGCTATTAGAAATTGTGACACTGTTGTATCATATAAATCAAATAAAGACAAATGTGAACCTAAATATAATTCATATGGAATAAAGAAGTTATATGTTTTGCACACAATATTAAGACGAGTGTACTTAATTACGACTTATTTAGAATATATCTAAAATATGACACATCATGTCAATGTGGCCTTGGATGTGGGAATGTTTTTCATTACTTCCTTGAATGTCCATTGTATACTATACAAAGACATAAAATGTTACAATCTTTAGAAAGTATTGTTAAAATTAGAACACCGATTGGTATTAATCATATCTTACATGGCAATGCAGGTGTCTCATTTACTGCAAATCAGAATGTTTTCAAATATGTACATATCTATATCTCTCCCAAAAAAATGTTTTCTCAGTTAGCTTCTGTTGTACATATGCTATTATTGGGAGGGGTCTTTTCTATCAATAAACACAATCAAACCTCTCAGTGACAAACCTGTTTTCATATTCGATAGCAATTGATAGTAAAATCAATTTTGAGAAGAGAAATCATTTAATCACAACAAAGTTCTATTTATCCACAATCAAACTTCTCAGTAACGAACCTGTTTCAGGCTCACTCTGCTCTACTCGCTAGACATTGGACTGTTCCATTATACCTGTAGGTGTTACCCTAATTAACCTTCTAGTTCAGTGTCTGTCAATTGGGTGTCTGTCAAATGGGTGTCTGTCAATTGGGAGATAACCGTCTTGACACAAGACATGGTCTGCTAATCCAGATTAATGACCGATCAGCAGGGTAAGGGTGGTGATTATTAGGCCTATCTGACACTGAGTGAATTGTAATTGGCAAATTAAAACAACAAACCTGTTTTGGAAGTGATTTTAAAGCAGAAGTGTATGCTCGCTACCGTTTCAACACTAAAGCCTGGATGACAGAAATCCAGATGTCCGGATATTCAGTTATCCGGACAATTTACACAAAAACAAATATGTTTGGGTATCTTGGGTGTCACTGTATATCATGATTTAAGTTTGCGAAAGAAATAGCTTCTGTGCATGTTCATAGAGGTAAACAATCAGGTGCTGATTAGTTGGCTATGGTAAATTGCTGGCTAATTAGATTGGCAAGATACGTTTGATCCTCCACATGGCTCAAATTGAAGTTTGAGCAAGTGCATGCAGTGAACATGGTGAAGTGCATTGCTTCCTTGAATTCAATTCCAAGCAACAGAGCATGGTGTATAAACATGCACAAATCTTAAGTAAATAGAGATCTTTCTCAGCCTGAGTACAATTGTCCTGTACTCAGGAAACATGTAATGTTTTATGAATATTCCCAGCACACATCAACTTGTAGGCAATCTGACACCTCCATTATAGTATGTTTTTGAGATGATATTGTCCTGGACTGTGCACTCTCAAGAAATTAGGTATTAACATCCTAAGAGGAACAAATGTGCTACACTTTGATCACCAGGATAAGAAGGTGGGACTGTGTCAGTCAATAATTTTGGTACAAGATGAGGATGCCCAGGTCAAGAAAGACCCCTGTCTTTTTTCTGATTCATACGTTTGCTTAAAATGTGCCTCTTTATTACATATGGAGGATGAGATGATTGAAGATGTCTGTGGACGACAGAGAGCGTTTAGGAAATAAAGCCAGTAGGAAATACATCAAATGTCATTTTGCAGTAGCTTGGAGTTTTGCTTTATTGCAAGGACATATTTATATTGATTGATTTACTACTATTATTCATGAAGTGTTAACCTGCAGTCATGCCCAATTATTTAACTTTGTATTGATGGAAATAATTAAGGCAGCAGTTGGGATGATTTGACATCGGAGCTGGTTTAAAATGGTGTTAACATCAGTAGGATGCAAACATGAAAGAAATCCAGAATATACTTATTTATTTTCTAGGGAACTGGAGATCCTGTGTCAGTATTTGCATTTGATGTCAAAAGTGCCAGTGAATCTCAGGTATGTATTATACATTGTCAATTTTTATGTGAATGCTTGTAACTTTATTATGCAAGTATAACATGCCAGCACCTATATCAAAATGTGACAAAAGAAAAATATAAACAGTTGAAATCCATATCAACTTTGTTTCTATTGTATGACCCTTGTCACTGAATGTTATTTGAATATTTTGAGCTTACAATATTACCAGAGAAGGTTAGAAGAAAGAACAAATTTTGCACTGTATTTTGCTTGTGGATAAGTATTGCTAAACATGTCAGTTTTGTCTTCTTTGCTCAAGCATGGTATCCAAATGTTATGTCTGAAAATTTATCTATCAAGCTTAGAAGAAAGAATTTTAACCTGACTTTGTATTGTAATACTGACTAACCATAGCTAAATATGCAATGGAGATTCGTAATCTGACTGAGTACATCAAACGGCTGCATCCTAACTGTACTGTGATTTTTACCAGGTTCAAGTTGCAAAGGAGCATTCAAGAGGATAAAGACATTGCGGCATCCAAATTTCTTGACTTTTCTTGATGGAATTGAGGTATGATTTGCCATTAGATTTAGAACAAGTAAAGCAGAGAAAGTATACCTACACTTGTGCCGTTTATGACTAAGAGCAGGGATACTCTACAATAGGGATAGGTCACTCGCTTGCTTTCTTTACCATTTGTACTAATTAGCGTGTGCCTCGTCATGCTCCAACGCACACAATGACTTGGTTCGTTCCAACCACAAACTTCGGCTGCGTTTAATAGTACTTCAGCCAGTTTATTGTATCAGTCGGAATTTTACAATGATTGATTGAATGAATGAATGAATTATAGCAAGAATTAAGAGCAAGAATTATAGGTGAATGAATGAAAGAAATCAAGAAAAAGAACAAAAGAAAGAAATACATATGTGAATGAATGAAAGAATAAATGATACACCACGGCCATCTCTCCCCAGACATGTTAAAGAACGCAAAACTATCGCTAGAACACATGTGTTGACATCAGCTGTCCTTTTTTAAAAAAAAATCTACTTTGAGACTTTTTACATTAGTAATTAATTCAGATATCTTATTGCATGTGTGGAATGGCATGGACATTGACAGAATGTTAACTGACACTGTCACACGCCCCTCGAAAGCAGAAAGTTTAGAACTATCACAAAGTGTTGTAAACACCTTTCCAGTTTTGTCAAATACTAAGATCAACAAGAAAGAAAGAAGTTTTAGTACTATAACACTCAAGCATCACAAGCATCAATGGCAGATCAGAACAGATCGGCGATATGTCATATTTTTCACACACCTCAAATACACCCTAACAATTTTTTTAAAGTTATAAAGCTATCACTATTACTTGCAAACACCTGTCAACTAAAGGTATATTTCCCTTCTAAAAATTAAACGAATATGTGAAAGAAGTTTTTAGTGATAGAATTTAGTCTTTCTTCCCTGTGTGCCGAGAATTGAAGCCAGTGAGCTACAACATGCCGACTTGAAACTTTACTACAAATCTACTGTACTAATACTGACACTAATAACAGGTATTTGACTTAAAATGAAGTGACAGAATAGGTAACTTATCTTCTACATGTACTATGTAGGTTTTCAGTTGTCACAACACTCAGCGAATGTAATCAGCTGTTGAAAATAAACCGGGCTCAATCTTAAAAACTAAGCTTCCGCCATATGGCTACACTGGTCACATGACGAGCCAAGGCATACGCTAAGGGGCTTTTCGAGGAGTGACGATTCCCCGTTATATAGTCTCCCTGCTAAGAGTAAGATGATGATTTTTGTAAGGGGTGCTTATAATGTTTATTGGAATGAATTTGTGTGAAATACCCACATTTAAGAGAAGTTTTGATCTCTCTACTATGTCTACTAGTTGTTTGAAGTGGCCCCAGATTTGAGATAAATAATATATGTGTTCTGTAATTATGAAATAATCTTTTAATAGTTTTAGCTAAACATTTGTCGACTCACAGACATTTGACTGTCAAGTAAAACAGAGTGGCATTATGTAATCACAGTGTGGCATTGTATCGTCCACATGGTGAACTCATGTCATATGTACTAAATGTACATTCTTTTTCATAGAGATCGTCCTTGGGGTACATATATGCATTTTCTGCAGCTGAAAATGTCATGTGACAGTTGTATCAATGTTTTAATAAATTATTGTACAACAAACAAAAAAAGCATTTTTTATTTATTATACGGCCCCCACCACATGGAGTTACCTCCCTGACATGCATGTGCAGCCAACCAGGTAAGCACCTAAGCCTGTATCATCATTCCTTCTGCTGTCATGCATTGTGTACACATGTGCTTGACTGGTGCTGACCTACGTAGATGCGTACTACGACTATGTCTGTGACTTCAACTACTGTATGACTGCCTCCGTGGTGTAGTGGTAAGAGCGTCCACCTGGAGATCGGAAGGTCGCGGGTTCAATCCCCGACCACGCCATACCAAAAGACGTTAAAATCTGGTACTTGTTGGTCCCTGCCTGGCGCTCGGCATTAATGGGTACAACAAAGACTGGTCGGCTCGGAGTCAGTATAATGTGTCTGAGTGGGGTATTCATGCTTCACTGCGGCATGGTATCTCAGTGGGCTAGCACTATAAAACCAGCTTCAGTCTGTGCTAGTACAAGCAGCCACACATACACATATACACGCATGCACGTCGTCATATGAGCAAAATATTCTCAAGTACACGTTAAACCCAATTTCACCTCACCTCAACTACTGTATGTATGGTCTTTATTCATTCTTTAGAATACTCTTTTGACTTTGCAGTTGGTTATTTCTCATTTATGTGACTTTTGTATTAATATTTACACTAGCTTTCCCGTGGTTTACGTAGGTGTTACTATTTCATGGCGGGAAGTTTGGCGTGCCACGTGGTTGAAATATTGCTTTATTCAACAATTATTTCATGTCGCGTTGTCGCATTCACATATTTTCAATGTTTTATATGTGTATTTTGCTGTTGTTTTGGCCGTTAGCTACATGCGTTGCGTGTTTGCTTTCCGGCGTTAACGGCGTGTGCCTGTGGGCAGTGGTTTCCGCCTGCCGATAAGCACAACAAGTGCTTATGTTGCCTTGAAAAGGCTGGGTATACTCCTGATGTGTGCGAACTTTGCCTTGGTTTCTCCCCCCATGCCAAGAAGAGAAGGGCTGCCGATTTCCTCTTCTACATAGAATTGAGGAAGGCGGAAGGTGACCCGACCAAGGAGACACCCCCATCCAAAGCTAAAAAGGCTAAAGAGCCTTCCAATTGATATGTTAGTCATACAGCAATTATTCCAACAGCATATGGACTCAGTGAAGTCCCTCATTCATGAGTCGGTTGGAGGACTCCTTCGGGCTCTGGACGGAGGGTATTGAGTATTCCTGGTGTTCCGGTCCGTGCGCACCCTATCCCCTTGAGAGCGGGGACTCCAGTTCTGTCAGGGCAGCCTCCTGCGTCTCAGGGGTCCTGGCATGCGGTCGGTGGCAGGAGCGGAGAGCGTCTCGGGCTCTGACTTCCCCTCGTTGTCTGTGGCTCGGCATTCCACGGGGTTGGGGATCTTCAAAAGGATCCGGATTCTGGCTTGGGCTCGGGGGCCAAGTACATTGATGTTGGGGAGGTTGAGGAGTCCGAGGGCGCTTTTCACTTCTTGTCGGCTTTATGAGAGGTACGTCAGCGCATTGCGCTACTGCTACCCCAAGCTGCGGTACCGACTAGCTGCTAGGACTCATCTGAGTTCCGCCTGTCGGGTGAGGCGTTTGCTCCTCAGCAGCCTTCACAGACGCAGCTTCGCGTTTTGCCCTCCCTGATTCAGGATGCTGTGGACCTGTTACTAGCTGGGTTTATGCTCCGGTTCAATTTGCCTGAACTTGTGAAGCAGTATCAGCTGGGTGATGAGTCCCTCTTCCTGGTTCCGGTGGTGGACCTGTTAGGGAGGTTGAGGAATCCGAGCGCGCTTTTTGCTTCTTGTCGGCTTTACGAGAGGTACGTCAGCGCATTGCGCTACTGCTACCCCAAGCTGCGGTACCGACTAGCTGCCAGGGCTCATCTGAGTTCCGCCTGTCGGGTGAGGCGTTTGCTCCTCAGCAGCCTTCACAGACGCAGCTTCGCGTTTTGCCCTCCCTGATTCAGGATGTTGTGGACCTGTTACAAGCTGGCTCTAGGCTCCAGTTCGATTGCCTGAACTTGTGAAGCAGCTGGGTGATGAGTCCCTCTTCCTGGTTCCGGTGGTGGACGAATGCGTGTTTACCTCGGTCGCCCTCGGGTGCCTGCCAAACAGGGGCGGTTGGTTCCACCGTATGCCCAGTCGGGCGCCCTTCTGCGGCAGGCATACCGTACCTATGAGGAGGTATACCGGAATGCTATCCAACAGATTCGGGTTGTGGTCCATGGGGCGTACCTCTCCTCGATTCAGAGGTCGGCCCTGGAAGCGGAGGCGGGTACAGGTGACGTTTCACCTAATGTTGTCCTCCTGCATCAACTAACCGAGGTACAGGCCCACCTGACCAGGGACTCTTTACGGTCCGTCTGCCCCGACCTCCCGTTAAACGTGCAGGCTGTCTCCGTGGGTACGTCCCAGCCAGTTCAACTGCAGGGGACTACTCACGCACTCTTACCACATCCCAGTGGGGGGCCGCCTCTTTCTCTTCCTTCCGGAGTGGGAGAAGGAAACACACAACTCTTGGGTGCTGTTAACTGTACGTGTCGGCTGTGGAAGCGAGGCCCACCAGAGTTCACCGGCATAAGGCGCACTCTAGTGTCGTCCTGTCCGGTAAAGGTGGGTATTCTGCGTGATGAGGTTCAGGCTTTGCTGGACAAGTCCGCAATAGAGCCCATACCACCGGGGGAGGAACAGGCGCGGTTTTACTCCATGTACTCTCTTGTTCGAAAAGACGTCCCATTCTCAACCTCAAGGGGTTGAATCGCATGTTAGAGGATCCATCCTTCAAGATGGATACACTTCGCTACGGTGATCTCCACTGTTCAGCCCGGCGATTGGCTTACGTCGATCGATCTAAAGGATGCGTATCTACATGTGCCTATTCATCCCACGTTCAAGCAGCACCTCCAGTTCTCTTTCGACGGGATGTGTTATCAGTTCAGGGTGCTGTCCTTCGGCATATCCACTGCCCCCAGGGTGTTAACCAAGCTCATGTTAGTACCGGCTACCCTCACGCGGTCGCAAGGAAGGCATTGTCACCCGTACCTGGACGACTGGTTGCTGCGTGCGCAGCGAGCCTAGATTCTACTCACACAGTGATAGACATTCTAGTTAGACTGGGGTGGATCATAAGCCTCAAGAAATCTGACCTGGTACCCACCCAGGACTTGTAACGTATATTATATTTGGGATTACACTTTCTTAGTAAAGTTCAGATTCTAGTACTTTTTGGGGGTTGAGTCCCATCTGGCATTCGAACCCACACCCTCAGAGTTAGGCACCTAATCGCCAGCACACAAAGTCAGACGCCTAACTCGCTCAGCCCCCAAAAAGTACTAGAATCTGTACTTTACTAAAAAAGTGTAATCCCAAATATAACATATGTTACATTTGACCACTTTCTAAAATGGCATTGTGTATTTCACCGAGGACTTGGTTTATCTCGGGCGCGGTTCACAACTCAATACGGTCTTGTGTCTCTGTCGCCCAACCGGATCACCAGAGTACGGGAGATGGTATCTTCGTTCCTCTCCCAGCCCCAGGCGCCAGCGCAGGTTTCTGGCTCAGCCTCCTGTTCTATTACCTTTGCGACCGGACATTCTCACTCAGAACGGCGCGCCACACTCCAGTCCAAGGATTCAGTGGGTGGCTTGGCCTCAGTCAGGTCTAGCCTCGAGGCACGCAGAATTCCTGCAGCAGCTGCAGACACAATTCTGGCTTCGAGGCGGGATTCAACAAACGTTCAGTATGAGGATAGGTGGTCCCGCTACACGCGCTAGTGTTCAGATAGGGGAATTGCAGATCCCTTTTCTGCGGATTTAGTCCGGGTTTGGGAGATTCTGCAGTCTCTGTTGGAAGAAGGTTTGGCGGCTTCGACCATTCTTGGCTACTCCACCACTATTTCCACCTTTCACACCCCTGTGGATGGTGCTCTTCTGGGGCAACACCCTCTTATGCAGCGCTTCCTAGCTGGCGTGGATCGGGTTCAACCTGCTCTCAGGCATACCAGCCCACCTTGGGATTTGTTAATCGTGCTCGATTGGCTGTCTGGTCGTACTTTCTCACGTCTATCAGCTATTTCCATTCAGCTGTTAACATGGAAGGCCATTTTTCTGGTGGCGGTGACATCTGGGAGAAGGGTCGGTAATTTACATGCCATGTCTGCAGACCCAGCACTGACTGTGATCCATCCAGTTACCGTCCGAAGATCAATCACGCTTTCCATGTGACAGCTCTTACCCAGCCTTCCACATCTGGGACCTCTGCAACGAGTACTCACCCGTTGGACGTCCGTAAGACCCTCAAGGTCTATATCAAACGAACACAAGGGATCCGTACTTGTACCCATCTGTTCTGCTGTTATGGTGGCGGGAAGGCTGGGGCTCCTGCCAGCAAACAGACACTATCTCGCTGGCTTATGTCGGTAATCTGTGCTGCGTATCAGGCTAAGGGCAAGCCTCCCCCTGAGGAGTTGAAGGCTCACTCGGACAGGGCAGTCGCCACTACAAAAGCGTTTGCAGCGGCATTGCCCATCCAAGAGATTTGCTCTGCCACTATTTGGACCCGGCCTAGCACTATCATACAGCTCTATCAGCTGGATACACACTCCCGTGATGAAGCACGCTTTGGCCGTTCTGTTCTCTCCGGTGGACAGTGTCCTGCCACCCTGACCGAGTGAGTCTTGGTTATTTGGTTTTATAGAGATGCTGTGTTCAATTGTTGTTTAATTGACATATCTGCTGTTGATTCTTGCCAACTTTCAGTTGCTCGGTTGAGATTTTCGGTTGTGACTGGTGGTTTCCCCTTACAATGCTCTCTATAGAGTTTTCACTTAATGGGCGGGGTTTGTTTACACTCTATATGATGTGTTGTCATGCTTAACATGTTGAGGTCGGTCCTCAGTACGATTTCTCCCTGTCGGGTCACCTCCCATAATGCCTCTCGCGGAAGCTTCGGGGACAAGTGACAGGTGAGTGTTATGGCGTGAGTAACTTTTTGTAATTACGAGATCGCTATTTATTTGTACTGTGACAGAATTCCCTTCTCCCTAGCCTCAAGTCTTTGGGAGTCTGTGTTAATGCATATATGTACCCCAAGCACGATCTCTATGAAAAAGAATTAGATAAAACTGTAGAGGGTTCGTCCTTGGGGTAGGGCCGCCACCTCCCCGCAATTCTGTTCACTGATTTGTTCAGCAGAAGGAATGATGATTTCGGCTTAGGTGCTTACCTGGTTGACTGCACATGCGTGTCAGGGAGGAAACTCAGCTTGGTGACGGACGTATAATAAATAAGAAGGCTTTTTTATTTGTTGTACAAAATTTTATTAAAACATTGATACAACTCTCACATGACATTTTCAAGCGCAGAAAATGCATATATGTACCCCAAGGACGATTCTCTTCAAAGAATTGGAAACCTCTACAGGTTTTTCTAAGTTTCTATAATAATTGTTTTTGCAGACAGATAAGGTGATATACTTTGCCACTGAGGCAGTAACCCCACTTGAGACTCATCTGAACAACAATGACGGAGATGCCAAGAATGAGCTGGCCATATCATGGGGCCTGCATCAGATCGTGGTTGGTACTAGTGATAAATCCATGCTCAAACTGTTTCCCCATTGCATTCCATAACATATTTAGTTTGAGCACAGTTGAAGCCGATAGATGCCATAATCTAATAATCGAGGTACTATGCCCCATAATTTCATCCCTGTCTTCATCATATCACTAACTTCATCTTTGATTCCACCATGTCCATAGATTCATCATGGTGTTGTGTAATCCTGTCCATATATTCATCCTTATCTTCACCATGTCCATAATTTCACCAGTCTTCATCATATCCCTAACTTCATCTTTGTCTTTAGCATGTCCATAGATTAATCATGGTGTTATGTAATCCTGTCATATATTCATCCTTGTCTTTACTATGTCCATAGATTCATCGCTGTCTTCATCATATCCCTAACTTCATCTTTGTCTTTAGCATGTCCATAGATTCATCATGGTTTTATGTAATCCTGTCATATATTCATCCTTGTCTTCATTATGTCCATAGATTCACCACTGTCTTCATCATATCCCTAACTTCATCTTTGTCTTTAGCATGTCCATAGATTCATCACTGTCTTCATCATATCAATAGATTCATCCTTGATTCCAACATGTCCATAGATTCCGCCCTGTCTTACATAATCATATCCCTGGATTGATCATGGTCCTGACCATGTCCCTATTTTTGTACTTGTCCTTACCATGTCCATAGTTTCATTGTTGTTATCATCAGGTTAATAGTTGTGAGTGGATGAGATTGTTTGATAATGCTAAAGAGGAAAGTATAAAAAAATTTAAACCATATATATGTTGCAGGTAGGACATTCAAATTCTATGATTATGGTTGAATACAAATAATTTCTGCCTGCAGCTGTGTTATTTGCAACAGCCTAACAAACAGCATGAATAGTCTCCATTGTTGTTGTTAACAGAAAGGGTTATCCTTCCTGGTGAATGACTGCAGCTTGATCCACAACAATGTGTGCATGGCGTCAGTGTTCGTGGACCAGGCCGGGGAGTGGAAGCTGGGTGGAGTCGAGTACATGTACCCTGCTGAGGGGGCACAATCTATCCCCCCTGTCAAAATACTCCCCATTTTGGAAAAGTACGATCCTCCTGAGAAGGCTGATATGAAGAGGGGAATCAGGGGAGATAAGTGGTGAGCCTTGCACTTGTACAGTTAGGCTTACCAAACATAATTTGTCTCATGCCAGTACACCTTTTTCATAATCAACTTGTTTTAAATGTGTGTGTCTGTTGTGTGTTAGTTTTGAAGGCAGTTAAAATGTTCAATGTCTGAAATCTTAACATGCTTAGCAAAATATATTTGAGCAACACCTTTACAATGGAAAAGACTCAATAAAACATGTCATTCCAATGTGAATATATTCCTGTCACAATATGCCTCAGTTATTATTGTAAAATATAAGGGGAAGGTACACATGTGGTTCAGTGATCAGGAGTACATAATGTGTGCTCTTTTCAGAAATATTTTATGTTGTGTTGATAATTTCACAAAACTCGTGCTAGTGATGTACATATGGTTTACGTGTTGATGTGTCTCAGGTCATCGGACATGTGGGGACTGGGTTGTCTTATCTGGGAAGTCTTCAATGGAACACTACCAAGGACATCAGCACTTAAGTCACTTGGCAAGGTACTGTGTTTGACTGTTATTGGTGTGAGTGAGTGAGTGAGTTTAGTTTTATGCCGCACTCAGTAATATTCCAGCTACATGACGGTGGTCTGTAAATAATTGAGTCTGCATGAGATAATCCAGTGATTAAAAGCATGAGCATCGATCTAGGCAATTGGGATATGATGAAATGTGTCAACCAAGTCAGCGAGCCTGACCACCCGATTCCGTTAGTCACCTCTTACGCCTGTTATTGGTTAATTGTGAGACAGTCAAACAAAATGTTGTCAACATTCATGGAAATGTGATTATTAAGAATGCAGGTAATTTAGTTAATAGGAACGTGTGGAATATAATTGTGGATTTTTATGTATTGCCTGAAGTTAGCTACAATTTTGTAAGTGTAGTTTATGATCAAAATGGATGTCCATACAATCCAGGGCATTACTAATACAGTTGATGGAGTGGGTATTGCTGCATGAACTGGCATAGATGGTCTGGAACAAACTTTCCAGAGTAACTTGAAGATATTGTTTCCTGATCTTCTGGGTTCCAAGATTGTGATTTTGCAACACAGACATCATAAGGTGCCATGTGTCATTGGCAGGCAATAGCTTCAGTATTTAGACTTTTATCTGATTGAGCAAGCACTTTGTCTTCGATAAAATTTCTTGAGTAACAAAGAAAACAACTCTGATATTGCTCAGAGCTCACAGCATTTGTTGACATAACTTCCATAAATCTTGTATGAATGTTATTTTTACAGATTCCAAAAAGCCTTGTACCAAACTACTGTGAACTTGTTGGGGCCAACCCCAAGTCAAGGCCTAATCCTGCCAAGTTCATGGGAGCATGTCAGCGTAAAGATGGCTTCATGAACAATTCTTTTTGTCAAGTCCATGTTGTTCTTGGAAGAATTTCAGGTAGAACCACAGATTTGTTTATTTTTGTTTCCATTTTGCATTATTTGTGTAAAACATTGTATTACATCCTCTTTCTGCTCTGAAATAAATAGACTTCATCTTGTTTCAGATCAAAGACCAGAATGAAAAGACAAAGTTTTTCTCCAACCTCACTCCATCACTAGATTCATTTCCACCCCAGTTCTGTCGACATAAGATCTTACCACAGCTCATGAATGCATTCGAGTACGGCAATGCTGGGTCTTCAGTATTAGCACCTTTGTTTAAGGTAATGGATCATGTCTAATACAAATAACTTCAATTTGAATTCTAGGTATCGTTTAAATAACATTTCATTAATATGTGCTCTACTCTTTGACATCCATTACACTTTCAGTTGCTCAAAGTGTAAACAAGATCAGTTGTGACATGGCAAGCAAGTGATGCCAACTCAGACATGTCAAATATTATGTTAATACATTGTAGTGGATGTTACAGTATGCCTAGCTGATTTGTATGGCTTTCACAAGTTGATTGGCCAGGCTTGAAGTAGAAATGATGATGTTGTTTATGGTTTGTCAAGTTCTTGTTTTATTTGCAAAGAGATGTGGTCCAGCTGTGAAATATTTTCTTGAAGCGGAAGCATGTTGGAAATAATCACCTCGGTATGGTGTTTCTAGAGAACAGTAAATGAAGCAGGTGCTCATGACATTAATGGGCACATTTATATATACTCTGATGTCTTTGTGTATTGTCAACTTCAGCACAATCTACACTCACTGACTGACTGACTGAGTTTAGTTTTACGCCGCTTTTAGCAATATTCCAGCAATATCACAGCGGGGGAACACCAGAAATGGGCTTCACACATTGTGCCCATGTCACAATCTACACATATGTAACAATGGTGAAATTAAATTTCTGTTTTCAGCTTGGAAAACTGCTTGATGCTGATGAGTATCAAAAGAAAATAGTTCCCTGTGTTGTCAAACTGTTCTCCTCACCAGATAGAGCAACCAGAGTCAAACTTCTGCAACAGGTACGGATGGGATGGATGATGGTGATCATGGATAATAATGATGATGAAAATAGGGACAATGATATATTATAAGTTGTTCACTGGTCTCGAGGGGGACATTGGCTGATGTACCCTCGATGTTTGTTTATGTTCCCTGAGCCTGAAGGGAGAGGGGAACATACTGAAACATTGAGGGTACATCAACCCATGGGCCCCGAGGGACCAGTGAACAACATATTTATCTTATCGAACACCTCAATGGTAATTTTGAAATGTTTGAAGCACGGGTATCGGATCATAGTATGGAGTACCAGACAACAAGACGACATGAAAAACAAATTTAGAGTTATTTCCCTCCGATTGGCATTCGCAAAACATCGGTAATTTCCGTACATCATGCGTGATTTAATGTTATTCGAGATAAAGAATTACTACTACGAAGTACCAAATGAGTTCGGCATTCCCAGCGGGGTGCATAGAAATGTTACTCACTTGTAAGCGGGGTACATTGAAAATAATAGAAGAGCGCTCAGCCAATCAGAAAACGACATTTATGTGTGAGGCAAGATAAGATATGTTAACTGACAGTGATGATGATAAGAGATGGTTGTTGAGGAAGATGATGTGAGTGTTGATGAATGAAAGCCGTGATGGATCACATTAGTGATGATTAAGATGATGATGAATAATGAGGAAAATGTTTGTAATGATGGTAGTGACGACACTAGTGGTGATTAAGTTGATAATGGTTTGCAAAAAAGAAGATGGAGATGACTGCAATGGTGGTGATAAAAGGGATAATAGATAACAAGGAAGAAGATGGTAATGTTCTAATGGAGATTGAAGATTATGAGTGAGTGACCAAGTTTAGGTTTACTTTACTTTTAGCAATATTCCAGCAATATTCCAGCAATATCACGGTAGGGGACACCAGGAATGGGCTTCATACATTATGATGGGAAGATTATGATGGGGATAATTTAAGGTAATGATATATGATAATGAAGGTGATATATGATGAGGTAGTTTGGAGTGAATGTTTCCAAGAGTTGAATGTCTGTATATTTCATTCCATAGTGAGACATTGGAAGCTCAATAAAGCTTGTTGGATCTCTTTGCTTGAACAGTATCAAGTGTCTATGTATTGATTTTTTAGGTGGAGTATTTTGTGGAACACTTACAATCTAACACAGTGAATGATCAGATCTTCCCCAATCTCATCAGTGGCTTCTCAGACACAAATCCAGTGGTCAGGGAGAGCACAATCAAGGTGAGTTTTAGAAGTAGTGTCGACTAAAACAGTTAGATCAGGAAGTAGGGTTGAACGACAAAATTCTTCAGAGAGAGTACACTTGAAATCTTCATTGGGTTATTGACAAGAGATGGTGAGGGCTGCGTAAAGTTTGTTATATATTCTATATTGGCTGCAATACACATTATCAGTATTGCTATAATGCTACATTATCAAGATAAATGTGGCTTGGAAGATGGGGTGGAGGATGAAGGGGAGACAACTCCCTGTGAAGTCTGATGGTTGTTTGAGTGCTGCCCCAGTCATGTTCATTGTTCTGATATCTGTACAAATCTGTTCAAACCTCACATTTCTTAACAAGATTAATCTAAATATAACTGATTCAAATCTTTTATGAAAGAATGGTTTGATATTTCAAGTAATGAAAAGACTTCTGCTCTAAATAACAATATCTATCTTTCGATATTTGCTGATGTCCTTCTCTACAACTTCACTGTTGAACTTAAAGCCCTGCCTATTTCCAATATGCACAGGTTGAAAAAATAAAATAATATACCAGCTGATGTGATATTTTTTGACAGGCGATGCTTCATTTAGCATCAAAACTCAACTATAAAAACTTGAATGAAGAACTTATGAAACATTTTGCTCGCCTCCAGGCTAAGGATGATCAGGTAATATTTGCATATTTTACTATTGATGGGAATTTACACAATTTATGAAAGAATTTCTTGTCTTTCTTAAATGTTTTAGGATTATTTATGTTTTATTTTTCTTTTGCTGTGGTATGTGCTTAATAATCATTAACAGCTTCCACTTCAGCATTAAACACTGTTCTGGTTCATGATAATTTAAATAATGCTTGTCATACACAAATGGGAAGTGATATCACATACGTTGTTATTTATATGTAATATCCTGTATTCTAACAGGGCGGCATCAGAACAAACACCACAGTCTGTCTTGGGAAGATCGGACATTTTCTCAACCCAAGCGTAAGTATTTATATAAAAAATGTTACGGTCCAATTGACACTTTCTGCTATGTTTTATCAGACTCTGATTTTAAAATACATATTGGGTATTAACTTAACTATGTTAAATGATGTTGATTTAGATAACTGTTTACATTATCCTTTATGATAATCTTTTAATCACATTAAGAGTCAACATAGGATTCCAAAGTCAGTTACTATTTAATGCATTATTGCTCCATATTATGATGATACCATTTACCAATGCATTATTGCACCATATTATGATGATACCATTTACCAATGCATTATTGCACCATATTATGATGATACCATTTACCAATGCATTATTGCACCATATTATGATGATACCGTTTACCAATGCATTATTGCACCATATTATGATGATACCATTTACCAATGCATTATTGCACCATATTATGATGATACCATTTACCAATGCATTATTGCACAATTTTATGATGATACCATTTACCAATGCATTATTGCACCATATTATGGTGATATCATTTACCAATGCATTTTTGCACCATATTATGGTGATACTATTTACCAGTGTATTATTGCTCCATATCATGATGATAACATATACCTGGGTGTTATAGGAGAAGTAATTAAGGACCTGTTCCTCTGTATTGTGAGTACCCACATGTGCCAGGTGTAGGGATAAGTAATCAAGGACGTGTTTCCCTCACAGATCAGACAGAAGATCCTGTGTTCGGCCTTCCTGCGAGCAACTAAGGACCCCTTCCCTCCAGCACGTCAAGCAGGTGTGCTGGGTCTGGCAGCCACACAGAACTTGTACAGCCTGAAGGAAATCTCGGGTCGCCTTCTGCCATCACTGTGTTGCATGACCATGGACCCGGAGAAGATCGTCCGAGACCAGGTAACTTGATTATATCTCATACCTGGCTGGAAATTTTAGTATTGATACAGAGTCTCAAAAGTAGCCTAATATATCAATACATGGGTAAATGGGGCGTAGTGGGTGAGCTGGCTAAGGCGCCAGGCTAGTGACCCAGCAAGGTTGAGGTGTCAGGATCAAGCCCACCTGTCACCGGGTGTAAAAACCTTGGAGTCAACTTTGTGTGAAGACTTTCAGTGTTCCCCAACCCAGATGGTGGCCACATGAATACGCGCAAACACCTAGTTGCAGGTACAGGAACGTGCAGTGAACTTGGACAGTCCACCCAGCTGTGAATGGGTTCCTCATAAGGATGAGAAAGCCACAATAACTCGGTGCGCCTAGTGGCTGCAAGAGTTGCATACTCCCCAGGGAGTTGAGATTGATAACACGATGTACCGTTGAGATTGACATCCAATGATCAAGGGAAGAAATACCAGCGCCTTGAGCAAGCACTAGTTGCCTGGATATGTGCGCTATATAATTATCGTATAATAATAATATAAAATAATGATATATAATAAAATGACTACGTGTATAGATAAAATGTCTGCTCCTGTATTCAGGAGGTGTTTGTGAATTCTGCAAATGTTTGAGTTATTTTGCAGATGTTTGAGGTGTTGATGTAATATGTGTGTTGATTCTGTAGGTATTCAAGGCCATTAAGGGTTTCATAGGTAAACTGGAGAAAGTGTCCGAAGATCCAGAGCTGGAGGAACAAATAGGTATGTTGTCAACCGTCTGTTGGGACACTCAACATATACAATATTATTATGATATACTTGCATACATTATGTACATACATGTATATACATTTTGCATATACCCAAAATGATACAAAACATAATATGTGTTTGTTTCAAATGTTTTTCGGGCAGTGGGGTAGCCTCATAGTTAAAGTGTCTGATCGTCAGCGTACCAACCCGGCTTTTATTCCCCACGTGGTGTCCCCCACTGTGATATTGCTGGAATATTGCTAAAAGTGGCATAAAACCTCCCTCCCTCCCTCCCTCCCTCACGATGTAACTGGTTACCATGGTAAGTGTTGATTTCCACAACAGAGAGAGAGGTGATGACGGGTGGATCTGAAGCAGCAGCAGCAGGCTGGGCTGGCTGGGCTGTGACCGGGATGACATCTATCACATCCAAGATCTACAACAAGGCCACAGCCAAGAAGAAGACTCCTTCCATGTCTGGTGGGTCAGGAATATCACTGGTCAAGTCCCCACCTCACCAGACAAGGCAACACCATCATCCCAGCAGCCAGCTGTTGCTGAAGAGGAGGAAGAAGAGGAGGAGGGAGAAGAAGAGCAGGAGCAACAGACAGATGAAGGATGGGATGCAGAAGACTGGGGAGACATGGACGTGAGTATTATATGACACTGGGTGTTATGAGGACCAAATTTGACCTTTCTGGTATGACAAATGTTAAAGACGAGGAGTAAAACATTGTGACGTGAAATGGTCTTACTCATTACATTCAAGATTTTTACATTAGTCTCATTGGAACAAATAATTTCAGTTTTGGGATTGAAATAAATTTGAATGGATGAATATTATTTCTGTTGGAGGGCACTGTGTATTATAGTATGACAACATGAGGTTTTAGTGCAGGGCCTAATTTGTTAGACCGATTTAACTGAATCTTTTGAAATTAAAAGTCAGTGGATGGAGTAGATTTTGTTGTAAATATTCAGAACTTACATCCATGCTTACATCATCGTAACTAGAGTACTGTTCTACAAAACACTCTGAACACCAAGACAGTCCTAACTTCCTCGCCATAACATTGATTCTGACTGCATGTTGTCTCGTTATGTTTTAAGGCCATTTCTTTCATGTACAAGCAGGTCCTGCTAGCCAGTTGTTAGGTTTTCCAAAATCTGCCTGTAGCTTAAATGTAATGGTGCACAATATCACGAGCAGTTGTAAACACTCATAAAACTTGAAATATGGGTAAACATATTCTGATTTAATCCGATTGTTTACAAGAACTGTTTGGTATGCATGCAGGAGATGGGAGTCAGTCAGCCTACAGCACCACGCAGTGGCCAGCAGAACCAGGCAGTTTCATCATCAGCGACTGATGGTTGGGACAATGATGATGATGATGACTGGGGCAGTCTGGAAGATACTGGCAAAAGTAAAACTAGTGCATTGGTAAGGATACAGGTTGACCCTAGAAAAGAAAGCCATTGGAATAATAGACAGTCATAATGTTTTCAAAACATTAAAAAGATTGTGAATTTTCTGATAACAAACCACAGCAGTGATTGAAGGGTTCCACTCCTGTGTAACTTCTTTAAGTTGCATGTAAGACGTCAGTACGATGAAGTACAAGTTATTTGAATTGACAACTTCTTTACTGCAATGTTTAGTAGTGAACTTTGTAGATCCAGTGCTAAATGGTTAAATATCTGTTGACAAGGCAGGAGTTCACGTAGATCCAGTGAGAAATGGTTGAATATCTGTTGACAGATTGGTAGTATATGGCTCTGTAGATCCAGTGATGCATGGGTGAATGTCTGTTGACAGGGTGGTAGTTCAGGTAGATCCAGTGAAACATTGTTGAATGTCTTTTGACAGGGTGGTAGTTCAGGTAGATCCAGTGAAACATTGTTGAATGTCTGTTGACAGGGTGGTAGTTCAGGTAGATCCAGTGAAACATTGTTGAATGTCTTTTGACAGGGTGGTAGTTCAGGTAGATCCAGTGAAACATTGTTGAATGTCTGTTGACAGGGTGGTAGTTCAGGTAGATCCAGTGAAACATTGTTGAATGTCTGTTGACAGGGTGGTAGTTCAGGTAGATCCAGTGAAACATTGTTGAATGTCTTTTGACAGGATGGTAGTTCAGGTAGATCCAGTGAAACATTGTTGAATGTCTTTTGACAGGGTGGTAGTTCAGGTAGAGACAGTGAAACATTGTTGAATGTCTGTTGACAGGGCGGTAGTTCAGGTAGATCCAGTAAAACATTGTTGAATGTCTGTTGACAGGGCGGTAGTTCAGCTAGAGACAGTGAAACATTGTTGAATGTCTGTTGACAGGGCGGTAGTTCAGGTAGATCCAGTGAAACATTGTTGAATGTCTGTTGACAGGACGGTAGATCCAGTGAAACATTGTTGAATGTCTGTTGACAGGGTGGTAGATCCAGTGAAACATTGTTGAATGTCTGCTGACAGGGAGGTAGTTCAGGTAGATCCAGTGAAACATTGTTGAATGACTGTTGACAGGGAGGTAGTTCAGGTAGATCCAGTGAAACATTGTTGAATATCTGTTGACAGGGTGGCAGTTCAGGTAGATCCAGTGAAACATTGTTGAATGTCTGTTGACAAGGCAGGAGTTCACGTAGATCCAGTGAAACATTGTTGAATGTCTGTTGACAGGGAGGTAGTTCAGGTAGATCCAGTGAAACATTGTTGAATTTCTGTTGACAGGGCGGTAGTTCAGGTAGATCCAGTGAAACACTGTTGAATGTCTGTTGACAGGGCGGTAGTTCAGGTAGATCCAGTGAAACATTGTTGAATGTCTGTTGACAGGGTGGTAGTTCAAGTAGATCCAATGAAACATTGTTGAATGTCTGTTGACAGGGTGGTAGTTCAGGTAGAGACAGTGAAACATTGTTGAATGTCTGTTGACATGGCGGTAGTTCAGGTAGATCCAGTAAAACATTGTTGAATGTCTGTTGACAGGGCGGTAGTTCAGGTAGATCCAGTGAAACATTGTTGAATGTCTGTTGACAGGACGGTAGTTCAGGTAGATCCAGTGAAACATTGTTGAATGTCTGTTGACAGGGCGGTAGATCCAGTGAAACATTGTTGAATGTCTGTTGACAGGGAGGTAGTTCAGGTAGATCCAGTGAAACATTGTTGAATGTCTGACAGGATGGTAGTTCAGGTAGATCCAGTGAAACATTGTTGAATGTCTGTTGACAGGTAGTTCAGGTAGATCCAGTGAAACATTGTTGAATGTCTGTTGACAGAGGCGGTAGTTCAGGTAGATCAGTGAAACATTGTTGAATGTCTGTTGACAGGATGGTAGTTCAGGTAGATCCAGTGAAACATTGTTGAATGTCTGTTGACAGGGTGGTAGTTCAGGTAGATCCAGTGAAACATTGTTGAATGTCTGTTGACAGGATGGTAGTTCAGGTAGATCCAGTGAAACATTGTTGAATGTCTGTTGACAGGGTGGTAGTTCAGGTAGATCCAGTGAAACATTGTTGAATGTCTGTTGACAGGGTGGTAGTTCAGGTAGATCCAGTGAAACATTGTTGAATGTCTGTTGACAGGGCGGTAGTTCAGGTAGATCCAGTGAAACATTGTTGAATGTCTGTTGACAGGATGGTAGTTCAGGTAAGTGAAACATTGTTGAATGTCTGTTGACAGGATGGTAGTTCAGGTAGATCCAGTGAAACATTGTTGAATGTCTGTTGACAGGGAGGTAGTTCAGGTAGATCCAGTGAAACATTGTTGAATGTCTGTTGACAGGGCGGTAGTTCAGGTAGATCCAGTGAAACATTGTTGAATGTCTGTTGACAGGGAATGGTAGTTCAGGTAGATCCAGTGAAACATTGTTGAATGTCTGTTGACAGGGTGGTAGTTCAGGTAGATCCAGTAAAACATTGTTGAATGTCTGTTGACAGGGCGGTAGTTCAGGTAGATCCAGTGAAAAATTGTTGAATGTCTGTTGACATTGTGGTAGTTCAGGTAGATCCAGTGAAACATTGTTGAATGTCTGTTGACAGGGTGGTAGTTCAGGTAGATCCAGTGAAACATTGTTGAATGTCTGTTGACAGGGTGGTAGTTCAAGTAGATCCAGTGAAACATTGTTGAATGTCTGTTGACAGGATGGTAGTTCAGGTAGATCCAGTGAAACATTGTTGAATGTCTGTTGACAGGGTGGTAGTTCAGGTAGATCCAGTAAGACATTGTTGAATGTCTGTTGACAGGGTGGTAGTTCAGGTAGATCCAGTGAAACATTGTTGAATGTCTGTTGACAGGGTGGTAGTTCAGGTAGATCCAGTAAAACATTGTTGAATGTCTGTTGACAGGGCGGTAGTTCAGGTAGAGACAGTGAAACATTGTTGAATGTCTGTTGACAGGATGGTAGTTCAGGTAGATCCAGTGAAACACTGTTGAATGTCTGTTGACAGGGTGGTAGTTCAGGTAGATCCATTGAAACATTGTTGAATGTCTGTTGACAGGGTGGTAGTTCAGGTAGATCCAGTGAAACATTGTTGAATGTCTGTTGACAGGATGGTAGTTCAGGTAGATCCAGTAAAACATTGTTGAATGTCTGTTGACAGGGAGGTAGTTCAGGTAGATCCAGTGAAACATTGTTGAATGTCTGTTGACAGGATGGTAGTTCAGGTAGATCCAGTGAAACATTGTTGAATGTCTGTTGACAGGGTGGTAGTTCAGGTAGATCCAGTGAAACATTGTTGAATGTCTGTTGACAGGATGGTAGTTCAGGTAGATCCTGTAAAACATTGTTGAATGTCTGTTGACAGGGCGGTAGTTCAGGTAGAGACAGTGAAACATTGTTGAATGTCTGTTGACAGGATGGTAGTTCAGGTAGATCCAGTGAAACACTGTTGAATGTCTGTTGACAGGGTGGTAGTTCAGGTAGATCCAGTGAAACATTGTTGAATGTCTGTTGACAGGATGGTAGTTCAGGTAGATCCAGTAAAACATTGTTGAATGTCTGTTGACAGGATGGTAGTTCAGGTAGATCCAGTGAAACATTGTTGAATGTCTGTTGACAGGACGGTAGTTCAGGTAGATCCAGTAAAACACTGTTGAATGTCTGTTGACAGGGTGGTAGTTCAGGTAGAGACAGTGAAACATTGTTGAATGTCTGTTGACAGAGGCGGTAGTTCAGGTAGATCCAGTAAAACATTGTTGAATGTCTGTTGACAGGGAGGTAGTTCAGGTAGATCCAGTGAAACATTGTTGAATGTCTGTTGACAGGACGGTAGTTCAGGTAGATCCAGTAAAACACTGTTGAATGTCTGTTGACAGGGTGGTAGTTCAGGTAGAGACAGTGAAACATTGTTGAATGTCTGTTGACAGGGCGGTAGTTCAGGTAGATCCAGTAAAACATTGTTGAATGTCTGTTGACAGGGAGGTAGTTCAGGTAGATCCAGTGAAACATTGTTGAATGTCTGTTGACAGGACGGTAGTTCAGGTAGATCCAGTAAAACACTGTTGAATGTCTGTTGACAGGGTGGTAGTTCAGGTAGAGACAGTGAAACATTGTTGAATGTCTGTTGACAGGGCGGTAGTTCAGGTAGATCCAGTAAAACATTGTTGAATGTCTGTTGACAGGGAGGTAGTTCAGGTAGATCCAGTGAAACATTGTTGAATGTCTGTTGACAGGACGGTAGTTCAGGTAGATCCAGTAAAACACTGTTGAATGTCTGTTGACAGGGTGGTAGTTCAGGTAGAGACAGTGAAACATTGTTGAATGTCTGTTGACAGGGCGGTTGTTCAGGTAGATCCAGTGCTGCCAAGTCTGGAGCATCTGACTGGGGAAATGACTGGGGCCAGGATGACTTCACCTCCACAGCTGACAGTGGCATGATGTCCACCAGTGACTATAACTGGGGTGGTGATTCCACAAGCGGTGACTTCTTTTCAACAAGCATGGGCGTAGGCAAGGTAATCATATTGAATGTCAGGAATGAAATACACTGTGTCATTGACAAAGAAAGTTGGCAAAATTGAGTTTGGGTACATGTAATCATAAATAAATACCACTCCACTTTTGACGGGTATGGTTTGTTTTATCTCTCTAATGATACGCAGAACTGATTCTTTAATGTGCCAAATGTATTTTTAAGTAGAATAACATACCAGATCAAATGTTGAAAGTAAAGTTTTATCTGTTGAAATGAATATTTTTCAGACAAATAAACCATCACAGAGTTCAGCCAGGAGGAAAACACCGCCAAAGGAGACTCAGAAGTCTCCATCACCAGCCCCAGCTCCGAGAGCAGCATCAGCAAAAGTCACATCACCCTCCAGCAAATCAGAGGATGCTGCCTGGGCTGATACAGGAGGGGGCTGGGACAATGACGAGGGGGGATGGACAGATGACTCCTGGGGCTTAGGAGGGGGTATGTAGCTTGTAATGTACATTTGCATCTTGAACAATGCCAGTGATTAGTATAATCTCCTTTTTTTAGTCATTGTACGATTAATTCAGGACTGAATTCAATGCTCTTCTATTTTCTGATGGTATAAACATAAAAAAGCAGATAGGATGCAAAATGTGCACTAGAAAGGAGATTGTAATAATGGCTACTTGTACTCTCTATGTTAGGAGGTGTTGATCCTAGACTAGAATCATAATGGCAGAGATGCATCTTAACCTGGTACATTTACTTGTCCATTTTGTGGTAACATGTAGATATCCACTACTACCCGCTAGATACCTAGCCTGGCATTCTACTAGCTCTCTGGGTACCTCATTAATTATACTGACCCAGGCAAGTAGGCTAGTCCCAGGAATAAGGTTTAACTGGTAAAGGTGATCAGTATTTGCATGGTGCCAGGGGCTAGAGGTCAAGGTTCCATCTGTGACCTGGCAACACTTCTCACACTATGGCTTCTTCATGACTGGAACACAGATTCCTTGGTGATCTGGCTGCAATATTGCTAACAGTGCATTAGTTCATGCATTCACCATTTTCACTGAGTAACAGGAGTATACACTATCAAAGATGTTTCATTTAACATTTATTAAGTAAACCTATTCATACCCTCTTGCTTCAATTTTCTTTGATTGTTTGATATTTAACTTCCCATTATTAGGTATGTCTGAAGCTGAGCGCAAGAAACAAGAACGAGAAGAGAAGAAACTGCAGCGTCAGCGGGAGCTCCAGGAGAAAAGAGAAGCTAAAAAAGGGGCAATGAAACTGGGTGCCAAGAGGATTGGCTAAAGCTTGTAAGGAACTCATTTTGTCAAACTGAACCCAGAAAACATGTGAAGATCATGACGATGGTGACAGGACTCAAGTTGTTCCCTGATGAACATTCAAGTAGGACATGCTGTATGGTGGATGAGCTTGTGTATACATATACTGCATTGTTGTACATTGGAAGATCCAAGTGTAGGTATATTTTTAGAAGCGCTGGATGTTGGAAGATCTGTGTATCGGAAGTGCTAATGTTGCCAGAACTCAACTGTACAGTTGTGTGTGGACGATGAGACGCTGTGTTGTGTAGGTATTATTACCACTGATCTGTGGATGCATGCTGTGATGCCCATATGTGATCTATAGATGAAACATGCATGTATGGTATGAATATTGCAGTCGAAGATACAAGCAGTTGTTAAGGTATATTTATCATAAGTTGTTACGGAGATGTTGACTTTCGGTGCTTGTTTGTTTTTTCTGTGAATGTATGGAAAGGCTATGTACGATTTTGTGCACCCACTGATTGTTGGATTATTTCAGTTACCATGTTTTTTTTCTCAGACTGTTTCAACAGAAAATCATACTCCCATCCATCATGTTTAGGCAGTTGTGTTTCTTTTAGTGTTCTTTAGGATTGGTGGTCAACTTCAATTTATTTGGATTGCAAAACATAATTACATGTATCCTATTGTGAAACAGTAACTGATAGATGTGAAATAACAAGTAATATTTGAATGCTTTGGTTTCATCCATCTTTCCTGGGAGTACTCTGAGAAGATGGATCTCTTGCCAATTCCTGCATGTGGCATAATATGCTGTTCCTACTCTACAAGCAACTGTCTGAAATTCTGTGATATTTGTTCCACCTTACTTCAACGTGAACCACCTGCATGAAGTGTTTCTTATTCTTACATTTGAAGTTGGGTGTTTCCACACACACAATATTCTGAAATAGAGTCAGTTCAGACAAACTTTTGCCTTTTGTCTTCATCAAGAAGAATTACAGCTTTCAAACTATTGTTGAACTTGACAAATGTTCCATGCTTGAACTCTCACTTTTCTTGTCAATAAGTCTGTGCCCACATATCTTTGCCTGTTTTTGTTCACAGTGGCCTGGGGGGGTTGGGTAGCCTAGTGGTTAAGGCATTAGCTTGTCACACCGAAGACCTGGGTTCGATTCCCCACATGGCCCATTTCTGGTGTACCCTGCCGGGATAATGCTGGAATATTGCTTTAACGCGACATGAAACTACACTCACTCATAGTGGCATCATATCAAACTCGCTCATTACTATCTCATGATCCTTTGAAGATTAGAGGAACCTATTCTGTTTAAACGGCCTCTTCAGTCAGGGTCGATATCAACGAAACACAGCTATTTATGTGAATCATTGTTGATGATGTCATGGACCATTTCAGTTTCTTTTCTACATACACTGCTAGGCTATTGATAAATAAAGATTACCTATTACATCTCAACTTATGTTACACATTCTTTTGTTTGTTTCTCTGCTGACTTCAACATCTGACACTGTTATCTTCATATAATTTGAAGAATAAAGGATTTGGTTATTGCTCTAATATGTGCTCTATTTCTGTGACAGATTTTCTGCTGCTATCAAGACATATTGAATGATGACCTTTCATGAAATAGGAGTAATGTCAGTCTCTGTGAATTATAGCCTTGCTTCATAACATCACATAGAAACATTATGTCTCCTAATCGAAAATGAAATGATGCTTTGCAGTGGTTATGTACAGAGTGGTAAAGTGAGTCTGGTATTGGTAAAGTGACTCAATTAAGTTGTACTTGTCTTTCAGTTAGTGATAGATAATACATACAGTATCTATGGGAGTAGTATTGGTCTAGATCATTTTTACTGTGACTCTGCATTTAAGAACAATGAATAATGGAAGAAAGTGATAATGCTTCTTGCTCTACAGGGTACAAGATATAGTTCTTCTGTTTTAGGAGGGATAGAACTGGTTTTTAGGAATGGACAAATGGTTTTATTGTTTTGACTTGTGTCTTGTAGCAATTACTGTAAAAACTCACTAGTCACAGTCTCAATAATCAATAACACTGCCAGATGGGTAATGCATATCAGCTATTTGTCAACTCAGCTTATGCTCTGTGTTACAAGGGTTTTGCTGTAGATCTAAGATGGAAGTAGGTCCCAGCTATATAGTGTGCAGATATCACTCCTTCGGGAGTTTTGGTCATCGTAAAATATGTTGTCCTCATTACATAATGTCAGATGAACTATACTACTTGACTTTTTATAAGGATATGATGGTGCAGATAATGAATATAAGGTTTAATATATGTTATATTTGGGATTACATGTTTTCAGTAAAGTACAGATTCTGGTAATTTTAGTGGATTCCAGGATTCGAACCCACACTCTCCACGTCAAACACACAGTGATCTAGCCTATTTGGCCACAACAGCTTCCACAAGTATGAATGTCTGACAACTGGTAGTTGAAAAGAATCTGCACTTTACTGAGAAAGTGTAACCCCAAATATAACGTACATGTATGTTACATTTTACCACTGTCTGAAACACAATGTATAGTCACAGTATCTGGTTTGTGTATCATGTAAAGGTGAAAAAATGTCCTTATCAAAACATAAGTAGTATAATGATTACTGTACATGCAGTATGTACATCTCCATTGAGGCATGTTTTATTGTGGAAAAATGAGCCTTTCCTGATATTGTTTTTGTCCCATTTGACCTGGCTACACTTGATTCCATCCAGTTTCTGTCCCTGTGGTGGTATTACAGGGGATTTTGTTGATGTGTCAGGATATTTATTGTAAATTATTAGAGCTGTATTATGACCTTGCAAATGGTGAAAATGTACAAAGATATTTCTGTACAGCTATGAATGAATAAATGAATACCTGTACACTTTCTGTTCCTCCCAGTATTTTACTGTCCACACGTCAAAAGGGTCTTGTCAAATGAGAGTGTCATTTTTGACTATGTGATGTGTGTTCACATCAAGATTAATGTAGAGCCTGATCTCTTTTGGTGCAAGGTTTCATGAATGAATCAAGTTAGATTCAGATATATGGTCTGGACAATGATTACAGATTGTTGATAACTATATAACTATACCTAAGGGGGAAAATATGTTTTATGCAAACCTTTGGGAAGCATGCCTGTTTTTTTTGGTAGTTCTAATATTTGATATTTTACTAAAGTGGAAACATTCAAAGGTGAATATCTCTCTTTGTCATTCTTAAAATAAGTGATTTTCAGACATAATATTTCACTATACAGTAACCTTAGAAAGAATTTCTGAAATGTAAAGTCAAATGATTTCAATCCATGTTAGTGTAAATATTCACCCACTCAATGGGAATGTTAGTCAATAGTTTACTGAGAAAGCAACAAATGAATTGAGAAAAAAAATACTTTCAGCTCGGTAAACACACAGTCAAATTTGTCTGCATTGATAACACATCCCATTATATGATAACAAACAAAACTAATTTACAAATAAAGCCTTTAATTCATGATCTAAACATTTACCTGACAGTATACACTGATCACATATTAACAACATGTAAGCAATAGGACTTATTAAATTGGACAGTTAATTAAATAAATGCTGGTTTACATTCATTCAGAATCTGACATAAATGTAAGTATAAAAAATAATTATAAATTTGGTTTTAGTAAAACATTGGCTTCATTAAAGACAAATGTTTATTAACATTGTTCCCATTGTTAAAGTACTGTAATAATCAAACATATAGATTCCAACTTTCATACAACATGAAAGATGACTAGTCTCATTCTATTGAGCAATATTTACATTCTGGCGTTGATCCTGCTCAAACCAAATCTGGTGTATTGATGTAAGGGAGATAACTCTCATTCCAGAAGTACTTCTGAGGGGAATGATTATACTCTTGATACTCAAGCAAGTTTCACAAAGTCTTTTCTCACAACATTATAACCTAATTACCTGCCACACTGACAATCTAAAACGTCAATGGGGCCTCTTATGATGACAAAATAGAACATCCACAAATGAACATGGACACAAATTTTTCAACATTCCTGAGACTTATTTTTGTAAAATGCTCAGCAGTCATTGTTTCTATGTACTAAAACTATCATACTTGTGGCTCCACTTTCCAGTGATTTTTAATGCTGTATGTTGTTTGTGAGTTTACTGTTTCGCAGGAACTGACACCACAACCACACAACATGTATGATAATATATTTTCTGTATTGGAATGATAAGAAAATGATAAGTGCAATACAAACAGGGAGGTATTGTGTTGGTGTTTGACATGCTCTTCCTGGTTGGAAGTAAAAACTATCTCAGCTTGAACCATTAACACAAATCACAAGACTTTTAAGCAAAATTCACGCATATTCATGAATGTTTAATTTCCCACATATTCACAGACCAAATCAAGTTTTGGACCCAAAGTGTGGGTTAGTCTATATGCTTGAATTTGCCAAAAGAGTCCTGTGTACAGATCCTACTTGTTACATACAACTGACATTTCTGTTACACCCAACAGGTCAACTGAACATGCTGAAATCCCCACATAAGGAAGACTTTACAGCATATGCAATGACACAATTATTGGAAATAACATCAAATGTACCACATGTCCATGCCTTGGACCTCAAACATAAGTAACGTCAGTCCAATGGAGTGAGATAAAATTTAATGTCACATCAGCAATATTTCAGCCATATAGTAACTGCCAGTCCAGTGGTGTGAAAGGTAAGAGACACAGGTAAATCCCTGAATCACATGCACAGAGAAACTCATCTCAAACCTGTAATTTTGCCTCGTCATCATAGATTCATGATCTTGGCAGAATCTTTTATTAGGTTTCTTTATTCATCATTATTTGTTTCTCCTTTAGCATGTTGTTTCATTCACATAATTTCTAAATATCTGATAAAGGCATGTTTTGCTGACATCTTCAGTCTGAATATCTAGTAATAAAATAAATAATTCACCACTGAGTTATTTGTCATTTTCAAGTGACATAAATAGAGAATACTACACGAGGTCTCATTACATACAAATTATACGAAACGAGTGTCCGTCCTATGGTATCTGATCGAACGAAAGCGAGGTCAGAAACCATAGGAAGGTCACGAGTTTCGTATAATTCGTATGTTATGAGACCAAGTGTGGTAATTTATTACCCATGTCTTACATGCATTAAACTGACAAAATAGCGTATTTTTGTTATTGTTATGGTTTCAAACCGAAACCGGTTTCATGAAGAGGTTGCGGTAGAATGTTGTTCTGTAGTACACTTTTTGAATGGCTTCACACTTTAATGACGTCACTACGCCTTGCTCGTCTGCCCCCTTGGTAACCGACGTCACGATGCATGTCAGTTGTCATTGCCTCGTACAGCCTCCTACATTAAACTACTCTGTAGCACCCCGTTTCTTAATTTGCAGTTGCTTCACTCAGCTAACCTCACTGGTGGAAACTTTGCGTTTATGTTTTTCGACGCATATAATGTCTCAGTTTGACTCAATTAACCAGCGATACGGCAACGTTTGCAATGTTTACATTCCCACAATGCATATAAGTTATAGAATGAATGAATTCACATGTTTGTTATGAATGAAAAAGTAGTTCGTCACAACGTGACCTAATTGAGAGGTCATCGGTTATCCAATGAAATTGTTAGAATCTCAGGTCAAGTTGTTATGACACAGGTCAACGCGATACGACACTCGTGTGACATACGATATTAGTATGCAACTACCCATACGTTGACCACGTGGGTAATAAATACCATGATTGAGTTCACAACCAACCATCTTGCTGCTATTGCAGTGAAGTGCTGATAGGTTGTTGTTGGGTGAGGTAGAACAGCAATGTACTCCAATAATTAGATAAATGAATGCTACTACATTGAACCCTTGAGTCTTCCATTCCACCGATACATTGTTGTAGTGAAATAATTGTCACTACTCACATGTTTGAATAACCCTGTACAGTTAATGTTGTTCTAAGGATTTGACTTCACAGGTTACATCATGCATATCATATTGTGCACAATATTAAACTGAATACATTCGACTGACCACTGACTTCAAGCTTCTCAACAAGCTGAGATTCACATCCTCCAGTTATCCTCAAACCCCATAACCCTGTTCTTTATGCTATGACCATTGTCAGTCATTGACAATATATAGGAATTATGATTGTGTTTGAGGCTAATTCCTTAAGGCAATCCACATTCAATCTCAAAACAATCCACCTGCAACCCTTGAATGATAAGTTCCAATCCTGGATTTCCCCAACACACTTCCCCATCTTGGCGCGCTGAGATTGCTCATGGAACAGAGCCAGTTCTGTATGTTCCTTGAAGTAGCACTGGTGGCAAAACAATAAACCAATACAGTCTTGAAAACACAGCTACAAATGGTACCTACATGAGTAGAGAAATCACAGATGTGTATCAGGGAAATCTACAAAGTCTGTCCACAAATAAAAAGACTGAATAGGGACATGACTGAATAATCATATTACCATGGGTATTCTGCTTTAATAACATCAATATACTTTTATCGATGACAATTATTCTATTATTTTGTTAGAGATCCTTAAACCGTAGTCTTCCATGAAATTATCTTGCCATTACTTTATTCACCAACTTCTACAGTGCCAGTCACACAGATCATTCTGCTTTAAGTATGTTGTTAAGTACACTGCCAGTGCAAGTCTCATTCAGCTAAAACACACAAGGAAACATTGTGTATTTTGATACATACTGTATCACAACCTCTGTATCATAATGAATATCAAACCAGGTACACTGTGAAACATACAACTGAAGAACTGCTAACGGGGATGACTATCTACTTCACTATACATATAGTTCTAATTTGAAAAGTAGCCTGGTTGCTCCTATGAATCAGTTGTTTAATCAAATCATAGTTCTACTCTTATATTGTCTCATAAATGGTTTGATTTGTCATTCAGTGTGGGACTATTTTGATTCAACACAAAACTTAAACATGTTCCTCAAGTCAATTGCACAGAACTCTGGTGCCGTGCTTGCTTCAAAGTTTCTTCCAGCTCAGCAACTTCCATCTGCAGCGATGTCTTCTTCTGTTTTAATGCCAAGATAACCTCTGGAAACATGAAACATAAAGAGAATGAGTGAGTGAAAACAGGATTGAGGGAGGAAGGAATAGGGTTGTATGTCACTTCTAGCAATATTTCAGGGAACACCAAAAATGACCTTAACAGACTGTACCCAAAAAGTGAATCCAACTTGATTCTGGGTAAAATTTGGTTCCCAGGAACTGATGCATGTCTCAGCATGTGGCTTAGGCCCTGCATACTTGCTTTTCTGATCCATGCTATTTTTATACAGACATTTGTCATACAGCTGGAATAAGAACAGTATTAAACATGTTAACAACATCCTTGGCATAATGAACAGTGATTATAACTACTAGACTGCATATCCACCCAGTAATTCCTACTATATGGCGGCGGTCTGTAAATAATCGAGTCTGGACCAGACAATCCAGTGATCAACATCATGAGCATCATTCTATGCAACTGGGATATGATGACATGTGTCAACCATGTCAGTGAGTCCGACCACCCAATCCCGTTAGTCACCTCTTACGACAAGCGTGGGTTACTGAAGACCAATTCTAACCTGGATCTTCACAGGTCCAAGGAGGGTTATAAGATACTGAGTGTATAAAATTCATATGTGCACCAGTACAAAAACATCATTGTATTGTTTATATCATCAATGAGTGTCACATGAAATATGTGCAAGAATTCATTCAATTAATCATGTTAATACCCTAGCCCTTGAAATACAAGCATTCAGTACCATAGAATCTCTAATAATGGGAAATATGATAAGCTGTTAGTTTTCTACACTTGTTCGCAGTTAATATAGGGGATAGTACAATCAAATATACCAACCATTTTCAGATTCAGGATTTTCTGCTGTCGACTGACTAATCCGTAGTGCTTCTTCTTGTGGTGTTGATATTATTCTAATTCCACTCTCATTAAAGCACCACTTCTTTTCTAATTCTAACTTTTCAATTTCCTGTCAAAAGAAAATACCAATTTTATCAACATAATATTTATTAAAACACACATCTCGACCATACACACTCTAGAGCATTAACTTCATTAACAGTAGACCAATCGTAACTATTTCACAAGTACACTATCAAGCTCAATCACCTGTGTACATGTATATGAATGCCTCCTTCATTGGCAGACCCTTAAGGCTTACTGAGTAGCCATTGTCGAATGAACAAACAGGTGATTCCCTGGTACTGGGGAACATATGCAAGTTATTGCATGAATTAAACATAGAAACTGGTACACCGAAAATAATGGAGACTGCAGTGAATATGTCCCACTTAGTTATGCAACAATGAGAAATCTAATAATGCCGGGAATAGGTTACCATCTAATGATTTGGTGTGTGTGTTTTATTGGGTTTACAAACGATTGGGAGCGTATGGCAAGCTGAGATAGAGACGAGAGAAGAATTTCTATAGTCAGACATAAGATCTGTCCCAGTAAGAAGCTATGCATGCCGCCTATATAGTGCTACGCACGACAATGTACGTATATGCAGCAGTGTAACACGACGGGTAAAAACATGTTGATCGAAATCTGGACAGCATTAATAAACGTTAAAAAATGCAAAGACTTGTGTTTCCCTCGTTTTTCAAAATTAGAAGAAATTAGTGTCTACCTGTTGTAGTTTGGCTACATCATCTTGAACTTTTGCGGTTATGTTCTGTATAGCATGCTGTTCATAAATTAAAGTTGATAGAGATGCAACACCTCGTTTTATTGTCTGTGGGGAATCCATTTTTCAGAGTTATCTTTTCTTGGTTGTTCTAAATTGCGAAGACATGTTATGAAAGGCAGTTAGTCAATTAAACATATCTGTTGCATTCATATATGCTATTTTATGTCTAAAAATCGCGTATATACATTGCTTTTATTTTACGCTGTACAAAAATGACATGGTGTCCATTCTGTTTTTGTATTTATCAGAACCTGTTACATTATTCGTTTTGGAAATCTCATGTCACCATTTATACATAACTGTTGCTGTCATCGCACATGTTGTTTGTAAACACAAGAAGTCAATGGTTTGTGTGGCATTATGTCTGAAACTATGATATTGTTCGATGTACATAAGTTTCTGCCTTTTATTTCATGTAGTCTTCTATCTGAGAATCGTGTCTGCTCTCTGACTGTCTAGCTGTTCTCATCGTAAGTCGAATTATCGCCTACAACAACGTGGTGGTGGCACTAGCAGAGCAGCTATGGGGGCCCTGGGGCCCGTTTCATAAAGTGACCGTACCGCTACGTCTGTCGTATGTCTATGTTAAGCAAAAGAGTTACGGGCACCTTAGCGCTACGATCGCTTTGTGAAATTGGGCTCTGAGGACAGCTTCATCCAGTCGTCAGTCGTGACTCGTAAGTCTATGTTAAAGTATATGGGAGTTACGATCGTTTTAGGGTTACGATCACTTTGAGGAGCGGAGCCCGGGGCCCGTTTCTCAAAGCAATCGTATCGCTACGACAGTCATAATTAAGTCTCTGTTGAGGTATGGAAGTTACGATCATCTTATGGTTACTATCACTTTGGGGAATGGGGCCCTGGGTGCCGTTCCATTAACCTATCTTATCTAAGATCAATCTTAGCAAGTTACGCCAATTTTACAATCGTCTTAGCTAAAATTAAGTCACACCCATTCTACAAACCCATCTTAGACCGATCGTAGCCGGTCCCGATCTTACGATCCAATCCAAGCTTAGATCGAGACACTTTCATGAGAGAGATAGAGAAATGCGAGGCACGAGTTATCGCCTTTGGCATAGTCTAGCAGATGATGGAAGTAGTTTTGGAAACAAGTGTAAACGTGGAGAAAAAAACTCGAGCAAAATATTTGGGTAGTGAGCCCCTTCGTTTCAGGGGCAAGTGCGTGTGAACGCTGGGTATCAGGCATATGTGGCTGAACCTTGTCGATCAAACAAGGCATGACGAGGCATCCTCTACCTCACTCCCTGTTATAACGCACCAGCGGTAAGACGTTTGCTAGTGGCCGTTACGGTTTGATATGTACAGAGTAACGGCTCGCTACGGCTAAAACTACTTTTTTACCATGTTGTCTTGCCGCACAAATTGTGTAAGCAAAGCTAAACGTTATGCTCAATAATTATGTAAGAACTTGTTCTGAAAATTGGTCCAAATGTTACAAGAAATGTGTAAAAATTCAATGTTATTTGGTATGTTTTTGCAAATGGAAATAATGTCTGGATGTATTTGTCAAAACAACATACATTTCACAAGCCAATGTGATACCTGGTGACAAGTATTACGATATGTATGTGTGTAATTTCAATTAAATAGTAAAGTTACTCACGAATTTCTAATTTGAGAAGCTACGGCTTGCTACACATGGAGACACAGGTTTGCTAGTGGCAAGTCGTTTTCATTGATATGGTTTGCTACCATTGATTTTGTTGATACGGTTTGCTTTTTGTTTGGTCTACCAGGTCCATGAAGTACAGGTGTCATGACTACGATGTAAAAAAGTGACATATTTATAAAATGTACCTGTCACCTTGACACAACCAATGTTATTCAGCTGTAGCGAGCCGTTACTCTGTACATAGCAAACCGTAACGGTCACTAGCAAACGTCTTATCGCTGGTGCGTATTACAAGGTGTGACCTCGCCACAAGCACATCATGTGATAAGGTATCTAGAATCTGTCAGTGGTCTTGAAAGACAGGCAGTCTGCCATTAGAATCCAAATAAGTGCAGGTGAAATCAAACATATTTGTATCTTTTTGTTTCAGAACATTGTTCACTTCACAACCCATCCCTATTCTAACCATGATGTTGCAAGATTGTTGTACAAATGTATTACACTGACTCCCTAGGCTGTGTTCCCATGACGACAGTGGTCAGACTGGCCTAACATTTGTAAGGCTTCAGTGCAGTGTTTGTTTACATCACAGAAAAAAACAAATTCATTTCATGGGGGGTTTTAGGGGACGCTCACAGTGAAATGCTCGCTCTTCTTCTTCATATAGAATATGAAAGCCACGATTGATTTTAGCGATCCTAAGATCCTAACTTAGGCTTTGGATCTTAACTTGACTTGGGTAAGATTGGTTAGTGGAATGGTATGCCGATCGTAATGTCACGCTAAGATTGGGATTTTAGGGGTTTACGATTGGCTCGGGGCTAAGATCGGTTAGTTGAACGGCACCCTGGACTCCAGCAGTCAAGACCTAACCCTACATCGCGTCCGAACACACCACCTTCATGATACTCTTCAGATTATGATGCCATAATCATTACCCCTTGTATTTTGTTGATATTTTTAATAGAAATTCCCTGACTTTGTTTCTGAAATGTTTGTTAGCTATACATGTATTGCCGATAAATGTATCTATATATCATATACTATTGATTCATGTACCAGTCATAATAGTATATTAGTCGGATCATAGGACGGCAGTGCTTACTCAAGCTGAAGGGGTCTTTCTCACCACAGGTACTACAGATATGTACCCCAGGATGTTTCTATTTACAGAAATCTACCCTATAAACAAAGGCAAAATACAGAAACGTACCTGTTACCCAAACAAATTCTGCAACCAAAAATCGAAACCATATGTTGTTGTTCCTGTTCAAGTGATTGCAAGTGGTATTTTGCTTTGCGATATATACTTTACTGGTACTTATATTTTGCTTTGCGAAATATTCGTTACAGTGTATGCTCGTTTCTTAATTTCACAACGTAATCAAATGTAGCTAACACAACAGCATGAATGTTCCGATTAGGAAAACATCACAATGCAGAATTGGCTCGTCCTAGGGTACGTTTCTATATTCAGATTATGGCTAGTACACATCTGTACACATCTGTTGTACCCATGTCGACAACGGACCCCCTTCAGTTTTACTCAGGCTATAACAAGGGGTTTTGTGTCACACAGACACTGTTAATTCTTAATGATTGCATTGGCTTAGACTAAAGTGATCTTTTGTATGTTATTGTTAATGTTTTATAGTCGTTCATGTAACTAGAAAGATGACTACAACTGTTTCTTAAGTGTCCAAACCCCACAATACGACAATACTACAAATGAAGACAGAAGCAGCTCAGCAAGCTCTTCACTTTGTTTTGTGAAATGGATATTAGCAGTAGACATTTAACATAGAACCACTTAACTGGTAACTTATAAGCATAACAATAACTGTTTACAAAGTCTAGCTGGTTGAACTTTGACTCGGGCTCACTTATTACCTCCCTTTTCCCATTCAACACTTTGCTCTTTACAACCCTTGAGATTGGCATACACTGCCAGTCAAACAGATTTAAGATTGAATGTGATGTAGGGTATGGTTTTACTATTGCATTTCAAAAGACCCTTACTCAGTATCAAATGTAACATAAGGATCCCTTTCTCCAGTGTCATAACTCTATAAATATATTTTCCAGTTTTGAACAAAGTCATTTTGGTTGGTTGTTTATTAAAGGTCATCAGTGAGTATAATTCTTTGCTTACGTTGTAATGACAGAAATGGAGATGTGACATCATTTCAGAAATATTGGTATGCTTTAAATGGGTCAGGTGTATGTGTCATAATAGACTGGAGATTGAATATGCTCAGTCACCATGGAAGAGCTTAGACTAACCTTCATTACAGGACAGCTTCATTACAGGACAGACTGGAGTTACTCTACATACAAGCTAATAATATCCAGACCATATTTTGTAGCTAAATCTGATGATATGTGTTTGATAGCCTGTTCTGTTCTGTTATAGATTGTCAACGATGAGTTCTACTGATGATGAAATAGATGTGTTCAGGAAAAATGTTTTAAGTATCAATCCCACAAGGATTTCAAGGAAAGGACCAGTAGAACCAGATTCAGACAGTGATGAATCAGATGAATCTGACAGTGACATGTCAGACAACTTGCCATCGAGTTATTCACTACCAAAACAAGAACTAGAGGAATCGCCTACAGAATCTGAGAGTTCAGATGGGGACACTCAACAGCGAACAAAGTCAGGGACAAAACCAGTTATATCTAATGCTAAAGACAGAAATAATATTAATGTTCGCAAAGAAATTAAAGGAAGGAAACGGAAGTTGAAAATGAGAGAGGTTGAACCGGGAACAATCAGATGATGAACCTGAAGAAGTGTCCATGAGTAAAATGGAAAAGATATCTCCAGAAGATGAAGAGGAATATGTGAGTTGAAGATTTATTAAGGAAGGACTGAGAGAGTAATGAGATTTGTTCAGCTGTAATGCTAGTGTAGTTGTTGTACTTCATTACCCATTTGGATCCAGGCTCTGAAGCCTGTTGTATTGTATGTTTAACATTGTAACGAATGAAATTGACTGAATGGATTTATTTTGTGAATAATCTTAATAGTTTTTAACCTTTTTGTGTTTCAGTCTGCAGTAAGAGAAGGTATGTTTATATTTACCGCTGTTAGAATTCCATTCCATTGCATATTCCTATATTTGCCATGAAATCATTCCATGTTGAATATGACCATTGCACCCAACATGTTGGAATAATCAGAATACCAACGCTATATCTCATGAAAAGGTGCACTTGCTTGTGCTGTTTGTGATTCTAAGTATGCACTGGTCATATATGATAGAGACACGATCATGTTTCATGCTTGTCTATTATAGATTCCATTCCTCACAAATACACTGCTGTATACATTGCAGAAGTGATTTTAAGATTCACCATTTTGTTAGAGTGGTTGACGCAATAATTATTTATGATCAATCTTGATCAATTAATTGCAATCAATCTTCCAAAGAATTATCTCTTTAAGTAATATTTCATTGCATTCCATGACAAGACATACCTTCAGAAAACTGTTGCAATAGCATGAATACTTGAAACCTTGTACATAATCAGCTTAATGTAGATGATATGTACTTCTTTCCAGAATTGTCACATATGTCATTTGAGGAACTACAGAAGTTGAGAGATCGCTTGGGAGTAAAGGTGTAAGTATTTGATGTTTCGTACATCACAACACTTGTGAACCTGCCAACCATATGTCATGGTTGTGGCTAATGCAGAACATGTGATCCAAGAAGGACATCATCAAAGATGTCATGACTTTGCAAAAAGACTTGAATGTAGTTGGTGTATTGATTCAGTGTGTATGCGAGTGATCTAGGATTAACACGTTGAAACTGCTTCACTGATGATTTGAGGAGGGGGCTAACTCTGCTGGCCCGATTAAATAGTCCAGATTGTAACATCACCCCCTTTTACCATAAAAATTACTTACAGTTTGGCTTTGCATTTAAGATCATTTAAACATTATTTCAGTTAAAATGTGGTGTGTTAGTTTGATGTGGAGTGAGTGAGTGAGTTTAGTTTTACGCCGCTTTTAGAAATATTCCAGCAATATCATGGCGGGGGACACCAGAAGTTGGCTTCACACATTGTACCCATGTGGGGAATCGAACCCAGGTCTTCGGTGTGACGAGCGAACGCTTTAGCCACTAGACTACCCCACTGCCCCTTGTTTGATGTGGGAGGAAAGCACTGTGTGATGCAGATCTTGCATGTTTACCACATGGAAAGTTTACTTTTATGAATATGATACTGACAAACCCCTATGTTATCATGGATATGATATTGTGATTATATATTTTAACCTCCTTATTCTCAATTTTATTTAATGGACACAGGAATGTTGCTTTGATTGTCCTTTCCATTGTTATGCCTCTGTGATAAATTATTGTTGTGAATTTATGTTTAGTGGCCAAAAGGTACAGAAAATAGTTTTGATGTTATATATATATGAAGTATCCTGGCTTACATATGCCAGATTCAAATGAGGATTGCAAATTTACTTACCTGGAAAATACACATTCATCTCTCAGAGGATTTACAACATTCTTGCTCAGACAGTATGAGAGTCTCTTATACATGTCACTATTATTCAGTATATATTTTCCAGGTACAAACAGGTGATGAGAGGTGAGGGAAAATCACATCATCTTTCCACGTCCAAGAAGAGTTTCACAAGAGAAAATAAAAATAGGTCAGTGCTGTTGACATGCTGGCAACCACCCCACCCCCTTTTTTCACAACTGATGACATTTTGTGTGTGCATTGCCTACTGTGATAACACAACCAGTTAAGACCTGATCTTCAGCAGCCCATGCTTGTCGTAAGAGGCTATTAAGGGGATCAGATGGTCAGGCTCACTGACTTGGTTGACACATGTCATCATATCCCAATTACACAGATCGATGTTTATGCTGTTGATCACTGGATTGTCTGGTCAAGACCAGATTACTTACAGACCACCGCCATATAGCAGGTATATTGCTGAGTGCAGCATAAAACTAAACTCACTCACTCACTCACTGTGATAACAAGTAAAATTAAAGATGTTATAGGGATGTTTTCAAAATCCAGGATCAATTCCTGTTGTCTATCATTTGTACTTTGTACCCGAGATTACATGATCAAGATTTTATTTACTTGTGGATCATGATAATTGTTTTAGATGACTCGTATTGAATTTTGAAACATATGGTTTTCATTTTGCAGACCAGCAGAAGCGTCATCCAAGAAACCAGTGTCCATTTACAGAGAAGTAATTTCAGTCAAAAAGAAGGTACAAAGAAATAATGTTTGTTTTTGTGTTATATTGTGGTTCATCAAATGTTCCTGGCCACTCCAATTCTATTTGCAGAGTTGTGTACTGTAGAAAGTTTACCATTCCAATTATGTTTCAAGGTTTGTTAGGACCTATGACTGTGAGTTTCATAAGAGCAGGAAGAGGCTAAGACTTAGTTAACCATGCTTTCCTCCTGTGCAGTGTGCGAAATAGCCACTGGCCCACTAGCCCGTGGCTAGTACAAATCCAGTCAGGCCAGTAAATCTCCACAGTCACTGGCCCGACGGGCTAGTGATTCTTCAAGGGGTCATTTTGTAAATATATCACTCTCTCCGACTCACTAAGTTACAATACACTTGTAAATCATGCAAGAGTATGGCCTGATAAATTGTCTACATTCAAATTCAGGCTAGTGAATTATTTTGTGGGCTAGTAACATTCGGTATAGCTAGCCCGACTGGCAAGCAGATTTTGGAAAGTATTTTGCACACTGCTCCCATGAAGGCCAACACGCCATCATACAATTTCATTGACTCCAAAATCTAGAGTAAAAGGATACTAATTGGATCAGGTGGTCAGGCTCGCTGACAGGTCATTGTATCCCAGTTGCATAGATCGAGGCTCATGCTGTTGATCACTGGATTGTCTGGTCCAGACTGCCGCCATATAGCTGGAATATTGCTGAGTGCGGGCGTTAAACAACGAACTAACCAACCAAATCTAGACCACTGCCACAGAGGTCTGACAATAAACCAGATGTTGATCTGGCTTCCACCACTGCACAAGGCACAGCCCATATCCTGGAGCCTTATGGTCATCATGTTCAGCGAGAGATCATTGAAACCATTTGCACACAGCAAATGTAGAAGTTTGGTATCACCTTGGGATACATATTCCAAACAAATGTGAAACTCTCTGTGTGCGGGTCTCCGATGCTGTTAGGCAAACAAAACAGTTACTGTGTAGTGTTGAAGAACTGTGATTTTCTGCAGGTTACAAGGGACCCGAGGTTTGATGACTTATCAGGGAAATACAACGAAGCCATCTTCAAGAGTTCATATGCATTTCTTGATGATGTGAAGCAAAGGGAAAAGGAGGTGAGAAATGTAACAGATTTACGTCAACCACTTTCTCTCACATTATTGCTACCATAGTACTCTGTCCATCCATGAAGCAAAGATGATGATGATGATGATGACAGATTTACGTCAACCACTTTCTCACACATTATTGCTACCATATTACTCTGTCCATCCATGAAGCAAAGATGATGATGATGATGATGATGATGATGATGATGATCTTATTTTTATAGTTTACCGGAGGTGTGGCGTGTTTCACTTATACTTTTAATCAATTTTCGTAATTATATCTTTAATTGTGTATATATTTCTTTTTGTTACTGATTGTATATGCAAGCTGCCATGGATAACAAATGATACCTATATCCAATTAAGCATATTCTATGATGCTTGCATGTATACATCTTTAGTTACTGGTTAGGATATTAATGGGTTTGTCACAAATTTTCTTGACAGAAACTGGCAAAACAGCTGAAGAAGACAAAGAATGATCAGAAGAAAAAGGAGTTACAGTACTTGATAAACAGAATGGTGTGTTTCTTGTGTTGTTTCCTTCATTGATTCCCCAAGCTTGTAAACTACCGTAATTGAAAACCAACTTAAATGTGGATTATATGGCCACAGTGTCTGCTGAATGAAAATTGCAATCAGAAGAAGGCTGATTCTCACCTATATGCATTGGTCAGATGTGTGGTGTTTCATATAGACACATTCCTATTGGTTCTTGATTGACTTTGATAAACTTAGACATTGGGTCGTCAATCAATTGCATACCGGTAGGTTTTAGTGACCTTGATGAAGTGGAATGTTTCTCATACATTTAGTCAGTGGCTTGCCTTTAATGAAGATGAAGAATGGATTGTGATGTTAAACAGTTCTCATTCTCAGATTGACCATGTTATTTTAAGTATGAATTATGGTTGGAGTAATTTTAAGTTCTCGCTGACTTTCCCTACCTGGTTATGCCACTATTTGGCTGATTCATTGCCAGAGTAACATTAATTTCTCACTGGCTTTCCCTAGAAGATGGAGACACTATTTCTCTTCTTTAGTGTGAAGTAACATTGACTTTTCACTCACATCTTGTGTATTGTGTGCAGGAACAGCAGGCATCTGCAGACAAACAGAAGCAGAAGAGGAAAGAGCTGGAGAAGGACTGGAAGAAGAAAGAACTTGGTCGTGTGGTGGAGGGCAAGAACCCATACTTCCTTAAGAAAGGTGAGAGCATGATATGATGCTGATGTAACTCATTTGCAGTCAGGTGTCTTATTAAGAGACGAGCCCAATATTTCTGTAACTGATGCATGTTGAGTATTGGAGCATGAAGGGGACACTATGTTTACAAGTGGTTAAGATTCCTTTCAAGGTTAAACCACGCTGTCATGTAACGTTCATGTTTCGTTAATGTGCTGGCATGTTTACTATCTTACTAGGAAGTAAGTTCAATATCACATTTTACATGAAATGTATGTGTGCTCTATATTCTGTATTGGTTGCAATACAATTTCAGAACAGAAAGGACATTAGGGAAGTTGTTTTTATCAGGGCAAGAATTAACCATGCAGTTAAAGATGCAATCTTGAAGTACATCTTGATAGTTATTCCTCTCTAAGCAAAGACAGGAGGATTTCAATTGGTGTTAAGACCAGGTGAACTTTTTAATCAAGTCAGACTTGTAAATTCTCTTTTTGAGAAATGACAATATTCAGAAGGCATGTCTGATTTTTTATCTAAATCGGAACTCAAACAACCCATGACTGTTGTGAATAATAATATAACCTTGTCTTATCTGAGGACCATCATGGAAACACCATAAAAAGATGTTTGTTCTTAGAAGGTTTTCCTTTCTAAAAATGGTGGTTTAGAAAGCTGCAACAAGAAGTGTCCTTCATTAGATTCAGTGGACAATGTTCAGTGTTTATCACAGATCTCTTCAGATCATCACATAGAGAGTTATGGTATCAAAGTAACAGATTCAGTATTTATGAGGTTGGATATTGCCTTTCTGTGCATGTGATCTTCAAGCTGAACCAGTGTGCAGATGTTGAGAAGTATGTTATACAAGATAGCACTGTTGACAGGTGACTTGCGGAAGCTGGAGTTGGCTGAGAGATTTAAGGAACTGAAGAAGACTGGTAAACTTGACAAATATATGGGGAAAAAGAGGAAGAAGAATGCCAGCAAGGAGAAGAAGAAACTTCCAGACTAGGCCATCAAGCAATGGACTGTGGTTTTGTTGTACCATATGAAATATGTACCAGAGCTACATAACAATGTATGTGGATAAGACATTTGTTCATGTTCAGAAATAAAGATGTGTTATAGCCAAGGATTCATGTTATAATTATGGGGGCGTGGTTGGACGAGCTGTCTCAGGCGCCAGGCTAGTGATCCAGCCACATTAACTCGCTGTTCCTAGTGGCTGCACGAGTTGTATGTTCCCGAGGGAACATATTGAAAATATGATGTGCCGTTGAGATCAACATCCAATGATCGAAGGAAAACAAAGCGCTTTGAGCATGCATGTAGATGGGATGGAATATAGCGCTATATAAATACCCATATAATAATAATAATAATAACTGATGGAGATCGGTGAATGCAATATCAACAGGGACTGAAGACTTGTTTGATCATTCCATTTGATCATACCAGTAATTAAGAGTTTTGCTTTATAGCTGAATATGTGTGCAGTGTTATTGTAGGACTGTAGTACTTACTTCATACTTTTGGGGGCAAAAGCTTCACTGAAAGTTTGTACCCAAATTCCCCATTTTGTTTGTTGTTCAATGCTGCAATATTCCAGCTTTGCCATAGATGCCTGTAAATAACTAAGTCTGAACCAGACAATCCAGTGATAGTTCTGAGCAACGATCAACTCAGCTTGGGTGGCGACACACTGTCAACTCTGTCACTGAGTCTGACCACCAGATACCCATTTGTCATCAGTATTCAACAATACAGCAGAATTTAGCTAAACCTGTAGAGGTTTCCAATTCTTTGAAGAGAATCGTCCTTGGGTATATATATACATTTTGCTGCTGCTGAAAATGTCATATTAAAGTTGTATCAATGTTTTTAATAAAATATTGTACAATAAATAAAAATATTTTTAGCATCTGTTATCTCTGGGGGCTGGGAGAAGCCCATACATATCTCTCGCACGTCAGGGTTATACTTTTCAAGGCACATACCAGACACTATTCATGACTGTTGGCATGGGGAATACTTTGCCCGCGAGACAAAGTACAACCGTAAATGCCTGGAAGCAAACACGCCAGTTATGTAGCTAACAGCTGACCAGCAGCATAATATACTAATGCATAAACATTGAAAAATTACGTGAATGCTAATTCACGGGAAGAAATAGTTGGTTAAACGCAATATTACAACCACGCGGCACGCTAAACTTCCCCGCCATGGAATAGCAGCAACACGCATGTGAAACCACGGAAAGAAGGAAAATAATTAATACAAAGTCACAATTATAGACAACCGAATCGCAGAAAGTTTACTGTTCCTTTCAAGGACAAAATAAAGACCATACATACAGGTGGTGAAGCCCCAGACATTATCCTCTTTAAACTTTGAAAGATTGAAGGAGTTCCAGCTCTGCCCCACACATCCGGGTATTAAAAGTACAGCAGAAGAATGATGATACGGGCCTAGGTGCTTACCTGAAGAAAGATGCTAACGGAGTGTAACTCCACGAGGTGGGGCCGATAATAAATAAAAGATTTTATTTATTGTACAATATTTTATTAAAAACATTGATGGGCTGCACCGTTAAGGACATTTTCAGCGCAGAAAATGTATATATGTACCCCTGCTGACGCATCTCTGGAAAAAGAATCTCCTGTGTGCGTGGTCTCCGATGCTTTAGGCAAACAAAACAGTTACTCTGTAGTGTTGAAGAACTGTGATTTTCTGCAGGTTACAAGGACCCGAGGCTCTGATGATCATCAGGGAAATATGTTCAGTCTTCAAGAGTTCATATGCATTTCTTGGATGATGTGAAGCAAAGGGAAAGGAGGTGAGCAATGCATTAAGATTTATCGCCAACCACTTTCTCACACATTATTGCTACCATATTACTTCTGTCCATCCATGAAGCAAAGATGTATTGATGATGATGATGATGATGATGATGATGATGATGATGATCTGGTCTTTATAGCTGATCGGAGGTGTATGCGGTTTCACTTATACTTTTAATCTATTTTCGTAGTCATATTTAATTGTGTATATATTTCATTTTTGTTACTGATTGTATATGTGCCATGGATAACAAATGATACCTATATCCAATTAAGCATATTCTATGATGCTTGCATGTATAGATCTTTAGTTACTGAAGTTAGGATATTAATGGTTTGTCACAAATTTTCTGACAGAAACTGGCAAAACAGCTGAAGAAGACAGCAATGATCACACATGTGGCTGACAAATTCCTGATGACTCCGATTACTACAGACCGGACATACAGCTTTGAATATTGGCTGGAGTGTGGCGCAAACCAAACTCACTACACTCACGCTCACGCGAATGAACTCGTGATTACATTGTTGTTAAGGTAATTTCAGTAGTTTTGCATCAGCATCCATTACAATTTTACACTTACACTCGATCTGTTGTAACCGGAATCTGCGTGAATCGAGCATGGGTATGCACTGAAACATAAATCTAAACTCGATACAGGCCACTCTTATGAAGTTTTCTGAAAACCACGTAAACAGCAATCACTTCTGCCAGCAAAGCGATATTACTCTTCGGGCATTGCAAAGTCGCCGGCTGTCGTTGTTGAACCATTTCATTGAAGCGCTTACTTCAGCTAGACCAGAGTCTCCTTAGACCATTACAGCTACAAATCTGCTCCGGACCCGAACGCGCTCAATCATTGCCACGATCTTTAAATACTGCCTAAAGACATAACCCTTACAAAAATTGAATTACAATGAAGGGATAGCAGCACCTGTACTGCAGTGTATTTTTAATTTGTGTAGCGCTAGCTCGCCATTGTCAATTGAAATTCGACATCGCCTCCCATATCTGCATCGCGGACCACGCTTTGCAGTGGTAGTCTCTTTTATAGGAGATATCGCCCTATGCGTTTCCTTCAGACTGTCGCGATGTTTTGCATCGGGTAATCTGCCGTGCCGCAGAAATGTCGTCATAAAACTTATGACACATTCGCAATGTATCCCTCGCCGGCCGGTGATATAAAGAAGTCCCTCATTTCAAGAAATCTGTCCTAAACTTACGGTTTTTGGAATGTAAGCATTATTATTTTACGATGACTGGTAATGTTGTTGGAAAAAAACTTTTATGTTGACGCTTCGCTGTTCTTGCCTGGAGCTGAGGGTCAGTTTGTGTTTGGCACTCTTTTCTTTCATTTGGGGCACGCCTCAAACAGTTTTTTTCCCTTTTAGCTCCCATATCGCTTTATCCACATGGATAATGCTGAATCAGATGTTTTGATCAGTAAATTTTATGGCGCTTCTTCAAAGTTTTGAAAGCCAGAGCTTTGCAGTGGTCTTTGACATAGGACCAAGAACAGAAAATGTTCAACAACCAAAGGCAACTTCAGAACAAGGCGTTTTCGGTTGTATGTGGTAAGTTTCGCTTTGGCACAAAATACCAGCAAAGTAGCCCGCGAGAAAGTTTTGAAGACAACTTTTGCCCAAAAAGTAGCTGGCCAATATGGCGGCCATCATATAAAACATAGGCACATTTGACGATGCTACTGTGTAGAAACATGCATAGACACAAAGTATGCAACGTTTGAAAGCCGTAGCCCTTGTAGTTTTAGTGCAGCACATTTTGGGAGGTATGCAGTCAGGATTTTGCTGAAAAACATCAACAAAAACTTCAATCCCAAATAGCCCAAACGGTGCATTTTAGCGAATTTGAGCCGTCCAGGCTGAAATTGTAGGCATTTTATCTGCCCTTTGCTATTGGGCCTACAGCCCAGAGATTTTAAAAGCTGAGCGATATCTACACCTCGGTGGGCATCTGGGTGATTTTGTCAAGGCATTCTGTCCAGCGGTGCTCTCTGTAGCTCTGTTACAAAATACGGAAGAAATAAATAATAATAATAATAATAATAATAATAATAATAAAACATCGAACGATTACAATAGGTCTCCTGCCTAAAGGCAAAGGAGCCCTAATTAAAAATCGTTATTTTTGAGTTTTTCGGCCTTTGACCCCGAAACTTGATAGTATGTCGAAAATGCTTTCTAATGGTCAAGGTCACCAAGGTCACAGGGGTCAAGGTCATTTGACTGGTCCGTCCTACAAGACAAAAACATCGCTTTTTGGCGAGCTAAGACGCTCGTTGTTATTACCTCTAGGGTGACAGGAATTAGTGTTTCTGTTTTGCCCCAGATGACCCGATGTATCATATGCCCGGTCAGATTTAGTGACAAATATGTCCGCCTTTACTGTCCGCATGTCTGTCCGTCAAAATACTGTATAGTTAGTATCTCGAAACTGTAAAACGCACAGAGTTGAGATTTTGCACACAGCATTCCCTTTGACTGTGCCTAACGATGATGTAAAAATCAAATCATTTGAATTTCAACTTTTGTTGCTATGGCAACCTGATAAATGAAAACTTCAATCCAAGATGGCGCCAAACGGCTAGAGATATCGCTCTGGGACAACCAGACAAAATGATCGGCATCTCATGACCAAGTCACATACCAAATATGGAAGCGATTGGGGCAATAGTGGTGGAGTTATATGCTGTTTTTATGCCGCTTTGGACTCGTGAATGCATTTCTGCAATTTTTGCAATGCCATATGGCCGACAAACGATCAAACTTTGATATGCATGTAAGAACACGAAATGTTAAGCATCTTATGTTGATGCATACTGCCAAGTTTTACTGCCTTCTGTGCAGAACTTGAGAAGCTATGCTGTTTATAATGTAGTATCATCAGAATCTGACCCGAATTCCAATATGGCCGCCAAGCAATACACATTTTGACATACACCCAAGAACGAAAAATGTTCAACACACTTAGTTACTATGTACTGCCAGATTCTAGCTGCATAGTTGAAATAGTTATGACGCTGCGATTTTTTGAAAATACATTTTAGTACAAAATAAACAACAGAAGCAAACATCTAGATATCCGTAACTAATCAAGATATCGCAACATAGCTTATGGGCATTAATATTTGAGGTATATATTGTATATCTGCACATTTACAGCGTTCTGCAGTTCATACATTCACAGTTATGGATTGCGAAAAATGCCTACCCAACAAAATCTGCAAATTTCCGATAAACATCTTCAATCCAATATGGCCGCCGCATCACGTGACTTTTGACATAGGACCAAGAACAGAAAATGTTCAACAACCAAAGGCAACTTCAGAACAAGCGTTTAAAGTGTTGTATGTGGTAAGTTTCGTTTGGCACAAAATAGCAAAGTAGCCCGTGAAAGTTTTTGAAGACAACTTTTGCCCAAAAAGTAGCGTCAATATGGCGGCCATCATATAAACATAGGCACATTTGACGATGCTACTGTGTAGAAACATGCATAGACACAAAGTATGCAACGTTTGAAAGCCGTAGCCCTTGTAGTTTTAGTGCAGCACATTTTGGGAGGTATGCAGTCAGGATTTTGCTGAAAAACATCAACAAAACTTCAATCCCAAATAGCGTCCAAACGGTGCATTTTAGCGACTTTGAGCCGTCCAGGCGAAATTGTAGGCATTTTGATTAGCATCTGCTCAAGTACTTTGGCACACATTGGAGCATTAGTTTTGGAGATATTTGAATTTGAAATTGAAATTTTTGAATTAATTTTGAATTATCTGCCCTTTGCTATTGGGCCTACAGCCTAGAGATTTTAAAGCGCGATATCTACACCTCGGTGGGCATCTGGGTGATTTTTGTCAAGGCATTCTGTCCAGCGGTGCTCTCTGTAGCTCTGTTACAAAATACGGCGGAAGAATAAATAATAATAATAATAATAATAATAATAATAAAACACGAGCGATTACAATAGGTCTCCTGCCTAAAGGCAAAGGAGCCCTAATAACTGATGGAGATCGGTGAATGCAATATCAACAGGGACTGAAGACTTGTTTGATCATTCCATTTGATCATACCAGTAATTAAGAGTTTTGCTTTATAGCTGAATATGTGTGCAGTGTTATTGTAGGACTGTAGTACTTACTTCATACTTTTGGGGGCAAAAGCTTCACTGAAAGTTTGTACCCAAATTCCCCATTTTGTTTGTTGTTCAATGCTGCAATATTCCAGCTTTGTCATAGATGCCTGTAAATAACTAAGTCTGAACCAGACAATCCAGTGATAGTTCTGAGCAACGATCAACTCAGCTTGGGTGGCGACACACTGTCAACTCTGTCACTGAGTCTGACCACCAGATACCCATTTGTCATCAGTATTCAACAATACAGCAGAATTTAGCTAAACCTGTAGAGGTTTCCAATTCTTTGAAGAGAATCGTCCTTGGGGTACATATATACATTTTCTGCTGCTGAAAATGTCATGTGACAGTTGTATCAATGTTTTAATAAAAATATTGTACAATAAATAAAAATATTTTTTATCTATTATACGGCCCCCACCATGTGGAGTTACTTCCCTGCTATGCATGCGCAGCCAACCAGGTAAGCACCTAGGCCCGTATCATCATTCCTTCTGCTGAATAAATCAGTGAACAGAATTGCGGGGAGGTGGTGGCCCTACCCCAAGGACAATTCTCTTCAAAGAATTGGAAACCTCTACAGGTTTAGCTAATTCTTTTTCATAGAGATCGTCCTTGGGGTACATATATGCATTAACTCAGACTCCCAAGGACGGAGGCTAGGGAGGAGGGAATTCTGTCAAAGTACACATAAATAGCGATCGTTAGGAAGAAAATAACAGACACCACAACACTCACCTGTCACGTGTCCCAGAGCTTCCGAATTGCTTTGCTTAACTTATGAGGTCAGATCTCAGTACTTTCCTCCCTGTTGGTTACCCTCCCATTATGAAAGCTTTGGGACACGTGGACAGGTGAGTGTTGTGGGCGTCTGTTACTTTCTTCCTAACGATCGCTGTTTATATGTACTTTGACAGAATTCCCTCCTCCCTATCCTCGTAGGACTGTAGTACTTACTTCATAAGTTTGGGGGCAAAGCTTCACTGAAGCTCTGTACCCAAATTCCCTATTTGAGTGTTGTTCAATGCTGCAATATTCCAGCTTTGTCATAGATGCCTGTAAATAACTAAGTCTTATGTGGGGGTCATAAAGACAGAATTGCGATCGTTCCAACACTCACCTGTCACGGTCCCAGAGCTTCAATTGCTTTGCTTAACTTATGGAGGTCCTTTCCTCCCTGTTGGTTACCCTCCCATTATCGTGGAAGCTTTGGGACAGGACTGTTGTATGCGTTGTTACTTTCTTCCTAACGATCGCTGTTTTATGTGTACTTTGACAGAATTCCCTCCTCCCTATCCTCCGGGAGTCTATCCTCCTCCTATCCCCCCGGATCTCTATGAAAAAGAATTAGCTAAACCTGTAGAGGTTTCCAATTCTTTGAAGAGAATTGTCCTTGGGGTAGGGCCACCCACCTCCCCGCAATTCTGTTCACTGATTTATTCAGCAGAAGGAATGATGATACGGGCCTAGGTGCTTACCTGGTTGGCTGCGCATGCGTAGCAGGGAGGTAACTCCACGTGGTGGGGGCCGCATAAAAGATAAAAAAAGATTTTTATTTATTGTTTCAATATTTTTTATTAAAACATTGATACAACTGTCACATGACATTTTCAGCCGCAGAAAATGCATATCAGTATATGTACCCAAAGGACGATCTCTGTGAAAAAGAACAAGATTTCTTTTTTTTTTGTATTGAACTTTGTTAGGTTCATGGTCATAGCAAGTGCAACACTCATTTGATGTGCAAATAGTTCTGTTCTTGTATTAAAAATATGACATTATCAACTACTTGTGAAGACTTTGAAGGTGTAAGGCAAGACTTGTCGACATATGTTCATTGGTCATATTTCCAGCTGGACATGTCATGAACATGACACTGGCTATAATTATGTATTGTAAATAGTGACTGAAAACAACTTAGTAGATAGTATGTTTATTGAGACACACACACACTATTCTTTCACACAAACTTGAGTAATAATCACAACAGACTGCATAGAATTCCTACTACATGCTTACAAGGCTTTCAATTTAATTATCTTTATTACCAGCAAAATCAATTATTTTCACTCTTGCTGGTAGTCTTAATTATATGTGCAACTAAATAGCATCTGTAAATACTAAAGATAATTTAGATGTTATTAAGATAAATGTTGGCATGTTATCAGGAAATGTTTCATCACAAAGAAATGATAGGTAAATGCAACTATTTCAGAGAACCAGCCTTAACAGAGCTGAATCTTTGTAACATTCTCACACTAATCAAAATCTAACAACATGAGCCATTGAAGTTGTAGTCTCATAACATTAGGTGACCCAAACTCCTCTTGCTCAATATATGCACACAATTTGACATTCTCACATATAACAACTCAGTTCTGATCAAAACCTACTAAATGCATCTGAAAACACACATTTCTCCAGTTTTCTTCTGATGAAGATCAAAGAACATGAAGAATTCCTATTAAATGATATGAGCTTTTGTATAGATCTCTGAACAGATGCTGTGTTATGAAAGGTGATATTTGTTGAATCCCAAAACGACATGAATTCTCCCCGTATCTCCAAGGAATTCCAAGAAACCAGCTTGTGGATCTGAACAGGCTAAACAATTCCCATCTATCACAGACGTTGATGTCTGCTACAACCTAAGCATTTTGCTTTGCCTTGCCTCTTCCAGCTTCTGGTCCTGTTCCTCAACTTCTAATTTCCGCTCTTCTAGGAACTGTGCGTAATCATCTACTTCCAGCTTCTTCACCACCTCAATGCCCATACTGTGGGCCTGACCAATTACTGATTTACACACTGTCTCCATATTCACAAACTTAAAGGTTGGGTCCTGAGACTTGATCTGCGCAATTTCATAAACATGTTTCAAAGACACTTTCCCAGCTATTTCACGACCTGCAACAGCAAAACATTTCTTATCAGAGATGTCAACCCTCATTGAATCTTTGGAGTAATTTCATGAGAAAAAGATTACATGTTGACAGTAGTTCCCTGTGTGCACAAACATCAACTCTACAGTGTGTATTAACATAACAATGTATTGGATATCTTGCATCACAGAGTAGTGGATATTTTGACACAACATGAATCTAAAGTATAACTCTCATTAGTCAGTAGTGAGAGAGTTTCCTTTTACACCACTTTTAGCAATATTCCAGCAATATTACGACAGGGGACGCCAGAAATGTGCTTCACATTATGTACCCATGTGGGGAATCGAACCCGGGTCCTCGAGTGAACGCTTTGACCACTGGGCTACCCCATCGCCCGCAATGGGGGCTACATTTCACTAGTGCATTAACAATTTCATCACCATAATAATTTATGCATGTAAATTCCTTGTGAATTGTTTTAGGAAAGACAAGTTTAATAGAATAATGGCTGGCACCTTTGCATTATGCATCAGGTAAAGAAACTTCTTTGACATTGCTTATGAATATGAGCATGTCATTGGCTCTACACATTAGCAAGATCACTGGTGTCAATCAGTGTGACAGTTTCTTTTTTACCTGAACTCAGTTATACTGATAAACTGCACAGTGCAAGATATAATATCTGTTTCGAGTTTTGTCAGTGTTTCAAGACATATCTTTTTACTTCCGAATGATGTGAGACAAGACATAGACCTGGGTGTACGACCTACAAACACAAGATAATATCTGGGAATGAAACACTTGATTAGCAGATCCTATCACTGCAAAGTGAGTGAGTATGGTTTTACATGCTTTTAGCAATAGTCCAGCAATATCACAGTGGGGGACACCAGAAATGGGCTTCACATATAGTGCCCATGTGGGGAATCGAACCCGGGTCTTCGGTGTGACAGGCAAACACGGTAACCACTAGGCTACCCCACCACCCCTAGCACAGCAAAGAGTATACAGATCTTCACAACATGTTGCATGTCATTTTAAGACCATTTATTAAAAACCAAGTCATGGCTAACATTCTAAACTCTTAGGAACATAACTGAAAATTCCATTACTTGGTTTCCTGGCTCCAATCTTCACCCCTGCTGCCTGCTTTAGGAAGTATGAGACTGGTGGCTGGTGGATTGTGATGTCAAATGATCTGTCAGGCTGAAAAATGGGTTTACATGAAATATATATCATTTACAAGGTGTGTCCATGTGTGCATAGCTTAAAAGTATATATTTCAACTAGTGGCATTGTTCCAAAGGGTAAACATCTTCAGCATGATTAGTTCTTCATTAAATATGTTTAATTAACTTTTATTAAATACAGTTCTAAAAAGACTTTATCGAATACTAATAATGTACCTGAAATGTACCTGTGTTGTAAATATCCATAGGATAAGCTTTCAGAAAATACTAACATTATGCTTCTGTGAAATTTGGACATAAGAGAAATTGCTGTCAATTTCTAATTCAGTGAAGACCTATTACCCCAGTCTACCCCTGGCAGTAGTGACTATGTGGCACGTCATAACTGGCCTGCTTTGGAAAATCCAATCTTTACAAAATTAACAATAATAAGTTTATTTTCATTCTTGAAAACAGTAAGCAAGATAGGTAAACATCTTACATTAACTCTGACTCTAGTTGGCAGTGGTATGCCAGGCCTGATATCCTTTGTCCTTTCATTAAATTCCTTGCAGAATGGAGCTATCTGGATGCCAACCTGGAATCAGAGAATACATGATGCACATGTGTGTCAACACTGACAAAACCACAAAAGACATTTTAAGTATATAGTGGGTGTAACCATTTTGCATGATTAACACGACCGAAGTGAATGGTTGAAGGGGAACAGGTCAAAAGGGCCAAAGGACAAAAGGGCCAAAATTGAAATAGTCAAAAGGGCCAAAGGAAAGTCAAAAGGACCAACAGAAAGTCAAAAGGGCCAAACTTTTAGAAAATAGTAAGATTAAAAGAAATTCATTACATGTTGTTGCAGTAGTTCTAATCCTATTTTAGAAAATAGTAAGATTAAAAGAAATTCATTACATGTTGTTGCAGTAGTTCTGATCCTATTTTAGAAAATAGTAAGATGATGATGTCTGTGGTGAACATTTGAACCACTTGAACCACCATTTGAACCACTCAACTGTCGAGTGTATGATGATCACACTAAAATTATTACTTTTGTTACTTTTTACATATTGATACAAATATAAATATTAATAATAAATATTAATATAATAAAACATAAAATATATATTAGTTTGTATGTTCTTTTTTTACCTATGGCCCTTTTGACTTTCCTTTTGCCCTTTTGTCCTTTGGCCCTTTTGACTACAACCCTGTTGAAGTATTCCCATCATCACAATCATAACCAGTAACTCAATTTTCCAGTCAAGACACTGACACGGCCCTATCGTAGCTAAATTCATACTAAGTCTTAACTTGGGCCTTAATTTTCAGTACCACTCCTTCAGCGAGAAGGGCCCAGTGAGATAACTCTGTAAACTATAAATTTGCGGTTATCATCAATTCATTTTAATCTTCACACCTATAAGCAAGAACTACAATTGACACATTAACACCCGTTAACAAGCCCACTGTGGATATCGCTTCATGATGTTAAACTGATACTGATATTTACCTGACCAAGTTGGGGGCCTAAAGGTGGAGCAGCTGCAGCCTGACCTGCAGGGATGTCTGTTTTCAAAATTGGGGGATGAACAACCTTTGGTCCTAGTTTCTTGGCTGCTCTTGCAACCTTTCTTACTCCTTTCGAAGCCATGTGTGCGCGCTGAGTTATCTGCCCTTCTCCTTGTACCCTGGTAGGAATGGCATTTTGGACTGGGCTTTTTCTAGCATCATTTTGTAAAATCGTATGTATTTGGCGGCCGCGCTCCTGAGTAGAACACATTAGTGCTAGGATATCTCGCCATTCTAATTATTAGTTTGATTCTTTTTAACTTCCGTATTCTGACACAAAACGTTGTTGAATATTGTTGTTGCAATTTGAATAAAATATTTGATTAAAACTTGTTTACGACCACCATGAACCGAGGTAGACGAACGTAAAATGGCGTCGTAAGGAAAACGTGAAACAACTTATTGAAAAACACCTTGATTTGGAGACTACAGATTAGATTCTCTTTCCTTGGTAGGTGTAGATTTTCAAAATACATTGTTGCTAGATCAACATATTGCGGTTACAGAGAATATGCTATATCAGCAATTCCATGGTCTTTAATCGTGACTTCAGTCTCAGTTTTCGCGCACCTGCGGCATCGTGGAAGCGTATTGTTTATTTCTGGTATGAGCACCAGTATTCTATAACTTATAAATATTGCCTCCACATATATTACCACGAGATTAACACCACATTACATAATTCAGTGTGGAATCCAGCTAACCTTTTTATTACATCATTTTCTGAACTTTGACAAAAATGTTTGAAAAATATCTTAAATATCATGAAATCCTAGTGTTCACATATTACACAGCAAACTGGGACACCATGCAGTTCGCTGGGGTTGAAGGAGTATTTTGGCACAGATATTTAGATGTTTGCCCAAAATACATTTTGTTATACAGAGGTCTATTGGTTACTGAAGGTTTTGTTCAAGACCAACTTGTAAGGGCCGCAATTAACTAGAATTGTACTTCATGTTATGCTGAAATCATCTCACAGCAACTAACAAGGATTCTGTGGCAGCATTAGACTGCCATGTTGAAGGCATAGGTCACTGCATCTTTAAGTTAATGTGTACTGTGTATGAATAAATTGATTGAAACATTTTTATAAAATACCCCAACATTTACCCAGTATTGAACTACGTACTGTACGTACATACATACAGTATTAGAAGCCATCCTGCATGCACAGACATGACCACCACAGATGAGGTTGATTAGATATAAAACACAAATATTTCAAGAATACTAATGAACATACTCTTTTTTCAGAATTGAAAGTCATTGAAGAAGAATTACAAAAGGAAATGGCGGTAAGTAGATTTTCTTCATTGGAACTTGATTTGCCTAGTAAGATGATGTGAAAGCTGTCAGCACCTGTGTTTAACACCACAGTATGTTGGTTACATCCCAGCATGTCAGCTTGATGTGACATGAAAGCCTAAAGTGATGCAGGTCTCAGATGTTTTCTTGTTTTGTGAGACCAACATGTATGTGTAGGGAGCTGAAAAACCTGGTACATAATCATGATAATCAGGGCAAACTAGGGCTTGGGACGATTCACCGATGCATCGCGATACATTTAAGTTTGATACAGCTATCGTACCGTGGACTGGTGTATCTATACAAAATGATACACAAATTTTTTTCAAAACAGTATTATCTTAAACATGTTACAGTACTTATTTAGAGAAAAATACGCAAGTATGATGGAGTTGCTTGTTTGTTTATTACAATGGTGTTATTGTTAAACACAAATACCTTGAAATAAATCATTTTAAATCTTGATACCGTGTCATTCAAGGTGTATGTATCATGATACGTATCATATCGCAGGTAAAATATCATGATATGTATCATATCGTGACATGGTGTATCGTCCCAGTCCTAGGGCAAACCAGGTTCAGACCTACTATCACAAGTTCCTAGCGTGCCTCTAATCCAGCTAAAAGTGTAAAATGCATGTGGTTGGTATTTCATAGTAAATGTTCTATTCAGCACTGCATGTGTTCATGATATAACAAGTAAAACATGATTCTTATCACTAAGATCATCATCACTAAGAGTAGGTAAATACATTCAATTTCCACATGGAATGGAAGGTCTGGCCAACACTTTGTGTCTATATGGTATATGATTTTTTATTACCATGGTTACCAATGCTAAGAAAAATTCACTGCATCCTTTCCACAGGGAATGGATGAAATAGATGATCTTCCAGAAGATGGTGAGTAAACCTGCATCAGTTATCTATAGTAATACTTTGTCAAATCATTGTGGTAGTAGTAAGCTGATATTTGGAAATCTAAGCATATCTGACTTTTCAGTTCAAGAATATTTTCAAATACATTATAACTTAATGAGAACTTTTAAATGCTTATCATTCATATCAATTATGTAAAAATCACTCTAATTTGATGTCTTTAAGCAAAATGTTTTCCATATTTCTCCATCACCTAATTTCAGCCTTAAAGAGTAGAGAAGCTCCTATGTTCTTCAAGTTCAACAAAGCTGTGACTACTAGAAACTGTAACCAGTGATGTGCTCTGTATATTACACTTAGGCCTTGCACGCTGTAAGTGTAAACATGATTGATTTCAGAAATGGAAGATGAGATGAATGTGGGTCGGTTCGATGATGACCTGCAGAGGAAAGTAATGCTTCAACAACAGATGCTGGAAGCAGAACGTCAGAAGGATGCCAGCATGATGGTGTTTGCCCCACCCCCCTGGAGTCCCACAGCCAATGCAGCAGCCCATGCAGGGTGTCCCCCCAGGTATGCCCCAGGGTATGCCGCCAGCCGGGCCTCCACCCGTTCCCCAGCAGGTACAGGGGATTCCCCCACCAATGCCCCCACCGATGTCTCAAGGAGCCCCCCAAGGTCTTCCTCCAGTCCCCCAACCCCTGGGTCAGAGTATTGGTCCCCCTGGGCCACCAGGAATGCCTCCACAGGTCCCACACAGTGTGCCACAAGGTGTGCCACAGTCAGTTCCTGGTGTCCCCCAGCAAGGTGTTCCACCTGGCGTTCCTCCACGTCCTCCTCAAGGAATGCCACAAGGTGTTCCTCCAAATATCCCAAGAGCTTTACCTCCAGGTATGGAAGAAGGGATGAGTCCAGAATTGATGCATAAGGTGATGCAGCAGCAGCAGATGTTGGAGATCGAGAAGATCAGAGAGCAGGTGGTGAGACTACTGGATTATATTGCTTTTTCACCATATACATGAACTGAATTGGTCCCCAGCAAAGTAATGGATCGTGAGCTCAAAATATCAGTCACTTTTTTTTCTTGTGCAGACTTGACAAAGATTCGATGAGAATTCCAAAGTAGCATAAGTCTTCCTCACCTAAATTTATTGCCCCAAAATTGGATATTTGGTGTTCACAAAATGTGTGACATGTTATGCATTGATCCTCTTCAGTGTTGAGAAGAAGGGAAAAGACATATTTTTTGGCATTTTTGGTATGTAATACACTATCTCAATTACAGATCCATTTTGACCGACCTCATCAGCCTATGGTGATGATGGAAAATCAACAATCAGGTGAGTGGAGTGTTGATTATAAATTCTGTGACAACACAGATGCAAGTATACTGCAGCCTTCACTATGAATGTCCAATGTCAACAACAATAAAGTCTTAGCATCTGGTGTGAATTGTAATAACGACTGACAATGCCATAAAAGTTGACTGTGCAGCCTCCACAGGCATATTTTTGAGACAGTTTATTACAGTTAAACCAGTAAACATGAAATATTACCGAAGCCATGTCTATTTTTATTAATATGAGCCCCTACTGCAAAATGCTTGTCATAACATCTCACTGAAAAGCTGGTTAGGTAGTTTCTATATGTAGTGGATGCTGTTTGTAGATGAAGGCCACAATGAGAAATCATTAGTGTTCTGTAACTATACTGAACAGCAAAAGAAACGCAAGTCTGGCTTTTTGTCAAGTTTTTGAATAGAAGACAACCCAAATTATGTCTAATCATTTATTCTATAGAAAACACTGTCAATGTAACAGCTAAAAGTTGCTGTTGACATTGAATTGCAATAAGTCCACATTGATCACAGTCCGTCAAATGGAGATACCCCTGAACGCGAAAAGTGATAGTCTCTTTAGTAGCGCGTATAGCCACCTTGAGCTTGCACAGAGGCCGTGCAACGTGGCCTCATTGAGTTCACTAGAGTCTGAAAGTATGCCTGAGGAAACTGGTTCAGCTCAAACACCAATCTCTATTCCAACTGTGCAAGTGTGAGTGGTTGTCTACCTGCAGCAATCCCGTCCAATTTCGTCCCAGAATGTTCAATGGGAGCCATATCCGGGGAAAGAGATGTTAATGTTGTTCTGAGCCAGATAATCCATCGACACCCTTGCTGTGAGGGCTGCAAACGTCGCTGGCGTTGTTGGCGTGCCAAAATTGGCCCCACATATGGCCTTCGGCAGTGGATTCCAGCAGCCCGAAGACGGCGCCTAATCGTGTTGCTTGGCACTGCTCCCCTTGACCCAAGAACAAAGGCTGCTGTTACTGTTGCTGCTTGAGTTCGGTTCCTTAGATGAGTGACCGGATGAGCGGATCTTGCGCATGAGTTGTCACTTTCGTTGCCGTCCGATGCGGGGCGATCAGCAGCAACCAGCTTTGCTGATGACGTTGAGCAAGTCGTAATGGTGGTAAGATGACAGCCCAATTGTCTAGCTACAGCGGTTGCAGTGCTACCTCCGTGTAACTTTCCAATGGCCATTCCCCTCTGCTCAGTCGTTAGTCTCGGGTATCGTTTGTGTGGCGTGTGTACACCTCCTAGCGTCAATACTGAACTGTTTTTGACACAAACCTTTATAAAGGATACCTCAGAGTGAAATGCATGCTTTTCATCCATAACCGTCGATGCACGTGCTAAAATTATGGTTTTGCTGCACTGTTGGTGTGTTTGTGCGAATGTTTCGTATGGATGTCAAATTGCATGACATCATCTAATCTGGGATCATTACGTCACTTTACCATGAACGTTCCATAAACATGAACGCTTACCTTCATGAGATTTCAGTTTGTCGAAACTTGCGTTTCTTTTGCTGTTCAGTATATATGTCGTCTTACCCAGATGGAATTGTGGGGAATTGAACCTGGGTCTTCGGCGTGCCGAGCGAACGCTTTAACCACCAGGCTACCCCACCGCCCTCTTGATTGAGGTTTCACGAAACAATCTGGCATTATGTTGTCAGGTCCCACAGGACCTGGACCTAATCAAGGCTTGCCCCATCCAAACCAGATGTCCCAGCCTGGCCCAACACCCATACAGCCTCCTCCACCAGTCTCTCAACCAGGACCCCCTCCCCAGGGACAGATGCCTCCACGGCCAATGGCGATGCCTTCTTCATCTACAGCTGGACCTCCAGGTGTCCCACCACAAGGCATCCCACCCCAGGGCAGTCAGCCTCACCCACCTCAAGGACCCCCACAGCAGCTAGTGCGGCCACCGCCGTTGATGGGAGGCCCCCCAGGAAGTCAACAACCTCCCCCAAGACTGCCACCTCCTCAGTTGGATGACAAACAAGCAATGACACCTGTGAGTTATCAATATAATGTTGTACCAGGGGTATTTTGTAATAAGGCTGGTTTTCGAACTAAGTTCTTGTTATCATAGCCTACTCAAATGTACAGCTGACATTTGTCAAAGCCAGATTACAACAGATTATAGTACTTTTGGGGTTGAGTACCATCCTGGATGGGACTCGACCCCAAAAGTACTAGAATCTGTACTTTACTGAGAAAGTATAATCCCAAAAAAGGAAGTGGTCTTTTTTCACCACTTTCTATAAGGTGTTGTGTATTCAAACCGAATTAGTTCTGAAGCCGTTCCATATAATGTATTACATGGGAGGTGGTAGGTGTAGCACAATTATTCACTAGTCTATATAGAGGCCTATCCACTGTTCTTTTTGCCATCACAGTTAGATTGTGAATTCCTAATTATAATCCTTGTAGATCTCACATTGTTACCATTACACATGTAAAAGGTAATACAAGTTATGTTTACTTCAGATGGAACCACGCCCACCCCAGCCACTGCCCAAGGAAATCCGCCTGCCCCAAGCCTTGGAGAAGGTTCTTGAGTTCAAGACAGTGAGAGCCCAGGAAGTTGGCGTCACACCAGAGGAGCTAGAGCACCTTGACAAAGGAGATGGTAAGTCTGTGTGGATATGTCATACATGCCTGATAGTGAATCTGTCTGTCTGCCAAGTCGGCTCTCATTGTAACAGACATTCTATATGGTTACTCAATAGGAATACATTTGTGTATATCCAGAGAAGACTAAAGGTCACATAAGCTGCCGACATCTGTAATTATAGAAGGATTATGGGTTTGTTAAGACTGACATGATGCAAATGTTCAGTGATGCTGGGGCCTGAATGTCATGACCATGCCTGGCATATATTCTAGATGATGAGGATGACCAAGACTATGATGATGAAGAGGATGAGAGACAGGATCTGGAGGGAGATGTTGACGAGGAAGAGGAGGATGAGGTCAAAGAAGCCCCTACCAAGCCTGCGAAGGAGGTATGATACCTTATTTTGTGTGTTGTTTTCCAATAGATAAATATGACCTGTATGATCTGATAACTACTGTTGTGTTTTATATATGGTTTGGGCTGTGTAATGATTTTGCTTTTGCTGTTCTGTGATTGTTCTTAACCTAGGAAACTTTCTGAGACCAGAAATATGTGGAAGTTGTTGATTTTGCTTTTGTTTGGTATTTAATGTAACTTTCCCTTGCCAGTCCAAAAACAAGCGCCGTAAGAAGAAAAAGAAGAAGGCAAAGAGAAGTCGCTTACAGGAGCAGAAACTGCAGAAGAAGATTGAGCAAGACTCTGAGAAGAGAGATGAAGAACATGTTCACATAGAGTAAGTGGGATTTAGAGTAAGGAGCTGCCTATTCACATGGTAGGGAACTAGAATAAGGAAGGACCTGTACACACAGTAAGGGGGGAACTAAAGTATAGAAGGACCTGTATACAACATAAGTAAGGATCTAGAGTAAGGAGGGACCTGTACACACAGTAAGGATCTAGAGTAAGGAGGGACCTATACACACAGTAAGGGGGGAACTAAAGTAAAGGAGGACCTACAAGTAAAGAAGGACCTAAAGAAGGACCTGTACACACACAGTAAGGATCTAAAGTAAAGAAGGACCTACACATGACATAAGTAAGGATCTAGATTAAGGAGGGACCTGTACACAAAGTAAGGGGGGAACTAAAGTAAAGAAGGACCTGTATATAACATAAGTAAGGATCTAGAGTAAGGAAGGACCTGTACACAAAGTAAGAGGGGAACTAAAGTAAAGAAGGGCCTGTACATGACATAAGTAAGGATCTAGAGTAAGGAGGTTACCTGTACACACAGTAAGGATCTAGAGTAAGGAGGGACCTTTACACACAGTAAGTGGGAGCTAGAGTAAGGAGCAACTTGTATACAGAGTTAGAGTAAAGAAGGGCACTGTACACAAATTAAGTAATCTCTAGAATAAGGAAGGACCTGTTAATATGTGTACCATGTCTGTAACATCCTGTGTTCTGTGTAGGTATGTGCAGGAGCAGCTGGACCTGGACCCCATGGATCCTAACTACCACACCTTTGCCATGATATTTGATGCTTTCAAGGTAATCATACTGACTTTCTCTTGTTGTTTACTATGAAAGCAGATTATTAACTAAAGTGAAACTATGCTTATCACCATCTCCTGAATATGTTTTCACGTTATACAATTGTTTGACTTTTTTGATTTATGAAACATGACATTTTATGGGGTTAATATCTTCTGTATCTTCTGAATGGGAGATAAATACTAGGAAGACAATACTAGATTACCACTGGGAGATTTTGTAGCTGACTCGGTCATTCACAATAAGTTTCTACTTGAATACGGACTGTATTTTCCAGATTTCTGAGCCAGAGAAGCCCAAGGAACAACCAAGAGCTGAGGAGAAGAAACCTGAACAGAAACTGGCTGAAAAACTGGTACCGAAAATGGACGACAGTGACAGCGACAGTGATGATGAGGTGAGTGGATGCGAGGTCCTCTCCTACAAAGTTCTTTAGTGCTTGAGGAGTTGCTACAGTTGTAGGACATGTCACCCTTGTAGAAGTGAAAGTTTGCGAAAATGTTATTCAGTTCATTTATTTGTGTTCATGGTGTCTGAAACATTTACAACTGTTGCTATTTGACAGATATTGACCTTTTTTTAATGATAATTTGAAAATGAAAGGATTACCATGTATGGCCGTTGCATGTACCTAGTACTTCATATTGTGATACTATACTGTTACACCCCATTGTAAGATGACAATTTAGCTTCCAATGCCTTAAATTCAGTCTGAAAAACTCTAGTCCTTCTGAATATCATGGTTAATGTTTTGGATGGAAGTACAACTCATCTATTCAACCATCTGATGCGCTGTTAGGAGCAGAATTACATGCACATATATGTTCCTGATGGGTTCCTATCCCTTAGCTTATGGCCCTTGGTATGTCTGTATCTAACCTATGCTCATATAACATGCTTCATTTGAAATGCTGTTCATAGCAACATCCCTACTCACTAATTCTCCCTCTCATACAGGATGGCGCCACCAGAGGAAGAAACTCCAAAGTTGTCAAAGAAGAAGATGAAGAAACTGACACGACTGAGTGTGGCACAGCTCAAACAGGTAAGTCCCATATAGTGGTGAATACCTGATACAGTTTATCCTTCCTTGTTATAACCCCTCTTTATCAGCCTGTGTTTTATTATCCCCTGCCACGAAGTGGGAGGGAGGTATAGTTTTGACTAATTTGAGCTCCGTCCATCTGTCCATCCGAGATGATGGGGACAAATTTTTCGTATAAACTGTTATAGATAGGGGAAGCAAATTTGGTATGTGTTTTCAAAACATGAATGCCTTTATGGAGTTCCAAAACAGAAACCGTGTTACAATTTGTTACAGAGCTATGACCCTTATTATGCGTTTCTTGACTTTGTGCACGGTATCGCCAATGGGGGACAGATTTTCTCAAAAAACCAAATGTGGTATGTGTTTTCAGGCCATGAATGTTGTGGTGTAGTTAAGAAAACAGGAACCAAATAGGAACAGAACACTGTGGCGGCGGACATTGATGACCATGTCTTCTTGTATTACCTCTTGCAGCTCCCCATTCTGAAGCCTCTGAATGCCCATTCTGTCGGGCTCTTGGCACCTGGTATAACTATGTGTTACAGTTGGATACCTGTTGTTTTCTCCCCATGAACTTGGTGGAACTATGTACAACATATTGATACATGTGTTACAGTTGGTGACACGACCAGATGTGGTGGAGATGCAGGATGTTACAGCAAGAGATCCACGACTTCTCGTTCATCTTAAGGTAAGGTTGAGGAAGATCATGTTGAGGCACTTCCATCTGAGAGAGAACATGTTAAGACTGATGCAAACATCCCTTAGAGCCCTGACACAGTTGTTGAAGAAGGTTCTCGTTAATCCCTTGACACACTATGTTAAGACAGACGTTCTTTCATGAAAGGTCAAGTTAAAACCTTTACTCACTCAGTTAAGAAAGATGATGTTAATGCTCTCACATACAGTTGAGATCCTCTCTGTGTAGGCCACAAGGAACACAGTGCCGGTTCCACGCCACTGGTCTTACAAGAGGAAGTACCTGCAGGGGAAAGAGGTATTGAAAAGCCGCCGTTCGAGCTGCCTGACTTTATCAAGGCCACTGGTATTCAGGAGATGAGAGCAGCACTGGCGGAGAAGGTAAGTGTTTGGGCTTTGTGCAGATATAGGTGCCTTCGCACTTGGTCAAGACATGTTGAAAACAGAACAAGCCTTGTTTAGCATTGTTCTGTAGGGATATTGCTTCCTGTGGCAGTAAACTGACAGTGGGCAAAGATGGCCCCGTTGTCGAGTTACAGGAATTTTATTTTGAGAGTTATGCCCCTTAAGCCAGATTGTCTGATCATGGGTTTTGATCCCAGGTTTGCGCAGATTCTGATATTTGGTTTGTCAGCCAGTTCTGTGGGTTTCACCAAAGTGGTAAATGTCTGAGATGTGTGTCACTTTAGTCTTTCCTCCCAGATTTTGACCCATCTCACTCACTTTGTAAACGTCCCCATCACCTGTATGAGACAATAGAGCTTATGTCAATGTTTTGGCCATCAGGAAGATCAAAAGACACTAAAGGCCAAGATGCGAGAACGAGTACGACCAAAGATGGGCAAGATTGACATTGACTACCAGAAGCTCCACGATGCCTTCTTCAGGTTCCAGACCAAACCCAAGATGACAATACATGGAGATCTGTACTATGAGGTGAGACATCAAGTACAAAGTTAGGGAGCTCTCCTAAAAACAAAGTTGCTCATTTGTTTTCATGTCCATGTTTTGGTCTTTTCTATACATATTTTACAAACCAACTATTCACAAAACAAAGATGAATATCCTGCTGTAAATCTTCAACTTGTACTCGTTCCTTTGTCTTGACTTTTCTTTTCAGAAATGAAACACTTAAAAAAAAAGAGGTTTAGAAGTAGATTTTCTATTTGTATTTTTATCACCCACCTTCTTTTGATTAAGAGGTTGAAACAAAGTCCTTGTGCGTTATATGCCTTATGATAGTTGAGTTTGAATGTTGTTCCAAGATGATAGATTTACACTACACAATGTTGGTCTCCTGCTGCAGGGCAAAGAGTTTGAGACAAGGTTAAAGGAGAAGAAGCCAGGCAACCTGTCTGATGATTTGAAAGTTGCTCTTGGAATGCCAGTTGGGGCGGTAAGTCTCAGAATGTACATCAGGGATAACAAAATCTATCTGAGGGATAAGCTTAGCACATGTATCATGCTTCAGGTTATATTTGAATACATGTCATTTGTTCAGTGGATGTGTTGCAGCTCACTTTATTGGTGTTAATTTCTGTGGTATATGTGATCTCTGTACGTGTTTATGTGTTTTATTTAGAACTCAGACAAGGTTCCACCACCATGGCTGATTGCTATGCAGAGATATGGTCCTCCTCCTTCCTACCCAAACCTTAAAATACCAGGACTCAATGCTCCCATTCCTGAGGTAGGTAAACTTCATGTTCACTCTTGACTTGATAAACTCAGGGGTACATACAATAGTACAATGTACAGATTCTTAATGTAATACCTATGAGAAGTATTGTGAGGAGTAAAAGACACACTGACAGGGTATGCAATGTTATTCCTATGAATACACCTGGCATCAAAGGCACCCGAATATCACCTGTTTTTTTTAACATAAGCTCTTCAGCATAACTGCTTTCTTCTGGTCACTTAGTGAACATTTGAAAGTCCTTTTGTCACCATTAAACATTGAGTGTGTGATGTCATTCAACATTCTACACTGAGTGGGTAATATCCTTCTCCATGTTGTTTTTACTATATGATGTTTATGCTCTGTTGCAGGGTTGTTCCTTTGGGTATCACGCAGGTGGCTGGGGCAAGCCTCCAGTAGATGAGAATGGAAAGCCACTGTATGGAGACGTGTTTGGTACACAGGGAGGAGAGTTCCCAGTAAGTGACTTCCTGTCTTGTCATCTTACAATGCTTCCATTACATGTACAGTCAAGTCCCGTTAATCCGACCTCTGTTTATCCGACTCTTTTGTCGGTAACAAATTGAATCAACTCTATTTAGTCTTGTTAATCCTTCAGTCCCGTGTTCCGACTCCGACAGACCCAATTAACAACCGACTGTCGTAATCACACAGTAATTAGTCCTGTTAATCCCACACTGAGGTGAGCAGCGCGTGTGATCAATTAGCCGTGAATACACTGACACGTGTCACTCAAGATAATGAAAGTGAGTTACACAATGTTCAAGGTAAGTATAAAGATAATGAAAATGACTTACCTAACACAGTCGGCAAAATGTCTTGTTCAACATCAAGTAAGCGTGAGAGAGTAGAGTTAACGCCACAGATCAAGATATCCTGAAAGATTCAACAAAATGGTTGGCTGTTCCATCAAGCGTCACGTCCACATCAAGAAACAGAAAACCAAAACAAGAGGAGCTGGAGAATGCCTTGTTTCTGTGGTTTACGGATGTAAGATCAAGATATGTGATGCTGAAAACACAGGCATAAGTGTTGGGCGATCGGTTAGGTGTGGTCGAGTTTGCATACAGTACCGGCTGGCTGAATCGTTTTAAACAGAGGCATGGGATAAGAAATCACAAAGTTCATGGTGAATCTGCTTCTGGTTCTTTAGAAACAGTTAGAGAAGGCAGGCAATCTATTCAGGATGTCCTCACCGATTTCAATCCTTGTGACATTTTCAACTGTGATGAGACAGGCTTATTTTTCCTGATTGAGCCGAATTCAACATTGTGCACTGCTCCGGTTTCTGGCAAGAAACAGTCTAAAGATCGTTTGACAGTAATGCTGACAGTAAATGCAATGGGCACAGAAAAACTGAAACCACTTGTGATTCACACATTCAATCAGCCGAGATATTTTGGAAGAACATTTGACCCTATGTCTGTTTGCAACTGGTACGTAAACAAGAGAGCATGGATGACATCCTTAATTTTCCAAGATTGGCTGGTGAACTTTGACCGACAAATGCGCATGCAGAGATGCCACGTGATCCTGCTGTTGGACAATGCCCCCTCCCATGCTACTTGTCAGTTAACTATTGTCACATGTCATTTTCTGCGCACCTCTAATACCACTTCACACATTCATCCACTCGATGCTGGGATCATAAAAATTTCAAACTCCTATACAAGAAACAACAAATGAAACTCTATTTGGATAATACTCAAAATGAAACTCCGCAATCTCTGGACGTGAAGCGAGCCCTGATCTTTATCCGAACAGCCTGGAACGAAGTCAAACAACAGACCATTATCAACTGCTGGCGCCACACACAAATTCTGCCGTCAACTGAACCAGTGACCACGGATCTTGTCATCGATGCAGAGGAGACGATTGCTGAAATTTCAACAGCTGTGAATAAAGTGTATTGATCAAACATGTCAACTGGAGATTTCATCAATGTAGACAGCGATCTTCATGCGAAGAATCCTTATCTGATGAATCAATCATCGACATGGTGCGGAAGACGAAAACAGCTTAACCCACTGAGGACGAGTGATGACTGTGAAGAACCCACCATTCCAAAGGCTTCTACTGTCAAATCTCATTTGACCGAGATTGCATGCTTTGTTGAGCACCATCTGACACGTTCAGCGTGGCTGATCTTGATGCTTTGAAAATATTCAAGAAACTCTCATGGAAAAACATGATTTTTCTCCTTATCCTGACTCATGCTCTTTTGCTTGTCTCCTTCCTCTTGCATGAACATAGTGGAACACTTAGATCTCCCTAATTGAAGTTCCTTCAATGTAAAATCACTAATTAGTACACTCAGCACGAGTTACCTCCCTTCCACAAGCGCCGGGAACGAGGGCTTTCACCTCACCCTCTACCCATGTGCCTCACTCTTCCCTTCTTCGCCCAGTGAGCTGGGCGGTGAGGCGCCTGTGTCTCCCGACACACTATATCCTTTGATTATATTTAGTTAGTTACCTCCGTATAGAGATCTATAGAGGTTTAGCTAGTATCTTTCAACAATTATATATTGATATTTAGTCGTTTCTACTGTTTATTCACGGACGCCGTGGCTGTTGCAGTGGATTACGCTGATAAAAATTCTGCAATTGCATTATTACGCTTTTATTATTCTGCTGCTATCCGCGATTTAATATGCCCTAGCTGTACTGCTCAGCGTTCATGTTTCATTCTGATCCACGCTTAGGTGCAATATACTAATTTATCCAATTCTACCTTTAATAAATAATTACTTTATGCTTTGAGACGCTGCGCTAGCAGATAGGTCACGTCGCTGCGATGCAGAGTCTAGCCATGACTGATACACCTGAACATCACACAAGTCGGCACACAGGTCTACACTCAGGTCTCCCCGAAAAGTCACCCGACATAGAGATAGCAGCCCAGAGGTCACCATCAGAAGAGCATCAACTCTCTCATCTCCGATGCTGGTACAGAAGATGATGGAGGCATCATCTTCTCAGACGCTGAGATAAGATATTGGATGGTAAACAACCTAGATTTATCTTCACCGGCCCAAGAGTGGCAACTCAGCGCAGACATACCTGATGAAGGAAGACGATGCAGACGCCATCACCTTACCTCCGGTCGACCCGATTGCTGCGGTGCCACATAATCTAGATACAGCCTTCATTAAAGCTACGAAAGTGCAGACTCCACATCTGCCGGTTTTTCACGCTTAAGAAGTTCTCCACGCACAACATGGACCCTTCCTGAAGGCACAAGACATCGATGAAAACTACAAGCTGATCAGCGATGTTAAGAACAAGAACTACAAGATTGACGATCGCAGCTGGTGCAGATAGAAAACATGACGAGACGATGTTCTTTGGCCTAAATAGATCTAGAACGATCAATGAGACACTTATCACCAGATTTCGTATATACTCTACCTCTGAAGATGATAGGATGATCTACCGCCCCTACTGATGCAAAAGAAGGACCAGCAGTTCCTTACAGATCATCTCACATCTGTCTCAGCAGCACTGACCTTAGCTCGTCAGTCAAGGCCTCCTCGCTTCCTGCAGCTGGGGTGAGAACTTTACAGCTCCACTCTATACAGCCCCGCGGTCATCCCCAAACATCTTTGACGGAGGAATAGACAAAGTCTCCAAGGAAGTCACTAAGGACTCCAGAGAAGTCCTTATGATCAAGTCGATGGACACGCTTAGCAAGCCGCCATCAGGCAGACTTCACAAAGATACTCAGGAGATCTAAGTTCTCGACTACAGAAAGCACGGGATAGGAAGATAGCCAGCCAGGGGAAAAGATTCTTTTCGCCCCATATGGCAACTATAGAGGAGGGTCAGGAAGAGGCAGGACACCCAGAGGTTCCCGCAACTATAAACGCTGAAAGACAGGTTCGAACGACTGGAGTCTTCCACCCCAGCCGCTCCAGTACAACCGCCACAAGTGGGTGGACGCCTCCAACTACACTGGGAGAACTGGGGAATGTTAAAAGACCCTTATGTCTCCAACATTCTTCAACACGGATTTCGTATCCCACTACAGGCCACGCCCGCTGACAGTCAACCCTTACAAGTTCGACTTACAGGCACAACAACTACCAAAGTTAAGAGAGGCGGTTACATCACTCATAACCAAGCAGGCCATAGAAGTACTAGATCAAGTAGACATCGAACCAGGCTTCTACTCCCCAGTTTTCCTAGTACCCAAGAAAACTCCAAGGAGAAATACAGACTCATTTACAACATGAGTTTTTCAACAGGAATTATCTACGCAAACCACCAAAGTTTCGCGATGATACACCTTCCTCAGTTACGCAGTTGATTCGCCCCATGGATTACATGGCCAGTATAGATCTGCAAGACGCTTATCTACATATCCCGATACATCCCGAATCCAGGAAATATCTAAGATTTACACTAGACGGGCTACATTACCAATGGAAAGTACTTCCATTCGGCATATCATCAGCCCCTGGCTATTCACGAGGATAACGAAACCTATTGTCACCTATCTACATCGCCTAGGGCTACGCAGTGCTCTACCTCGACGACGGGATACAAGTAGATCAAGATCCACAGCATCTCAAACTACAGTTAAACTACATCATAAAGCTACTAACACAGCTAGGATGGTTAGTAAACTTACTCAAGTCGGACCTAGTACCATCGCAAAGATCTGCAGTTCCTAGGCATTCGATTTATCACTTAATCACATCCGTATCGTCGTATTAGAAGACCGCTGGCTCAAGATCCAACAGACCATTCCGGCCAGTTTCTACTCTCCGCTACCACTACGACAATGGCAGAGCGCGGTTGGTCTCTCACATCAGCCCAAGACATGACAGTCTCAGGCAGATTACAGTTACGCCTATTACAGGTCTTCATCAATGCACATCTCGACGACCTACAACCATTCAGTCTACCGAAACGCCTCAGACCTCATCTACTATGGTGGACCAGGAGGTCGAATGTTTGCGAAGGTATTTGTTTAGAAGAGCAGGAATTCAAAACCCATCTATATGTAGACGCCGCCGCCCAAGGTTGGGGAGCTCATCTCGCCAACCGGACGGCATCAGGGTTATGGAATCAGCAAGAAAGCAAGCTCCATATAAACATGTTAGAGATGAAAGCTGTAATCAACGCCATACTTCATTGGAGCAACATTCTACAGAATGCGCACTTAATGATTCATACCGACAACTCGACAGTGGCGCTCTATGTGAACAAACAAGGTTCAACAAGATCACTGAACCTATTGACTTTAAGCTTTCAACTGTTCGATCTAATACACGATCTAAACCTACATGTCAGAGCATGTCACATTCCCCGAGCCAAGAATGTACTAGCAGACGACTCTCTCGCCACATCAACCGCCACCGACAGAATGGATGCTCAATACAGAAATATTTGCACAGATAATCAAGCAAATAGGAGCCGCTAGTAGATCTATTCGCAACACGCTTCAACAATCAGCTACCGACATTCGTGGTCACCAGTCCCAGACCCACAAGCATGGGCAACGGACGCCTAAGCATATCCTGGGAAGGCCTCAATGCGCACGCTTCCGCCAGCAATAATACCTCAAGTGTTACAGAAAATCAGACAAACACAGAGCCTCCAACTCACTTTGGTCGCTACTACTGGTCGGGTTACAGAACGTGGTTTCCCATTCTAATTCAAGAAATCGGTCAACCAACACTAGAGCTACCTAAGCCCAAATCTATTAATACATCCACACACCAAACAGGTGCACGGAAGCCCAGAAGTATTCCAACTTCACGTATGGACTGTATTAAAATGTGTTTAAACAAGAGAGGGTATTCTACCAGGGCGGCAAAAGCGTCACGCTTTGCCTTACGCTTATTCTACACGAAACTTGTAATGACATTTACAAGTGGCACAGTTTTGAGAATTACGCAGTAAATAAGGGATTTACAGCAAGAGATGCTACTCATCCACAAGTGGCAGATTATTTGTGTTACTTACGGCAAAACAAACATTTAAAAGGCTCGACATTGTCAACATATCTTGCCGCTTTAGTTCTGTCATTACCATGAGAACGGGTGTTAGATTAACAAGAACTCCAGAGTTACTGGCCTTACTACGGGCTTTCCGATTGAGGACCAAAAGCGAAGTTCCACGCCCCAGCTTGGGATCTGAATATAGTGTTGCAACACCTCACAAGTGAGGCTTATGAACCGCTGGAATCGACAAACTTTGAGCTTCTCTCACAGAAAACGCTTTTCCTGTTATCTCTAGCCACAGCAGCCAGGATGTCGGAAATTCACGACTAGATTATGAGAGGATACAGTTTGATGACAATCAAAACACAGCACACCTGGGATTAAGATGGGATTTCATCGCCAAAAATCAACTACCAGGTCAACCAGACAGGTTATTTCATATCCCTGCATTATCCTCCATTCTCGATCTCAAGATACACTGGACTTATCTCTATGCCCAGTCAGAGCTCTCAAAATCTATTTACGACGCTCCAAAACAAGGCTTAAGATTTCTCAAACGATTATTCATTCCCTTGTCGGCAACAACTCAGACAGAAGTCTCTCGCACCACCATATCTATATGGATAAGAACTGTCATACTCACTGCTTCAAGGCAAGGCAGCAGGACTGGACCCTCCAACAGCATCAAATCCCCATGAAATCAGGGCGTTAGCTTCCACTCGCCTTTACACGGTAACTGTTCTTGAATACAATTATGGAAGGATGCTTTTGGAAATCTAACATGGTGTTTGCTAATCACTACCTGAGAGATATCACCACCGAGGACGCCTCAGGCATTCACCATTTCGTCCCTTGGTCCTCGTGACAGCAGTTGACAGTCCTCGTGAACGCTAACACGTAGTCTTACGAGATTAATATGCATAATTGTTACATGCATTATCTAGCTTATAACTCCCACGGAGTTCTAGCAGTATGTATATATGTTCAGTGGTATAGCTTCTATCAGAGTCGCTTTGATATTGTTGTTTATAATATCTCAGTATATCATAATGTAAATACCCCAGTATGGCATTATAACCTATGGCTTATAATAGAGGAATTATCCTAAGTCTATGCCTTTATGAAGTTCCCGTGAGGGGTTATTACAGTTAAATCTATATAAATCACTAATTCTATAAATCCAAAGTATTCTGTTTTGCCCACCTCCTCGCTTCTCGTGAGGATTCTACAAGCAAAAGAGCATGAGTCAGGATAAGGAAAAATATGTAATTTTTGAGTAAAATTGATATTTTATACTTATCCTGACTCATGAGGTTAGCTCCTCCCATCCTCCCCACATAACACTTTGGATTTCCTGTAAATTCAAGTGTTGGGCTCTGCAAAATCAGGAGAGAGTGAAGCATGAGGCCAGAGGGTGGCTTACACCTGTTCCCGCCAAAAGGGCAAGGGAGGCAACTCGTGGTGAGTACCAATTAGTGATTTTACATTGAAGGGAGCTTCAATTAGGGAGATACAAGTGTTCCACTATGTTCGCAAGAAGAAGAAGACAAGCAAAAGAGCATGAGTCAGGATAAGTATAAAATATCAATTTTACTCAAAAAATTACATTTTTGCCCGGGTTTCTGGCAAGAAACAGTCTAAAGATCGTTTGACAGTAATGCTGACAGTAAATGCAATGGGCACAGAAAAACTGAAACCACTTGTGATTCACACATTCAATCAGCCAAGATATTTTGGAAGAACATTTGACCCTATGTCTGTTTGCAACTGGTACGTAAACAAGAGAGCATGGATGACATCCTTAATTTTCCAAGATTGGCTGGTGAACTTTGACCGACAAATGCGCATGCAGAGATGCCACGTGATCCTGCTGTTGGACAATGCCCCCTCCCATGCTACTTGTCAGTTAACTATTGTCACATGTCATTTTCTGCTGCCTAATACCACTTCACACATTCATCCACTCGATGCTAGGATCATAAAAAATTTCAAACTCCTGTACAAGAAACAACAAATGAAACTCTATTTGGATAATACTCAAAATGAAACTCCGCAATCTCTGGACGTGAAGCGAGCCCTGATCTTTATCCGAACAGCCTGGAACGAAGTCAAACAACAGACCATTATCAACTGCTGGCGCCACACACAAATTCTGCCGTCAACTGAACCAGTGACCACGGATCTTGTCATCGATGCAGAGGAGACGATTGCTGAAATTTCAACAGCTGTGAATAAAGTGTATTGATCAAACATGTCAACTGGAGATTTCATCAATGTAGGCAGCGATCTTTCATGCGAAGAATCCTTATCTGATGAATCAATCATCGACATGGTGCGGAAGACCGAAAACAGCGAACCCACTGAGGACGAGAGTGATGACTGTGAAGAACCCACCATTCCAAAGGCTTCTACTGTCAAATCTCATTTGACCGAGATTGCATGCTTTGTTGAGCACCATCTGGACACGTTCAGCGTGGCTGATCTTGATGCTCTTGAAAATATTCAAGAAACTCTCATGGAAAATCATGTATCATACGGTCATCTGTGGTCATATGCAGTATTTTACATGTCAAAGACGGCTTAAGTCAGTTATTGTCTGGGTAATTTTTTTTTACATATGTTAAAAAAGTTACAACCCCCCCCAAAAATGCATATCGATGACAGTGTTTTGTTTCATGGGTGCCAGCATCCATGTTGGAACTGGTCATCATGGATGGTGTACTGTTGTAGGCACCTATAGAGGAGGAGGAGATTGACAAGAGTCACTGGGGAGAGCTGGAGTCGGAATCAGAGTCAGAAGAAGAGTCGGAGGAAGAGTCTGACGAGGATGACCAGACTGGCCTTGTGACGCCAGCTGAGGGGTACGTAGGGACATGATACCTGTGGCCACAGGAATAGGGTGATAACAATGGGAGGGAGTTTGTGTGATCATAACTGTGGCTTACTGCATGTTGCAAACTACTGGTTTGTCTGTTCACATATAACTTTCATCAAGCGTATGCAAGGAAATGAGCCCTTGTTGATATTATTCAAGATGTAATAAGAATTTGAATGTGATGAAAAAGAAATAAGGTAAAAATATCATGTAATTTCCATCTGTATTCTGCAGTCTGGTGACTCCAAGCGGCATGACGTCAGTACCCATCGGTGTGGAGACGCCTGAGATGATTGAGCTGAGAAAGCGGCGTATTGAAGATGCAATGGACCAGGGAGGTGACACACCTGCTCTCTACACTGTCCTGCCAGAGAAGAAGACAGCTGTGGGCGGGGCAATGATGGGCTCAGCACATGTCTATGATATGACAGGGGTGAGTTATCAGCACACATGTTAAAATCAGTATGTTCACATGTTTACAAAGTTTATGAGACACGATTGAAGCAGCTTAGACCCCATTCAAATCATATGCTCATACTGTTATTCAATCTTTGTAAAATCCAAAGTTGTAGCAGTAACATGGCAAGAGATGTGGATTGTGTTACAAATTTCATCCCTACAGGCTGTACCCATGCTCAGAATCACCATGATTGCCAGTGTTGGAGACTGAGAGTCAAAGAGCCGTTGACATACCCATATTGTTGATGAAAGTTCTTGGGGTTCCCTGGATCATGAAGATTCATTTACCCTCCTTTTATATTTATTTATATGATGTATCTGTTCTCAGGTGACGGCCAAGAAGGTGGGTGATAAGGTTCCTACAGAGGGCATTGAAGTGTCTTTGAACCCTGAGGAGCTTGACCTTGACACGGCAGCGATGCAGGCGAAGTACGACCAGACAGTACGGGAACAGCAGTCACAGCTGGAGAAGGAGGACCTCAGTGACATGGTGGCAGAACATGCTGCCAAGCAGAAGGTGAGACACAATCGGGTGAAGACAGGATCCTTAGTCCTTAAGAAAGTCTTGAACTGGAAGGTCTTGATTTAGGTGGTTTGCTTTGAAGGGTCTCCCAGTTGGATGTTTGTTTCATATGGGGGCTTGAATAAGAACTGACAATCTAGGGACCTTGTATTTACATATTTGTCTTTCAAAGTACTTTACATCGAGCGAGATAAAGGTGGAATATTTGCTTTGAAATGCACTAAATTTGGAAAATTCTGGATCCGCTCCTGGCGATGCTGTTTGCTTCCATACGAGTAGCAGGGGTCCTACGGAGTTGTGATACAAGGGATACAGGAAGGGGCAGTGGGAATGATATATGATGTAATCAGGAATTCTACGAAACTATTTCTTGATTTTGTAAAGAACAGGTCTCAAACCATTGTTGCGAAGGATTTGTTTCATGTGCACCTCCATAAAATCTGTATCATTTCTCTTTCATATGTTTCAGAAAAGAAAAAAGCAGCAGCAAGACAGTGGCAAATCAGCTAAAAAATACAAGGAATTCAAGTTTTGATACACAGGTTATATTTGTAAATGCTCGTCTGTGTATGTTTATTGGCTGCTCGAGACTGATCATGTACCAACATTTACTTCCAAGCATTTCATCGCTGTGTTGATGTCTTGTTCTCTTAGTGACCATGTATTTGAAATCGGAAGAAATCATATGTATCAAGCTTGGATCTTTGTCTGAAATCAAGTGTGCAGTCCAATGTTCCATGTTACCCATGCTAGGGTGCTCCATTGTCAATCTCCATGTCCAATCACAGACTCTAAAGCTGTCCATTTCCCTTTGCTTTTGAGAAGTTTCTTTGGTGAAAAAAACATGTATTACTTTTACATTTACTTTAATATCTTATAGGTAGATATTAAGACAATTGAACATTTTTATAAAAAGAAAGAAAAGATGTACTCTGTTCATGCCCTTACTAGATCAAATTACTGTATGTGTACTTTGTTTTTATCATTTTAAGGATTGTATATATTAGAACGTCAAGCATTGTAAAGCTCTTGTGGAAGTACTCAGTATGTTTTTGACAAAGTACATGACCTTGAAAATATTTTGAAACTCCCAGCTCCTGATCATGAACTATTTCCAAAAGAGCTCCAGTCTGATCACACATCTGGTACCCAATCATCACTTTCTTTCATTAGCAAATTTAACATGTGTACAGTAATTAGAATTGCATCATGCAGAATGTCAGTAGTTTTATTAAACAAGGATTATTTTAAAGACATCAAAAGCAAAAGGGAATTCTTCAGCTGCTGAAGAATGTTTGTGCATGTCTCATGTGTAAATATCATCAAGGTGAATAAATGCCTCTAAAAGTGAAAGAATGTCCTTCAGTTGTGCCAGGATCTGCTGACCATGATTTCCATGTCCAGATTATATGTTTTAGCCTGTTAGCACTCTCTCAGGTGACTAACGGGATCGGGTGGTCAGGCTCGCTGACTTGGTTGACACATGTCATCGGTTCCCAATTGCGCAGATCGGTGCTCATGATGTTGATCACTGGATTGTCTGATCCAGACTCGATTATTTACAGACCACCGCCATATAGCTGGAATATTGCTGAGTGCACCATAAAACTAAACTCACTCACTCACTGACTTGGTTGATGCATGTCATATCCCAATTCAGTCACTGGCTTATCAGTTCCAGACTTGTTTAATTTCATGTAGCCATGATAAAACTGTGTGTTGCTCATAGTGACATTAAAAACATTAAAACTTGGTAATGATGAAACGCTTAAAAAGAAAACAAGAGAAATATTTCATATTCTTTATGTCAAGATTCAAACACAATGAAATCATGAGAAGTACTGTTTCTATGAATGAAGATACTTTCACTCCAATAAAATTACATAAAAAGAGACCAATCTATGAGAAGCCAATATACCTACAAAATCATCCTAGACACTGAGATTCTTGTGTATGCTTTGAGTGATTCATTTTCACATAAAACCTTTTAGGAATGTTGTTCTGAACTTTACTAAACATTTTCACTGCTATTGCAAAAGTTCCATTCAATGATATGAGCTTATATTGCAAGATAAAAATAATACATCATGTTTTTGTTGGTTATTTTATGCATCAGAGTAAAAATCAAAGACTTAAAAGTGTATTTTGGCAATGTTAGTTGGACTATTGACTATGCATCTAATATTACCTGTACAACTGATGAACACGTGCATCAGCTTCATTAAGGACACACATCAGTGCAACCATGCCTTCTGTATTGAAAGAAATGTAATACTTCAGGCAAATCAGCAGAACTTACTGTTCTAATTATGCATAAAGATCACATAACCTATTATTTTTGTCACACATTATTATTATGTTATATGTTTTATTAATATGAGTAATAATATCGCAAGAATTCATACTACTTGTTAAAGAAATAACAATTCTTCACCAACCTAAATAACCATGATATCTGTATTTGTGAATTTTGAAAACAATGATCCAATTTAACTTGACCTTGTGATTGTCATATTAAGTTCCCTGTTGAAAACATGGAAGGCATTCTCGTCATTTTGTCAATCAAGTCATAATATACATAGGACATGCAGTTTGTTTAAAATAAAGTATGGTTTGTGATTTCTTCTGCAGGATATATAAACAAAATATAGATTTAATGTCCGAACACCAATTTATGTTTTAGTAACAAGAAAATATAGTTACACAGGTTATGATTTAGCATCCTGAAAATATATCATTCAAGGATACATTTACCTACTTTTGATTATTTTGCAACCTTTCTGATTGTGAATCCAGAAAATAACATTTCCCAATATTAAACTATATTTCATCATAAAGTAAACAGTCAATAGATCTTATCTATAAAAGTGTTCTGAAAATATAATATCGTATATTCAATTAAAAGATTCTGTAACAAGATTATTAACAATGCTACTACCAATCAGCTACGAACATGCATCAAGAACTGTCCTGTTACAGGATAGAATATATGGTTTGATTACTCATCGTACAAAATTCATCAACTGAATATTAAGGCATGCATATTCCTGACAACAAAATATACATACAGAAATAAATGCAGTGTATCGTTCCTCTACAGCCCTGGGACACTAAGGTCACCGAAAATGCAGGTCAATCATACTATAAATAGAGGTGCCCACTACTTATCACTAGAGAAACAGACAAACGACTTCCAGAATCTTGCACACTGTGAATATGGAATACCAAATCTGATGTATTGAGCGCTGTCAAGTATTATTTCAGTTTCCAAGCGGATTTGGGTGAATGATGTATGCAAAAATATCTTGGCAATATCCCCCTTAAGTGTAAAATGTAACAGCAATCCAAATGACTAATATGGAACCATGGCCCCTTCCAACTAATGATGTTAAAGTTTGGACTTTACTTTCTCCTATAACCTAACATAAGGTTAAGATGTCATTGATTGTTTTGTGGATCAATCTGGTATTACAATTCAGTTCTTATAAGAATAACTCGCCTTTACATCTTGAGCCAGGATGAATTCTAAAAAAACTAAACACGCAGTGCTTTTGTGATTAAAACAAGTCACCAGTAGTATACTTGCCTCATGTACAACTTCTAATAGCAAAAAGACAGACCCTATGTTGATATGCATGAAAACTTTCACTGGTTGAAAGATCATTGTAACCGTCTTTGAATCAAAATATTGAGGGTTTGCTCAAGTCCTTTTGATTGGTTGTTGAATTTAGTGAGGGTTTGAGATGGTGATGTCACATCCAAAGTGAAGATACAGGTGGCAGATTGGTCAAGGGTGTGTATCAAAATAGAATGGAGATCTAATACACGAGAGCTATAAGACCTTATAATTTCTTAATAGCACCCTTTCTGAATCTCTCTGCACAACTGTGATAAATGACAGTCAAAGATGTATAGTTCACAAAAGCCTGACCACCCTTTATATAAGGCCTGCCAAAATACTCCACACACAGACTATATGATAAATAACACTCCCAAACACACCCCCAACCAGTGTTATGAAATACTATACATACAGACTCAATCCTGACCTACTTATTGGCCACTGTTGCTTCCACATCCCCATTACAAGCATTATGATTGACATATAAATGGGTCATTCATGGTAGAGGGATATGTAAAGGACTTTCAATTTTTATTTGTGGCCACGACAAATATGACAAGTATGTTCAAAGATGGAGATAACAACTCTATCAATCATGTGATATAGACCTACAAATGTATTCCATGCAATTAATGCAAAAATCAGCGCTTAATACATCACAATTGGTAAATCAATTTTCTATTTTAAAAAATCTCATAATTTGCAGATATATCTCATCGGGCCAGTACCTCCCTCCATGACTGTGAATATTGGATGAAAGTTTTACATCATGACAAAACTGTATGAGGTTAAAATATGAATACTCAACAATATACTATATATCTCTATATAAACTTTCAATAAACTCTTATGCAGTGGGATACCCTTGGCTAGGTCTATAGCCAGCACAAACCGCTGGCATAGACACATCGCAGTAGGTGGGCTATATATACATCATTAGATTGTAGAACAGTACACGGTGGTGTAGTCTCCATGCCACACACAGCAGCAAGTCGTTGGGCTTGTATATCGCTGTAAGCAATATTGCAATTATAACTCAGTGGTAGATGTGGCAATGTTACAAGATTGAGGAGCGGTCTCCCTAAAACACTAGGTGGAAAAGGCAGGCTTTTACTACACACCTTGGAAATCCTCCATGCGTAGTGGGAACGTAGTTTTTCAAATGTACAGTATAACCAATTCCATCTCAAAACATTAAAATACTTCACTTGGTAGCTATTTGACAGTTAATCCAAACTGACAAGTATGAAATAAATAAACTATTGATTAATGCAGACATACACTTCATATAAGCAATCTCTTGTTTTTCTATTCTTTCATGTTTTCTAATAAATCTCAATAAGCAGTATAAGTAAGAAAATAAATTATGAATAGTAAACTTTTACTGGTAAAACATCTGAACCAGTGGTGACATACCAGTCTCAATCGGAACATAACATGACCCCAACCAACACTCTGTTAGTGTTGGGAATACACCAATAACACAAGGAAATTAGTGTTGCATGATGAATCCAGGTATGCATACATTTGGTCCTACTATTGTTTCTCTTGAACAAAACTCAGGAAGACAAACATCCCACCTAAATATCACTCACAATATGTCTATGGCATAAACAACTATATCTTAATTACTGTTGGCATATATTAGTAAAGGTTTTGCATTTAAGCCAAACATGTTTGTGTCATGTCACTCTGACTTCAAAATAGAGTCACGTGACATCATGGTCGATCATGTGACAAAATATTACGACAATATGTGGTGTCGTTTTTGAGTAGCAGTATTTTAGAAACGGGCATCGCTCTACACGATTCCAAAGCCATTACAATTGTATGTAATATGGCCATGCGCTGTACCTAAAGATCATTCCATAAAAGTTGTTTATATTCTGTCCCCTTCCCATCAATGGTCTGGAGGTGCTTACGCATATCTAACATAAAACAACTTCCCATGCTGCTGCAGCACCCCACCAACAGCATAGGGTAATACCACCCTACCCTACCACACCCTATTGTAACACCCCGCCACACCACACCATCCCACCCTACCATAATACCACCCTACCTTACCACACCCCACCTTATCATAGCACTCCATCAGACCACACCATCCCACCCTACTGCAACACCACCCTACCCTACCACACCCCATCATAACACTCCGTCAGACCACAACATCCCACCCTACAGAAACACCACCCTACCATAATACCACCATACAGCAACACCACCCTACCCTACCAGAACCCACCTTATCATAGACCACAATCCACCCTACTGGAACACCAACCATACCCTACTGCACCCAACCCTATCATAACACCCCCCAGGCCACACGTCCCAATACCAGAGTATCACAACACCCCCAAACATAGTTTAGGATATGCAGTCTGTTACCCAGAGTTCTGTAAATATTTAAAACTTTTTGAACTATCCAAGGCAATTGTACCCCAGTCCAATAAACATATTCACCATATCCCATCTATCATTTCCTTCCCAACTTCCCCACCTCCCTGCATACTGTGTGGGCTCTCGGACATACCTTGCCTCATCTCCAGTACTTCATGGGTTCCCACACACAATGTCCCTCCATCACAATTGAAAACATGACTGATATGCAAGATGACGGCCACATCAATTTTCAGTTTGAATAATGAGTCAGTGTAAAACTCATAAAAATAAGCCCTACTCTGTGAATGTACTCTGTGCAAACGTCCAGTTGCCTGATATCAAAGGAATATGTAGAATAGATCACTGCAAGGCAATGGCACATGGCCCACAAATATGGATGATCCCATCACCTATTGGTCAAAGCAGCTAGTTTCCCCCACTGGTACAAGACCATAACTTGGTTCAACTACCCATCCATATGTATATGAAGGTGAAGGAGGCACACTGTCTACACACCCATGAAGTACTGTCACTGGACTTTGTAATACATTTGTGTAAGGTGCATTTGTCAGTTTTTGGTTTCAGGAGAGCACAGATCTTGCTGAGACATGAACAATAGACATATAAAATGTGTAAACACTAAAAGTCAACCATTTGTATAAAAATGTAACTAGGAACGTTTCCTTGTTTAAACGTATCTAAAACACAGGTGGGATCATTCTAATATCCATCTGCAAATGAATACAAGCTGCACAATTTCAAACAGACTGTTCTCTACACTGGAACAAAGAATACAGTATTTGACTTCACTGACATTACAGGTGTTACATATTTACTCTTATTTCAAACTATGGACAAACTTTTGCCAAGTTAAGCTGACTTTATATTACAGGCTTCACAAGCAACAATTTAATGATGCGTAGACCTATCTATTAGAAGACATACGGTATTCTGATAATCTATTTTCACCAAGTAACCCTTTTTAGATTCACCTTCTGTTTGTGTAATGCTAGTTTAGTCAAATACTGTAATGCTTTAGGACTTGAATACAAGACTGTTCTCATGGTGGTTTAAATATCAATAAATACAATTTAGTCGTAAAATGCTAAAAAAAATTGTTAGTCTTGAATAAAGTGGTTATTTACATACTGTTTGTGAAAGACATTGTCATGGCAACAGCTATATATTCTACACATTTACCAAAGATATTATTGTTGGATTATTGTCAGAATGTTTGACTAAAGAAACAATCTTTCCACAATGTAAATCCTTTTAGTAATATCTCGTAAAACATCTGATCAAGGTATCACTTTTGAGACATAAAAATCTTAAACTGATAAAATTATATGATAAAATCATGTCATCAAATGTTTCATTACTAAGTGGTTAAAAAGTATAAATTCAGTGTGGTCCAAACAGTGGAGTCCACCCCAATGGATAAAAACATCACCCATCAAACCATTCACATATAACTGCACATTAAGACAATTATGAAAGAACCTGTTCTGGAAGCTGCTGTAAACAGCTGCCAGTGCCTGCCTCCCACATATCTGTGGACTGACAGGTCCATTACTACAGACCCATTTTACAAAGCAATCGTAGCTCTATGGCGGTTGTAAGTCTATGTTATAGCACAGGAGTCAAGATAGTCCTACGATCACATCAGGAAACAGGCCCTTAGCCAAATCAAAAATTTGTGGTTGAGTAACCGAAACTTTAACTTATTAAAGTTAAAGTAAAAATTACATTTAAGGTGACAAAATCTTTTGATGTGTCCAGTATGTAAGATATTTCCATCCAACTGACAGTTATACAACTCTTTAGCCAATGTCACGAAGCAGTCCCCATATTGTTAGAAAGGGCATTCAAAGTCTTGCCTTAAGCAATAAAGAAGGCCCTGTACCACACAGCAATCCCAGCTCGAAGACAATTGAAACCCCGGTACTTTGAACACAGACTTAAGACAGTTGTAAAGTTACAGTTGCTTTGTGAAAGAACCCAGGGCCCCGTTTCACAAAGCTCTCGTAAGGCTAAGATCTCGTAACTTTCCTCGTAGCATTTGTACCTCCTATACTGTAACATAGGAGGTACAACGCTACGAGAAAAGTTACGAGAACTTAGGCTTACGAGAGCTTTGTGAAGCGGGGCCATGGTACATTGAGAGTGAGTTTATATTATGCACTTTTCTGGCAATATTTCGGCCATATCACAGCACTGGTCAAGTGGCTATGTGTAATCTTGTGAGGAACAAAACAGGCCTTTGGCATGCTGAGCTAACACTCTACCCACCTGCTGTAATATTGGCCACTGGTACAGAACTATCAGGTTCATGTGCCACTAAATAAGTGTATAAATGATTTGAACTGTTTTCCTTACTTTTCATTAACCATAAAGCAAAAAGTACTTCATGACCTGCATTGAAAAATCTCTGACTCAAGTAATGAAAGGGTTCTCCAGCTCTTAATGCAATCTCATGCAGGAGTCCACAAAAATTTACCAAGTCTACCAAAAGACTACTTCGTGGAGACAATGATTATCAGAAGTTGCAAACTATCACTGGATCAAGTTGCACATGTATCTAAATGTCATGGACTGCTACAACATTTGCTGACTGGCCTCTGAATCACTCTCCAGACATGTTTCATTTAAGATGATCTCTCCACTGTTAGTGCTTGAATTGTCATATCATCATAAAAATCAGTTGCTTTGAGGCTATATTTCTTTTAAAAAAATATAATTTTGGATTCAAGCAGCATTTTCATTTCATTTTACCCTTAATTAATTCAGGGTGGTTTTGTCTGTAAAACAAGTAGACAATATATTTCCTCTAAAAAGGGCTAGATATTGGAGAAAGGCTTTGATATAAGAGTGTGTGTTTATGTGAATGTAGTTTTACGCCACTTTTAGCGATATTCCAGCAATATCATAGTGAGGGACACCAGTAATGGGCTTCACACATTGTACCCATATGGGGAATTGAACACTTTAACCACTAGGATACCCCACTGCCCTTTGATATAAGAACTGTGTCAGCTCATAATGTCTCCCTACTAGATTTTGATACGTTTATTATGCGAGAATTCTTTTGACCCAGTTTTTGACCATTTAGACAACTTCATCCCCAATGATTACAGTACTACAATCTGTTTTAGGAGTGAATGTGATGTCTATATACACATTTGAGAAATGTCAACTGGCAGGATCTGTACAACAATAAATGGAAACATTTGACTGAAAAATTTCGGTGGACTCCATCTCAAAAAGCAGCTACACTTAACTCTTGTCAAAACAAACTTGTTCATGTGATAAACACTACAGGAAGCACCGGTACTGATTTTCCATCCCTGACAATCATCATTCTTATTAACAAAAACAGTCTTTAATTGACAGTTCTCAACCATACGGAATATACACACAAACGTCAACATTTTTGTGCTCAGTTCTGTCCCACATTTGTTTGTGCGTGTTAATATCAAGTCCTTATTATCAATGACTCAGCTTATTGTTTATTTTGGGTTGATGTAGGTTTTCTGAAGTGCTTTTGAGGAAGCTTGTCTCGATGCTAGTGATACTGACTACCAATGCCCAGTTTCTGCGTCTTGCTTGAGGACTCTTGACCATAAGTCTATGCTGCCAAGAAGAAAATATGGTTTGAGAGTATTCCAGGGTATGTGACCACCAAATCAACAGACAGACAGACGACAGCAAGTTCGTAAAGTAGAGCAAGGCTTTGGTAGAATGCAGGACTTCTGTGCATCTCAGATTTAACAATCATTCTCACAATATTGACACATACAAGTTCATAGTTCAAAACATAAAAATGACTTCTAGCAGATCGTTGAACCAGATCCAATCCACCACTTGTTCTGCATCTTTGCGCCCTGCTCCCATCCTCCATCAAAGTACTCAAGGACACATTGTGAGGTCAAGGTCACAATGAGATGTCAAGGTCACATAATAACAGTTATTTTTTTCAACGCAAATAGATCTCAAGACTTGGGTTTGTCACGCAACTTGCTGAGGTTATATGTTTCATTCACACCTTTCTGTCCAACCTCATTCCAAAGTTTGAGATTCTTTTCTCTGCGGTACTGTTCCCATCTTTCATCGTCTGATTCATGGGTGAGATAGCGCAAGCCCACTTTTGTCTCCAGAATACGCAGATCACACCAAGTTTGGTAATCCTGTAACAAATGAAGCACTGTTTTACACTGGCTGGGAGTAAGTTTCATACTGGATGTGAGTTGGGTTTAACAATGACTGAGTTGGTTTGGCTGTGAGTTGGGTTTAACACTGCTTGGCCCATGAGCATCAATTTAGATAAACATCTGTGTAATTCTGGGATTTCGTACATGGACCATAGGATCGTGAAGAGGATGTGAGTTTGTTTTAATACCACTTCAAAATGTCAGATATACACATCACAAGTGTGCATGTGTGTGCGCATGTGTGTGTGTGTGTGTGTGTGTGTGCGTCGCGTCTCGTGTATTTTGTATAAAGCCACACTCACCAATATTTCAGCTGTATGAGAACGGGATGGAAATAATCAAGCCTGCACGAGACACAGTGACAGACATCATGCATGATGTTGACAACTGGATAGACATCATCCTTACCTAGTATTTATAGAATGCCGCCATATAGCTGAAATTTTGCTGAGTGTGGCATTAAACGATAAACAAACAAAACAACACAAACATCAATCGACACAACTGGGAATGTGATGACATGCAATCAACCAAGTCACTGAACCCGACCATCTGATCCAATATGTCACCTCTTACAACAAGCAAGGTTTGCTTGAGACATCTATTCTTACTTCATGATCCCCTAGGCTGAGTTCTGCGCTACAACCTCATTGTCAAGGTAAGGCCCATACACTAACCATGTGTAAAATATGTTTGATACAATACCTGAAGCCAGACGTGACAGAGAGACTTGTCAACAGTGAACCTCTTCCTCATCTTCACCTGCAGCAGGTTGCTGATGACATCGATAGCTGCAGAAGAACAGAAACATGTATGACATCTCACACCTTGATGATGGAGGTCACCCTACCGATAGCTGCAGAAGAACAGAAACATGTATGACATCTCACACCTCGATGACGGAGGTCACCCTACTGATAGCTGCATAAGAACAGAAACATGTATGACATCTCACACCTTGATGATGGAGGTCACCCTACCGATAGCTGCATAAGAACAGAAACATGTGTGACATCTCCCACCTCGATGACGGAGGTCACCCTACTGATAGCTGCATAAGAACAGAAACATGTATGACATCTCCCACCTCGATGACGGAGGTCACCCTACCGATAGCTGCAGAAGAACAGAAACATGTATGACATCTCACACCTTGATGATGGAGGTCACCCTACCGATAGCTGCATAAGAACAGAAACATGTGTGACATCTCCCACCTCGATGACGGAGGTCACCCTACTGATAGCTGCATAAGAACAGAAACATGTATGACATCTCACACCTTGATGACGGAGGTCACCCTACTGATAGCTGCATAAGAACAGAAACATGTATGACATCTCACACCTTGATGACGGAGGTCACCCTACCAATAGCTGCATAAGAACAGAAACATGTATGACATCTCACACTCTGATGAGGGAGGTCACCCTACTGATAGCTGCATAAGAACAGAAATGTATGACATGTAACACTCTGATGAGGGAGGTCTCCCTACAGTGGGGAACAAGAAGCTGTGTGTAGATCTGAGGTGCTTCACATTCCAGTGATAGTTAGTGAGCTCTCTTTGTTTGTTTTCTTTTTGTGTTTAGTAATCTATTTATCATGACATCCTGATACTAGAAGAGAGTCTCACTTTGGCAGTGCAACCCACTTGATGCATATGAAACATGTACATAATTAGTGATAGCAGATTTAAAGAATAGCTGATAACATTGGGTTTTTAATACATATTCAAACAGCACTTTTCATCCTTATTGTTAAGACAAAATTAAAAGTGATAATTTAAGGTATTCAAACACAACCATTTGTTATTTCAAAGGGTTTGATGTACTAATATCTTAGCACAATCTTAAAATCTTTTCAAGTGTAAACATTTTCCACTCATAATGGCTGCAATAACTATTCTGTTCAGGAGTATTCCCCCCAAAGGAAGGTAGTCCGTGAATAATCAAGTCTGGACCAGGCAAACCAGTGACTGATGCTCTGAGCAACAATCCACACCATTGGGGTGTGGTAACAGAATGTACCAAGTCAGTGATTGGTTGGTTGGTTTGTTGTTTAACGCCACACTCAGCAATATTCCAGCTATATGGCGGCAGTCAGTAAATAATCGAGTCTGGACCAGACAATCCACTGATCAACATCATGAGCATCAATCTACGCAATGGGGATATGATGACATGTGTCAACCAAGTCAGCGAGTCTGACAACCCAACCCCATCAGTCGCCTGTTACGACAAGCATGGGTTGCTGAAGACCAAATCTAACCCAGTGAATGAGCTAACCAAACAAATCTAAGCTGTTGCCTTTTACAACCAGCATGGGATGCTGGGAATTTTCTCTAACCTGGGATCTCCAAGGGAGGGAAAAACAACTCACCTTCCTGAGATATTTCCTTCCAAGGGCTGGGGGGATACATAAAGGCAGCATTTTGGATTTGGTCACTGATTTCTTCATCTTCATTGAATGGGAAGGTGCCACTTAAACTGAAACATTTCATTTTCATACATGATCTATATCAATGACTGAGACTTATCAGACAGACATATGGCTTTATTGTTTTTAAATTTTGATGAATATTCTAGCAAAATTCCAACTATATACAAATTAAAAGTCTGTAAATAATCCAATCTGAGCGACACAAAACATTAATGGATGTAATGAACTTCATGACATACATCAAGCCACAGAAAAAGGATGAAACAAAATCAACTAAGTCAGTATAGCGCAAAATCTGAAGTCACCTATCCCAACATGGCTACATCTCCTTGAGAGGAATGTGCAGGGATAAGATTTTTATCAAAAATCACTGAAAGTTAGCTTGGGTTCTTGGGGAATATATGATTCAAGGTTATACCATAATGGATCTTTGAATGGCATTTCGAAGTGATACACAAACTTCTCTTCCTTATATTATAATGGTATGTATCACAAAAGTGACTGAAATTCACCAAATTCAGTAATCTGCAGATTCACATGCCACAACGATACATGATCATATCTTCTAGGGTGGGACCACAGGAACCAGTTATCGCTATGTAGGTAAAACATACACCATAGATTTACACATATATATTCCATATTTATGTGTGTAGATCTATCTATGGTCTATGTTTTACCTACATAGCGATAACAGGAGCTCTTACAACAAGCATCAGCTACTTGGGAACTATACCTCCCCTCAATCCTTGTTTGGCCCAAGCCATATACCTTAAGTCATCAAGATATTTCTTGATTTCATGTGCACACATATTAAGTAGGAGAGTCAATACTGAACTCAAGTCATTCTGAGAAACAAGGAGACATGTATAAGGGTGTAGCAGACAGTACTAAAGTTCTAATACTGTCATTTTCAGAGGATGGTAGCCAACATTAATTGAAAGTAAAATTTGTTTTCCGATACTGAACAAAAAGTGAGTGAGTTTTAGTTTTACGCCGCTTTTAGCAATATTCCAGCAATATCACGGCATGGGACACCAGAAATGGGCTTCACACATTGTACCCATGTGGGAATTGAACCCAGGTCTTCGCCGTGACGAGCGAACCCTTTAACCAATAGGCTACCCCACCGCCCCTCTATATCAATAAGGTCTGTCATGTCAATATTTGGATTCCCTATCTCCCAGACATTAGAGAATAGTTAATAGGAGTTGAACTAATACCTGACATAGACGACCACTCCCACTGACCACATGTCCAGTGACCGATTGTAACCTTTCCTCTTCAACACTTCTGGGGCTGAAACATTGCACAACATACAGTAAGCCTAACTATTCAACATTGCACAATGTATCTCATGTATAAACATTGTACAACATACAGTAAGCCTAACTATTCAACATTGCACTATGTATCTCATGTATAAACATTGTACAACATACAGTAAGCCTAACTATTCAACATTGCACAATGTATCTCATGTATAAACATTGTACAACATACAGTAAGCCTAACTATTCAACATTGCACAATGTATCTCATGTATAAACATTGTACAACATACAGTAAGCCTAACTATTCAACATTGCACAATGTATCTCATGTATAAACATTGTTCAACATACAGTAAGCCTAACTATTTCAACATTGCACAATGTATCTCATGTATAAACATTGTACAACATACAGTAAGCCTAACTATTCAACATTGCACAATGTATCTCATGTATAAACATTGTACAACATACAGTAAGGCTAAATATTCAACATTGCACAATGTATCTCATGTATAAACATTGTACAACATACAGTAAACCTGAGACTGAAACAGACTAATTTATTGAAGCCCAGAGACCCTCAGATTGTGCACCAAACTGTATGCCTGGGAGTGAAACTTTTGAAAACTCTTCTAAAGCCTAGGGGCTCTCAGATTGTACAACCTACTGTAAGCCTAAGACTGAAGCCTTGGGGCTCTCAATTTGTACAACATTCTACCACATAGCGTAACATATAATGTTGAGACATTGAATAAGATAGCATAAGCATGTTGGCTGAACCACAATGTAACCAAAACAGCAGAAATATTATATTGTCCAACAGACAAAAAAGGCAAGGTGATGAGTTTAATGTCCCATTCTAGATTATTTGCATGCCAGAGTGAGTTTGTCTGTAGGCCTACTAGTCCGGTCTAATGCAATGTTGTATTTTAAATTGCATACCCCTAAGATGCTTTACCCTCTAAGCTAGTCAGTCCTTGTGTCATCCCCTTAATACTTTAATGCTCAGTGAAAAGCAGGTAAACAACAGGCACAACTTTTAACAGGTTTTGGCAATGTATGGCCAGAAAATTTAAGATTGACCTGCTATTTGCACAGTGAAAGCCAAGGGGCAGAAACACTGTAATACTATAATGCAAGTCTAAGAGCTGAAACATTGAGGAAGGTGTTATAAGATTATGTGCCGTTACTTCCTGGACAAAGTGAGCTATCATGCCACATGAATCAAGATGGCGATTACATACTCATGTCTTCTATAATGGGCAACCATGTAGGCTTGCAACACACTGAAGTAATTAAGATAAACAGTTTACTTTGTTTTGTTTTTTTGTTTAACACCGCCCTCAGTAATATTCCAGCTATATGGATGTGGGCTGTAAACATAATCAAGTCAGCACCACATAATCCAGTGATCAACAGCATGAGCATCGATATATGCATTTGGATACAATGACATGTGTCAACCAAGTCAGCCAGCCTGACCACCTGATCCCGTTAGTCACTTCTTACGACAAGCATGGGTTACTGAAGACCAATTCTAACCCGGGTACTCAAGTGTATAAACACTTAAGGGGTGTGATTATTTTAACCTACAAGCTTTAATGAAAGTGTTTCCATACAGTTTCACATTAAGTTTCAATGATGCAGATGGTGGAACCTTATCTTTTTCTTAATTATGTGAGAAACTGACAAGTGACACGACTCACCAAGATAGGCAGGGGTACCAACAACAGATCTACGGAAAGACTTTTCACCGATGATTCTTGCAAATCCAAAGTCACATAATTTGACCTGAAACATTAAAGCAAAACTTCACTCCCTGTAGCAAATACCTTAATTTCCCATCTGTATCCTGGTATAACAATCCTGATATTATCTGTCATTCAAACAAACAAACAAGAAGTATCTTCCACTGAATGATATTATAGTTAATTAAACAAACCTCATGGAAATGTGTTCTAAACTGAAATAAAACAAACAGAACTTACCCCAGAGTAACAAATAAACATTCATGAACAATTGAGTTTTTCAGTTGTTTTATTCAAAACATCATGCTCCATTATTGAAGGTTTCAATGAATCATTTAAAAGTATTTCCTTGACAGCCAAAAGTCCTTGATTTCTTGTTTAATGCATAGAGCAAAGTTCTTATGTAGATTCTTAAATTGTTATCAACATAAAGCTAAAGCTTGATTACAGTGTAAGAATCTAAAGAGTCTAAAGTTAAAGTCTAATACCTAACTTTACATGCACTGTTATTTTCTCACCAACTTCCAGAATGCCAATTAAACATTTGGAGTCTTATATTTCATGGGAAAATGATAGTAAGTTGTGGCAATAAAATAATAGTCATATGAATATGCTGTTAGAATGAGGCAGTAAGTAAATGGGTTGTTCTTGCTTACTGGCATAACAAATTGATTAAATGGGTTACCTCCCTTATGCTATTCTTACCTGTGGGAATGCAGTCTCCGATGACAACAGTACATTTTCGGGCTTCAGATCACAGTGCACAATGCTCTTGTTATGTAGGTGTTTTAAGGCAACAAGGATCTGAAAAAAGTACTCTCATTGAAGCAATTGCCAAGGAACAAAAATTATATAATAATCAACAAGTAAAATTGTAGTTGGCAATAATTTTATTTACAAACTTGGACAATCCATAAGCCTTCATAAGGTGTAGACAATATAAGTTATCACATCCTGCTCGTTTGATAAAACCTAGCGTGGGTCTGACAATTCCCAATGTCAACCTCCACGAATGTGATGACGCATTTATCTTACCAATTGTTTCAACATATCATCAATAAAAACAAACAGAAAAAGCACCAACATCTCTTATTCATAACAACAACAAAACTGGGTCAAAATCCAAACAGACTGGTTCAGGGGTGACATGTACCGACTGAAGTGGACGCAAGCTATATTCATGTAGCAGGGTATAAGGCATTGATTGGCCCTCGGAAAAACTTATCCACCTGGTGGGTGGTGTGTATGGACATTGTTCAGGGTCACATGGGCCAATCAGAGATTGAGGTTCTCACATGAGGTAGGATAAAGATCATTATGCACTTTCTTTTCATCACAAATATGTCATATATGGACCACCCGATTGGACAGAGTGAGTTTGGTTCAACTTCTCTTTGAAGAGCTATAACATTATGCCACAGCTCAATCTGTGAAGAAAGCCTGTTCATATGCGTTTTGGTGACATTTACCACTTTACTGAAATCCATGAGACTAGATATAGGGTGACAAACCAAAGAGTCACAATGAAGACAAATTTGGGATTCAAACCTATATGATCTCTGGAACCTGACATGCCAAAGGGATGCAACTCTGTACAGTGAATTACAACACTTAATATATCTGGGTAGAATGTGCCACTGAGATGTTATTCCCTTATTTGGGCATCATAGGGCTTCTTACTTGTGATATGAGGTATTTGGTGACTCTCTCGCTGAGTCGACCCTTTGGGCTGGACAGTATCATCTCCAGCATATCTCCCTTCAGCTTCTCCATCACTACGAAGATCTGCAACACAAGGGAAGGACAACTGCATAAGAATCTGTATCAAAACATCACATCAACCAGAAGTTATCCATAAAGTTGTATGTTTTCCTTTTCACTCATCATATCATGTTGTATACCACGAATACAATGTCCTTTTCTGCCAGTAACTTTGTAGACTAACGCTTAGTCTCTGAATGTATACAACTTTGAGAGTAACAAATATACCCATTTATATTGAAAATTGCAGAAATCTAGACTTGCTTCATTTAGAGCTTTAGCATTGCAGGGAGGGCTAGGCAGGAGGGAAAGTAATGTAGTTCAGGGACTGTGAGACAGACTAGTAACTATGGTAACCCATTCTTTGATGTGCCTACCCTCTCTGGTGTTTCGAACATCTGCTCCAGGTTGACAACTCCTGGATGATGCAGGTTCTGTAACAAGACATACATGGCATAAATCAAATACTTGCATTAATATTTTCCTTGTACAGTTTTCCTGTTTCATATCTCAAACAATATGCAAACTTCTAACCATGTCCCTCCTCCTTTGTTACCATTCAAATGCTTATATCCCTTTTATCATATAACCTGTCATAACAATACATATCTAGTCTCTATATACTCCAGGGTTTTACATGATGTGGTGGTGGTGGTGGAATTGGGTTTAACGTCGTGCTTGAGAATATTTCGCTCATATGACGACATGCATGCATGTGTATGTGTATGTGTGGCTGCTTGTACTAGCCCAGACTGAAGCTGGTTTTATAGTGCTAGCCCACTGAGATACCATGCCGCAGTGAATCATGAATACCCCACTCAGACACATTATACTGACTCCGAGCCGACCAGTCCTTGTTGTACCCATTAATGCTGAGCGCCAGGCAGGGACCAACAAGTACCATATTTTAACGTCTTTTGGTATGACGCGGTCGGGGATCGAACCCGCAACCTTCCGCACTCCGGGCGGACGCTCTAACCACTACACCACGGAGGCGGTCTTTACATGATGTAGAAATGTACATCCAGTAACACATGTATAAAATCGATGCAGAAAATGATATGTAATTTTTCAAGTAAAGTTGATATTTTTATACTTATTCTGACTCATGATCTTTTGCTTATATCCCTTTCCCTTGCAAATGGTAGTGGAACACTTGAATCCCTTGAAGTTTGCGAAGCGGACGTAAAAATACACTCATACCAAAAGACGTTAAAATATGGTACTTGTTGGTCCCTGCCTGGCGCTCGGCCTTAATGGGTACAACATGGACTGATCGGCTCGGAGTCAGTATAAGGTGTCTGAGTGGGATATTCATGCTTCACTGTGGCATGGTATCTCAGTGGGCTAGCACTATAAAACCAGCTTAAGTCTGGGCTAGTACAAGCAGCCGCACATACACATACACACACATGCACGTCGTCATATGAGCGAAATATTTTCAAGCATGACGTTAAACCCAATTTCACCTCACCTCACTTCATGTTTCTTGTACGGACCCTTGACACTGCAGATCCTCTGGACCCATAGTTTCAAATGTCATGGTAAAACCCTGGACTACATTTGGGATCAGCCAGTGGTTCCCATAGTGATAACACTTATCAACCCATAATACCTGTATCAAAACACTTATCAACTAATAATACCCATATTGATACTCATAACAACCAATGAACATTAACTCAATTTTAAATTCACTCTATTTGAACAATTAACAAAAACACTTCTCTTCAATGAATTTGTCAACCATGTTCTTTCCACGCTTCTGCGTCAGTTAAAGCATCTTGTAACCTTGGCTGAAGAAGGGGGATGAGTCCAAGAATGCCACTGCCACTAATCAATTCTCACCTGCAGAATGGAGACTTCAGTCTTCAGCTGTGCCTCCTGCTTGGTGGGGAATCTCATCTTGTCTATGACTTTGATGGCCACATCCCGATATGTCTTCCGATGTCGACCTGTATATTCACTTACAACTTATTGTTTGATCTCAGACAACATACAACTGTCTTAATTGCAACAAATTTAACAAGAGATGACAAAACTTTAAGGACGATCAACTTATTTTCACAATAGCGACGTTTCAGTATAGCTTCTTATACCAAGCATATGCTTGAAAATGGTATAAGAAGCTATACCGATCCTGTCCAGCCCAAAGCATATGCTTGAAAACTGTATAAGAAGCTATACCGAAACGTCGCTATTGTGAAAATAAAGACGTTGATCATCCATAAAGATTTGTCATCTCTCCACCAACTCCTAGAATGCCACTCAAACAAAATTCCAAAAAATTAACAAGTACTAAAATTTATGATGAAATATGTCATAAAATCAATTTTATTGTTGAATTGTGAAGATTGCTGGTTCCATACCTCCATAAACTATTCCAAACTGTCCAGACCCAAGGACATCTTCTGGAAATATTTGGTACAGCTGGCTGACATCTGGCTGAAAAAGCAGATCAGGGATGAAATATGCATAACATACTCACATGTAACCATTCGTCACCACTGGCCCCTTTCCGTAACCTGCAAGAAGACTCGTCCCCCTCTCAATGCTTGTTATGTGCGAAAATACGACAAACCAAACAGAACGCGCGTAAATGACTGCGGTGCTTTGGTAAAAATAATCCTGAGTACTTAAATCGTTTATGGCATTAAGTCATTGTTTCAAAAATCAAGAAAAATATAGATCGTCTTATTGAAAGTACAAAGAACTTAGCTAACAGGATTTTGCTGCCTATTATGGTGTTATTGATAAGAATCATGCGATTGACGGTGAGAGATTCAAATACATGCACGTGCGTTTGTTGACATAACGGCTCTCATGGGTCCAACTGAGGGTGTTTCTAACGATCTTGCGGGCTTGCTATGGAGATTGTACGTGCGCTTCCAACAATTTTAGCAAATGTAATTATAAATCGCTTCAAGTTTCAAAACAGTAATATTATATCTATATGTAACTAATCAACTTTAATCTTTAACATTGGGCATATATTTCAATTCTCTGGGAATATTTTAGTCTGACCTTCTTGTGGTCATTCATATATTTTTCAGCGAATTCAGTTAAAAGTCCACTTGTGGTATGACAGCAAGGTTACACGTATGGTTCAGTTTGAGAAATATTATAAAAGTCATTTTTTGAGTTTCTGCTATGGGATTTAATGTAGCGGGTTTGTTTTTTACAAATTTTATTTGCATACTCAATAAAACAAATCCCATTTGTGATTATCAAACCCTTTTCAGAAATATAATTGGAAATATAAGGTGAATATCTGGTAATAACTACGTCAGAATATGTCTTTAACAAATATATATATTTTTCTTTCTTTTAGTTGTACCAAGGAGGTTTAATTCTTTAGAATAAATAGCAAAAACAAAAACAGCAATACAATGTTTGAGTACTTCGGTCATATTAAGTACCATTGGAATCAAACAGGAATAGAGTTATCGTTCCTGTTTGAAGAAGTTCTGATGTTCCTACGCCAATATGAAATCCTTCCAGAGGGGCACGAGTCGCTATTCGGCTTGTCCCGGAATAACACGAGTTGGTCATGAATGATGTACAACAACATAACTAAAGCCTATAGATGTTTATAGATATAGATGCCTATACTGAAGTTTATGCAATGGTCTATTACGAGATTCTTGAGAGGCATTTAGAAGCTGATGAATATATAAGATGAGTATGAGGATGACAACTTCTTCTTTATTGTATAACATGACGTTTCAGGGCTACTTCTTGCAGAAACGTTGTGTTATACAATAAAGAAGAGGTTGCCATCCATATACTCGTCTTATAATACTATTACTATGTGAACATTTTTTTTTTAACTTTCTGAGTCGACTAAAGTGAATGAGGTGAGCAAATGTTACAGCTGTATGCCTAACCTCCTCAGCAACATCAACTATATCTACTATAACATCACCACAAACATCACGGTATCCAGGCTACTTGAAGGACTACACACTAAAATCTAATCCCTGTGATGGAAAACCTTCGCTGGTGGTGAGTACTTGGTGAAGGCTTTGATGTGAGCTATTTTTCTAATGTTTTGTTGATATTTCACAGGCGCGAGCTTTTTATATGTTATGACAGTAGATTACCGATTTAACTGTTTATGTAATTTCATTTGTCTATTTCACCACACGTTCTTCTTACCGAGTCACTTTCTCAGTTGGAAACTTAAAAGCAATGTCATTATTTAGCGTTGACAGAATTTCTAACTGTGGTATAGATATGTCTTTGTCACTCATTGTCTGTTTTATTGACACCTATGTGTCTGCCTGCCTGTCTCCTAATTGCAATATGCAATACACAACTTCGATCATTGACCACATGCAATTTGAACTTAACACCTATCAGGCTATACACCATAAACAAAACGCATTGATTTATGGCTCTTGCACCCGAATTCGGTCTCCGTCACATTATGTAATTACACAGACAGGCAGGTGTGATACCTGTACACATGACATGTTATGATGTCTGTTGATTGCAAAATGTTATACACAAAAACTGAGCGTGTATTTACAAAACCCAACATCTCTATATACACACACACACACAATGAGCTGTGAGGGCACCGGCAAATGAACCAGTCAATGAAAGTCTTCGTTACACTTGAGTGCACACCCACCCGCTCTGACTGGGTTTGGTATCCCGGGTGCTTCGTTTCAAGGGAAGTAAACCCAAGTACAAAATATTGCACTTTTGATTTGCGATTGTACGCTTATAATTTTGTTTATAAGTTTTTTCATAATCAGCAATGTATATTATATGTCATGAATAAGTGATATTTGTGTTTTTTGGTTGTATGTGACCTTTGACACAGATATTGAATCAACCTAGTCACAAAGGCTCATCACCCAATACCCAATTAAGGTACCTTGCACCCATGCTTACCATAAGGGCCACTAAATATGACATTCATGAAAGAACCATAAGAATTCATGAATTAGAATAACTTTTCAGAAATCTCTACAGGAACTTTGCCTTAAAAACATTTTAATTAAATAGTTTCAGTATATACAATACCGGTTTCTGTGATGCGGTTCCATCTGTGCCATTGTTCTGGTTTTCACCTGGAAGACAATGGAACATTCACTTTCAAATTTGCTGTTTGTTTTACAATTACTTGATTGACACATGTACTAGCAAAAAACCATGAATTACAATTATAACTTCAGATCACAACTATTTTCTTTTTCTGCCTAGTCTGTTAATATTTTCAGGGAATAATACTAAAAAATATGTCAACCTAGACAAGGGATGAACACTTTAAGCTTATATATATTTTCAATAATATATATATTTTACCCAAACAGTGACATGCTGTAATTATGTAAAAGGTTATCCCAGATATTAAGAAACATAAGACAATAAATGATTCCCACAATAATCATGTAGGTTAAAAAATACCACTACCGATTTGCAACCTGACGTTGATTGCAAAAAAGCCCCCAATTATCAAGAAAAGATTTCTCATTTCAGGCTACATGTCACGATATCATAATTGGTAGTGGACTTGTTTCTGGACTAAATGTCTATCCGCAGTATATACACATTAATTGGTTGTAGAGAATTTGTTGCAGTTTGTCTGTATAAATGTGTCTGATGATACATGGGAAATAAATTTTGGATTTTATAGCAGTTTGAGATATCTCTTGTTCCTTTTACAGATGTTTATTCTATATATGTTCCAGTGTTAATCAGAGCCAGTCAGCTAAATGAGGAAGAAAAGTCTAGACTGAAGCAGCTCTCTGTGCAGCAGCAGTGCACAATACCCGTGAAGATCCGGGTTAGAATTAGTCTTCAGCAGCCCATGCTTGTCGTAAGAGGCGACAAACAGGATCGGGTGGTCAGGCTCGTTGACACATGTCATCGTATCCCAATTGTGTAGATTGATGCTCATGCTGTTGATCACTGGATTGTGTTGTCCAGACTCAATTATTTACAGACCAAAGTCATACAGCTGGAATATTGCTGAGAGCGGCGTTAAACAGCAAAGCAACTACTTTGGTTAAACCCACAGTGCTGACAGACCTTAAAACATATTCTGGGTAAAAAAACACTTTTAAACCCCAAGTCATAGGTTTCTGGCATGCCGAAGCAATTCAACTCAGCAATTTGATGTGCTTTAGACAATTGAGCTACGCATGCCCCCTCCATAGATGAGCCATTAGTGCTGGGTGTAGTAACAATTCTTGGTCCCATCCAAACTAACTAATCATCACTGAACAACCAATTATCAATTAATTTGTATGTTGACACTTAATGATTATTATACTAATAAAATGACTTATTTAGAGTCAGTTGTTTCCTGTTGATTATTTTGTTTGTTGTTTTATGCCACACTCAGCAAATTCCAGCTATATGGTCTGTAAATACCGAGTTCCACCATTCCTATACAAACACATATATCTCATGTCCCACCATTCCTATACAAACACATATATCTCACGTCCCACCATTCCTTTACAAACACATATATCTCACCTCTATATACTATGTATATTTCACCTCCAACCATTCCTATATGGAACATATCTCACCTCCCACCATGCTCATGACACTGGAGGTTGGAGTTACAGGCATCAAAGCTTGTCTAAGTGCCTGCTCCCAATGTTTGGCCTGCTCCAGACCGATTCCACTCTCAGTCGATGATACAATGTTGTTCTCCTGATGTCCAAATGTTGGGTCTTCCCCAATGCAATAGATAGCATTCGATGTTCGGATCTCGAAGACATGTGGTGGTCGGGAGGGGTCAATGTGTTTAGATTTAGCAGGTTCTACCCCCTCAATGCTGTTCAGTTGAATCTCCTGGTAACAAATATACTCAACATATCAGGTGTGAGTGAGCCACAATAATGTTGTTTAAGACATCAGTGTTCAGATTTAAGCTGTTTAAGAGGACTCCATATTCCAGTACACTAGAAGCTAACATCAAGTACCCCTTTAAACCTTTGAAATAGACTAACCCAATTTCCTCTTTGGCGAAACCCAGAAACATGGGTACGGTGTTGAGAAACCGATGATCAAGATCACGAGGAATCGAAGTTTCACATTTATCAGTTCCTAGCATGGCTTTAGGAAACGACGCGGAATTATGGAACCTCACACCACCAGGCCATCTATTCCTATATGTCCCGTGAATAATCCTGTATTACTCAAAGGTGACTTACCTTGAAGTACCTTGAAGTATTTTCATTCAGAAACATAGTAATAGCTTTTGTGTCGAGTCTCCAATAATGTCGTTTTCTCTGAAAGAAAAAGGTGGGTTTTCAAAACAATATTTTTAAATTCCTCAAAACACTAATATCTTAGTTCCATTTCAATTAATACAAAAATATAGGCATATCAATAAGACAGTGAAATCCATGTACAGTAACACTGATTTCCAAATCCTTGATATCCTGATATCAGTAGGAATCATTGTAGGGAAGAAGACGCAGCAAGCCTAGGCAACAGCTCTGATGTGAACCATATTGGGATCACCAGCTTCAGCTGCATAAAGAGCAAGCTGAATGATATTTGTTTGTTGTTTAATGCAGCATTCAGCAATATTCCAGCTATATGGCAGCTGTCTGTAAACAATCAAATCTGGACCTGACAGTGATCAACAGCATGAGCATCCATCTATGCATTTGGGATACGATGACCAGTGTCAACCAATTCAGCAAGTCTGGACACCCGATCCCGTTATGACAAGCATAGGTTGTGGAAGATCAATTCTAACCTGGATCTTCATGGGTGGGCTGAATAATAGTGATACGCGGTGAGTTCTCCACAATCATATCACAATTTAACTTAGTGGTGCCATTTTAGTGATTGAGTGAGTAAGTGAGTGTAGTTTTATGCTGCACTCAGCAATGTCCCAGCTATATGGCGGTAGTCTGTAAATAATCGCCTGTTACGACAAGCATGGGTTACTGAACATCAATCTGAACCCGGATCTTCACGGGTATGTGCCTCTTGAAGGCCTCCCTGATACTGGATACTCTTTCAGGCTCACTGTTCCCTTCCTGAACTCTCCTGCCCACAACAGCAATGGAAGAAGCATTATGCCCTAAAGTTGACATGTCTGCATGGATGGCTGTTAAAGATTGTCCTTTCTGTTGGAGGTACTTGGTAACAGCACAGGAGCCAATTCGGTCCATTTTGTTCCACAGATTATACCTAGTCACTTGCATACTGGAAGAAATGCTCCCTAGTTCAAATACAATCTGTCAGGATGGAAAGAGTTGTACAAAATATATACAACCTGGTAAAAGTGTACTGTACACCAATCATGGTTAGGTTTGGGACATTGCTGTCACCACTTGTACTTACAACATGATCCCTGTTGGTGAAGTGCACCATCCACCCCTCCTTGATGATTTTGGACCCAGTCCGCTTGGTGTGTTTGACAGACTGTACCACTCTCATCAGGGGGATGTTGCTGCTCTGGGTGGGACTGCACACAACAGACAATAGGTCAGTACATGGCTATGGTTTATCAGACATTCAGATAACAGACATATCAGTGAGTGAGTGAGTGATGGAGTGAGTGAGTGAGTGATGGAGTGAGTGAGTGAAGTGAGTGAGCGAGTGAGTGATGGAGGGAGGGAGTGAGTGATGGAGGGAGGGAGGAAGGGAGGGAGGGAGGGAGGGAGGAGAGTTTCACATCACTTTGATATTCCAGCAATAGGACACCAGAAATGGAACTGACATTATTCCCATGTGGAGAATCAAACAAAAGCCCCTACACCGCCTCACAACCCTCAGGTCATGTATATCAACCATTAAATGCATCCTAACATTTTCAGATTAGGTAAGATAACACTAACAATGCATCTCTGACTAGCTGACTAGTGACTGTGTCTACTCTCAGGATATATGTTGATTACACACTAATACTTCATTTCTTGTTGTGGGTGCAGCTATTCCTGTACAGAAGAATTCAGTTTTAATACTTGGTCTACGGAATGACCTACCTAAAATTGTATGCAAATTATAAAACATGTTTTTCAATTCTCTTTAAAGTCTTTTCAGAGATCGAAAAATATATCATTTTAGGAATGGAATAATTATTTAACTTGTTCTTGAAATCATACATTCTTTATTTCACTTTCTGTAACCAAAAAGACAATATCAAGAGATCACTTCAAAAACAATTATTGATAAAATAATATTCAAATGCATGAATATTATTGTTTTGTACTCTGGGGTTATCTACAAAACAAGTAATTATATAACATATTTTTGCACAATCCAAGCTTATGTGATATGTGTTGACATAATCTGATGATGAGTACGTGCAAAGGTGGGTTTTACAGATAATTCATTCACCATGCACCATTCATTTACTTGATTTATTAACCTGCTGTCCTAGAAGGTTTTTAACATGTCACAAATTACCTGCAATATAATATCCTTTCATAAACCTTTCACTACCACCTGCTGTTACAGTCTTATTACACTGGTGTGACAGATTGATATTCCGGTACATTCTTTGAGAATGTGGACCTTAGTACAGTATATAAAACGGATACAATATTCCAAATATATGGGATTAGAAGATAACATTATAATAACAGATCATATTTACATCTCATCTAAATATATCAATACATTACTAAAGGAAACTGCAAAGAACGCAAAATGGCACCGAAAAATGCACATGCAAGCTTGACTCCGAAAAGCCAAAGTGCAATTTGTATAGCGATAGTCAAAAACTGCCAACTGTTGCACAATGGGAAAGGAATATAAACGAAGTTATGCATGTCCTTAACAGTGAATGAGTGAGTGAGTATGCTTTTACTCTATTTTTAGCTATATTCCAGCTATATCACAGCAGAAGAACACCAGAAATGGGCTTCATTTCTGGTGTTCTTCCGCTGTGATATAGCTCGTAACTTTTCTCGATGTTACAGATTAGGAGATACGAAAGCTACAAGAAAAGGTATGAGACCTTAGGCTTATGAGAGCTTTGTGAAACGGGCCCTGGTCTTCAGCATGATGAGTGAACGTTAGTGGTGGTCCGATTAATTGAAATAATCGAAGATTGGTAGCAGTGACTAAACGGCCAAGCAATCGATCATGTTTTCTCATAATCGAACACAAACAATTCTGGAACACTTTTTGCATTAACAATATTTTTCACAAGGTTGGTTTTGTCTGTTACATTTCATGAGCAGTACAAGCTCGTTCCAAGCCATGATTGAATTTATCTTAAAGGCCCCAAGAAATTTATGTTCCTAACATACTAGTCATCCTTTAAAGATGTGCAATTTGCAACAGAAAAACCCAAAGAACTACATGTTTTTTTCTTTATGTTTTTGTGCAAACAAAAATAACCAGGACAATTTCATAAATGACGCTAACCAATTATTTTCGATGATTGATCGGTTGTAATAAACCAATCATCAATTATGAGATTTTAACCAATTCCCAACACTAGTGAACGCCATAACAACCTACCCAGGGCCACTTGTAGTGTGAAAGATAATACTTTTCTTTTAAAGGTTGGGTTTGTCATATCTGGCAAAAATACACGAAGAAAACAACTTCTTGGCTATGGAAGGGACTGACATCCAATTAGATGCCTTCAGCTAAAATTTTCAACTTGAGTTTTACAATCCTTGGCGTTAAACTACATAAGAACTTGCTCCCACACATAATTGTCTTCAAGAGGTAAAATGTGCCATAAACTGAATTTTCAACTGAAATACAAGTCATTTACCACCTACTACAATTATTCCTGTATTGACATGACACACAGTACCCCATCCATACCGGTTACAAATAGCAGTGAGATCTTATATTAACATGAACTCACCATGCACCCTGTGAAGGATTGTCATACACAGTCATCAACAAGACATAAATAGGTGTGCTTATTTATGCACAAGCACTGTTAGAAGAGAAGCGCTGCAAACACTTCATTGATGCCTCTGAACAAACTGCTAACGAATTTGTTTTAGTGAACTACACCATGGGGGATTTCAGGTAGGGGCTGGTTAAATGACAACTTTTGCGTTTTGTGACAGTAACTACAATGGTTCAGTGATCATTCATAGATTGTGGACTACAAGGCATAGGTATTGTAGATCATGGAGTGGGCATACCTGACACAAAGGGTGGGCATACCTAGCACAAAGGGTGGACACACCTGACATATGGGTGGACATACCTGACACATGGGTGGACATACCTGACATAAAAGGGAGGGCATACCTAGCACAAAGAATGGACTTACCTGACACATGGGATGGACATACCTGACACATGGGTGGACACACCTGACATATGGGTGGACACACCTGACATATGGGTGGACATACCTGACACAGGTGGTAGACTTACCTGACACATGTGGTAGACATACCTGACACAAACGGTAGACATACCTGACACATGGGGTAGACATACCTGACACATTTGTGGACACACCTGACACAATTGGTAGACATACCTGACACATGGGTGGACATACCTGACACATGTGGGAGACATACCTGACACATGGGTGATCATACCTGACACAAATGGTAGACATACCTGACACATGACATACCTGACACATGGGTAGACATACCTGACACATGTGGTAGACATATCTGACACATGTGGTAGACATACCTGACACATGGGTGGACATACCTGACACATGTGGTAGACATACCTGACACATGGGTGGTCACACCTGACACAAATGGTAGACATACCTGACACATATGGTAGACATACCTGACACATGGGGTGGACATACCTGACACATGATGACATACCTGATACATGTGGTAGACATACCTGACACATGTGGTAGACATACCTGTCACATGGGTGGACATACCTGACACATGTGGTAGACATACCTGACACATGGGTGGACTCACCTGATGTATGGGTGGACACACTTGACACATGGATGGACTCACCTGATGCATGGGTGGACACACCTGACATATGGGTGGACACACTTGACACATGGATGGACTGATGCATTGGTGGACATACCTAATACATATGTGGACATACCAGACATGCGGTAGACATACCTGACACATGGGTGGACATACCTAATACATGGGTAGTCACACCTGATACATGGGTGGACACACCTGACACAAAGGGTGCCAATACCTGACACAAGAGGTGCTTACACCTGATATGATATCAAAACACACAAATAATGGGATTGAGAATACTATACAAGCTACCTCAGAGGGGGCTTCTGTTGCCCATCTTCATTTTCTTCAAATTCTTGTTGGCAGTTTTCATCACCATGAGTTGAGAATTCATCTTGGTCACCTTCAGTAATGTCTGGCTCAATCAAGCTCTCAGTTTCTGTTTTTGAAGCAAAGATAAAAATACACATAATAATTTAGCACTTGATCCATCTGCAAATAGTAAAACATTAAAGGATATCTTCAGCAAACAACATTAGTTATATTCAACTTATACTCTACTACCCCATACTAATATTCTGAATACTGATTTTGCCCACCAATGAACATCTTTGATCAACTTTCAACACTCACTCTAATTAATTTGAATTTGTTAGGTCATATAATTTCCTACTTCACATGAAGGACACTTATAATTTATAGTTTGTTCTCTATATAAATTAAATTCTCTTGAAAACAGGTCAAATAACTCATCATGTAATTCCAGATGGTTACTAGATTTGAATTTAAAAACTGGAAAAAAACCAATCCAGATCAGTAGCGAACAGAGTCTGACTATCTCCTGAAAACTGGTTCAGTTATTACTTCAATATTTCAAAATGCACAGAATCTGAATTTTATTAAATTTGTATAGACTTAACACAACTGTTGAAAACACTGTTCAAACTGTGGAAATAATAACAAGCATTAATATAAAGAAAGATAACACACTGGAAGTAAAAAAGGCCCATTGTTTCTTTTCATTGTTCAAAGCCACACTCAGCAATATTCCAACTACATGATGGTAGTTTTTAAATAATCAAATCTGGAAAACCCCAATCCAGTGACTGACATTAAGAGCATTGACCTATACAACAGTGACATGATGACATGCATGGAACAAGTCACCAAGTCTTGACTACCCCTCTTGTCAGAGGCTTCTTTCTACAAGCATGGATTGCTGAAGGACATTTCTGACTCGTATCGTCATTCAGATCTTCACACATAGAGAACAGTCCATAACAACTGCAACCCCAGGCTTTGCTTAATGAGATGGTCATACCCATCAACAGTATCTAACATGTAGCATGTAAGTTGAATAAGATAATACTTTCCTAAAGACAGAAATTATGACCCAAAATAAAATAATCTTACTCAAATTTACAAATGACATAAATATAAAACATATGAGAGAAATAAGAGAAACTCATGTTAGCTTTAATATAAAACACACATATTCAAGTAAGGACAAAACTACACAAGTAAAGCAGACTGGATAACAAGATTAACATAGCGTATACTGGCAATGCTAGCAGTGATCTGCAGGATATGAGGTCAGGTACTGACGAGTTGGCAGATAGGTGAGCTGTAGCAAGAGCTGTTAGCTGGTAGTTAGTGCTTCACAAATAAGCAAAGGGTAGTGTTGACAGTCAGTAAACAACATCGACTGCTGCATTGTGTTAATATTACCAACTGAAATATTTAGTAGAAATATGCTACATATCAATATCATTTATGAATGTAAGAGATATTTTACCTTGACACTCAATGAAAGCTTGATATCTATTAGATATACTGTTGTTTCCTTCTCTAATTAAGATTATTACATAATTTACATGTTCCGAAACATTCATAATATTCATACTAAAACCATTCATACCATTAACATTCCTGCTACTTTCCCCACAACACTGTATGTTTAGTCATCCTGGCATAGGAGCTTTTAATAGGAGGTGGGGCACTGCAATGTCTAAGGCTTTGCAATTTCCCTTCCTAAGCAGTGTCAGAATATACCATACTTCCTCTATTAGACACCCAAGTGAGGGACATTACCTTAGTGCCTGTTTGAGGTTGTCATGTAATTTGTTCATTACTAGCTATACCTTACAAATCCTAACTTCTACAGTCTTACAAAGGGTTGGTTGGTTGGTTTGTTGTTTAACGCTGCACTTAGCAGTATTCCAGCTATATGGCTGCAGACTGTAAACAATCGAGTCTGGACCAGACAATCCAGTGATATCAGAAATTGGGATACGATGACATGTCAGCGAGCCACCCGATCCTGTTAGTCGCCTCTTACGACAAGCATGGGTTGCTGAAGATCAATTCTAACACGGATCTTTGCGGTTTTTCTTACAAATGGTATATCTGCAGGAAATTATCATAATTAAGTGAAGGGAGTACTTATTACATGCTGTAAGTTCATGTGACAGGGATCATTTATTTCACCAAACGCTACACCAGGCCTTTATTAGAGTTCCTGTCTTGTTTATTGTGAAGGCAAAATGACCTGGCATCAATAAGGAACCAGCGAATAGCGTCTAATAAAGCAAACATGGCGTTCTAATTATGATCCTTGATTCATCAGCATCACACCTGTGTTCTGGGTTTTACCTGTTGCACCAAGGCATCAGAGAACCTGTGACACTTGAGCTTCCATCATCCTTCATTATACTGACACAATGTGATACAAATGACATCTGTTCAAAGTTGTGTAACCCAAACTACTACTCTAGGTGAAGTACCAATCAAGTATCTCTAAAACTGAGGTAGAAGGCTAATAATCTGCAGAAAGAGAAATACCGGCTATGGACACAAGGCGATACCTGTAAACTATGTTCAAAACTTATATGTAGCATACTCAGAGCAAAGATTAAGCACCATACCCTTCTTAATATTTGTTTTTGCCAAACATCCGTTACCTTTAGGAAATACCAACACAATGTTTCTCCATATGGATAGGGTTGTAACTTCAAATGCAAAGAAACAGATGTAACAGATGTACTAGTAGTCCAACAACTCTTTCAGTGGAAGAGTTCGACAGATTAGATACTTTGTGTCTGTTGTTAAATATGAGTAAGTGGTACGTGTAAAAAAAAAAATGTTTTTGGAGGGAATATTAACTAATGACTTCAAGAAATTCCATCTTAGAAATATATACTTTGTTGTGCATACATGTCTTAATTCCATCCTTCATGTTTAAGGGGATAGATTTGGAAAGATGGGAATAATATAAGAAATAAAAAAAAATGATATAAATAAAGGAAGGTAGTAGAAGGTACTAATATTTTTCAAAGCCTAAAAATATAAACAGGAAACTTTAAACATGTCTGAAATTCAGTCCTTGATCATCTGTTTGGTTGTATTAATTAGTCAGTGATGAACTTTTGTTTGTGTTATTTGGTTCAAAGTACTTGTGTTAACATTACTTGTGATAATAAGTTACTTATGTTAAAGTTGCAACTCGACAATGGCCTGAGGTTAGAGTTTTGAAATGAAAATTTCTTCTGGGCAAATAATTCCTGATATAAACTTACTTAGCACTTAAACATGAGATCTCAAGAAAAAGAACAGGAGGAAGTGAAGGAATATATAGAAGCCCTCAAGCCACCATGTGAAATTCAAAGCGCTCCTCATTTTTTTAGGTTAGCTCTTCATTTAACAAAATAACAAACTAGTTGGTTGCATTCATTTTCTTTGTCTGTTAATGGTACCTACACATTATGTCAATTAGTGACAGTCTACTTTTTCATGTCATATCAAGATAGCCTCCTTCTAAGAGACAGTAGCAAATGATGTTCATTTATTGATTTTCAGATTTGATGAGACCGAAGGTGCCTACTATTCTAGGATGTATCACTTGCCTAGTGTGTCAAGGAGACAACAAGGGTAGATACTATGTAATATACATGGAAGTACAAATCATCTGCCACTCGACGCTGACAGTGACATCTGTCATTTCCGTTGTTACGTGCAGCGAAAGGAGTACTGATGACCATTACTTATAATTAGTCCTATCTAAGTAGTATTCCATAATGTTTTTCAGACGAAGGATGGAATTAATCATAGATTAAGGTTTGAATGACTTTGAAATTCAAATATATCTTATTCATATTTGGAAATTAAAGTTGAAACTGGGAATGTTTGGGTCATTTTTCTGGGTGTTTTTTGTTTGTTTTTTTAATCCTGCACTTTCCAAATAACCAAGGGTGGACCAGACAATCCAGTGAATGATATGATAAGCAACTATTCAGGTCAGGGTACGATGGCAGGCAATAAGCCTTACTACCCGATCAACTTGTCACATTGTATGACAAGCACAGGTTGTCCTGATAAATTGACTCTTTGTGCAACTTGATGCAGCTCTTGGTGGTCACCATGGTAACTTTTCAGGCTAGAAGATGAAGCTTTTGTGCTTCTGCAAATCAAACGACTAATCATCATGGAATCTATCTGATTGAATGTATGCAATAAGAATTTTTTTTATCATTACAGTAAAATAAAAAAAATAAAAGGGTACTGTAGTGCATTTGATAGCCATATTTTCTTGTCTAAAGAATATATTTCCAAATAATACATCTGTGCAGGTGTGTGCACCATATATGCATTCAATTTTTTCATCCAAAACTGTGTTCCACTGGAGATATTGCTTGTGTGAGTTACAAATATCCGAAGCAAGCTATTTGGTTATGGAATTGTTCATTGTGTATTGTTACTTATTGGATTAATTCTATTCAAGATTCCATTCAATATTTCTTACAAATCAAGTGTGAATTTTGTTTCAAATCACACCATCTAACTGTTACTTACTGATTTGATGTTTTAGATTAACATTGTTGGTGCCTTGAAATGTAACATCTCCCTAGTGCGGAATTCACAATTTCTCTTATTGGGTATTTCTCAACCGATTGCCAGGAATATCAGAAGGAAAATGTGTGCACAGCTAATTGCTATTTTCTGGGTTATTTTACAACACAAAGACACTCCATGTTCTTAAACTCTTCATATAGTCTACGGTAAATACGTACAAGTGAAACTGTCCAGATGTTTCACTGCAAATTTCATATTTTCATTGACAAACTTTGCACATGTCAAGGTAAGAACAAAAACTCCTACAACCGCCACGTTTATAACACGACATGAGAACAGGGAAAGTAACTGTGTTATCCGGTCATTGCACCTTTTCAGTGCACACTGACATAGTACAAAAATTTAATGGAAATTGAAATGAAATGCTCCGCCTTTGCTATGGCAATGCAGCATTGCCTCCAAGAACAAAGCCTTAAGCAGGGATGGAAAGACGATTGGATTTTTACTTTCTTAAACAGATGTGTTAGTTTAGAGGTTTAAATCTTAGAGTTACTTTTATTGCAAATTTCTTACATTTGTCTTTGTTGTGATTTCCTGATCATGAGCATGTAATTAATTCTAGGCACCAGACAACAAAATTACTCTCCAAAATAAAAAAATGAAAGCATTGGATCTCAATAATCTTCATCTAGTAGAAACCTGTGCCAAGAGTGAGTGAATTGTGTGGAATGCTACTTGTGTATAATGCTACTTTGAACAGATATCAGGTATACCACAGATTGTGAGATAAATGAAGGATGTATGTCAACATGATACAGGTCATGGTAACATTTTGGTGAAACCCAGAGCCACGAATATGTATTTCCAAACCAAGGGTTATAATGGAGTCCAATCTGTGATCCTTGCACTGCTAATGGGCACAACTCTACCCAACAGTACCTTAAACCACTTGGGTGTACCTGTAGTGTTTCATTCTGAGCAAAACTCACTTCTATAACTGTCATGAAACAAAACTGTGTTATTTAGTAGAACAGATTTAGACAGGTGTTAATCAGAAAACAATATTTTAATAGCATGACTACTAGAAGCATCTATGTTATTTCATATCTAACTACAAGTGATCAACCAACCTGGACTGCCAAATGTTTCTACATAGTCATCTATTCGGACTATTTGTTGTGTGTCTGCAGAGAAACAATGGCTATCACACCACAGGAGTTTTTGCATAATTCATGCATATTCATGAACCAAACCATCCTTCGAGACCAAAGGCATGCATATTCATGGACCAAACCCTTTTCAGCCTTGAAGGGTGTTCTTGTCCATGAATATGTATGAATTTTGGCAAAAAGTCCTGTGATCAAACATTCCATCAGTCAGTTGAGCACCTTCCATTCCAAGGTGTCATGTATTCATCCTGTACAACATCCCTGTATTACATCAATGTCTATCAAAACCCCAACCCTCTGTTTCGATGAAGATGTTTGTTTGTTGTTCAACATCATGTTCCAGCTATATGAGGCAGCATGGAAGTTATCTACACCACTGGTTTGGGTGGTTTGTTGTTTAATGCGCACTCAGCAATATTACAGCTATATGGCGGTGAGGTCTATAAATAATCCAGTCTGAACCAGACCATCCAGTGATCAACAGCATAAGCATTGATCTACATAACTGGGATATGATGACATGTGTCAACCATGGTGGTGTGCCTTACCACCTGATCCCGTTAGTCGCCTCTTATGACAAGCATGGGTTGTTGAAAACTAATTCTAGACCAATGGTATTACCAATGTATTGGCCATGTACAGTGAACCTTTTTAATGAGGACTTTCATACACAAGAGCCTACACATTGTCACTAGAGCATTAGAGCTCTGTCTGACACATTGTCATTTGTAATATATACTGGACAAAATAAGTTAGGGATATTGGTATTTTTATGATTGATATTTTAGCAGTGTGTCAATGAATAAATAGATCATTATTCATAATTTCAAAATTTACATATATCCCTAACTATTTTTGTCCAGTATAGGTCATTACAACAAGCTACACTTATCTTCATCAAAAATAATTTTGGCTTTTAGTTGACTATGCTATGGAAGCAACTTGTCCAAAAACTAGCACCAATTTATTGTTACTGTGTATCCAATAACCAGAGCTAAAAAATGGTTTCAGTTTTTAGGTATTTACGACATATTGTCATATCTGTTGCCAATCAAATTGATCAAAACATATTGTTTTTCACATTTAGTAGTGATGCTTTTTTCTACTTCCTTGGATCAAGTCTATTGCATATTTATAAACCAGGAAGTGAATTATTTCAAAACATTATTCTACTTAAGATACTGTTTCAGGTGACTTTTGATCTGCAACAGTTAAGGTAATGTTCTTAGTCACAAACTGTATGTGTACCACAGCAATACCACAGCTGTATCTGAGTTACAGTAACACACAGAACTTCAGTGCATCATTCACAGCAACAGCTTACATGTATACATACTGCCTGCATTAAATATAGACATAGAGCCGTAAACACATACAGGTAAGCCATCTGAAATTGTTACGACATTTCATCATTGGATTGTAATATTTTCATGCATATGTCATTATAAGCAATTCAAAATCCATTGGTTTATAGGGATTTATTTTGTGTTTTGTATGCAAACTGGCAACTTATCTGGAGCTCTGATTATCCCAATATTCGTGTACTACAATGGAATGGCCTTAAGAGTCAGCAATGACATGAAGATTACATATTCATGGCATGCTACTCATGCAAATATCAAGTTTGCCGGGTCACAGAATGATGTCATCATGTTTCATTGTCCCTAAATGTGAAGTACAGAAGGTTTCATCATATCATTAACTAACATTCATTACAAATTCTCTGACATACAATTTCATAAAATGGTCATTAGCTATGAAAACTCATCTTTTGGTAAAGCTAAATCTAATATACAAAGTCTATACCGCAAGTATTTGTTTTTCGGTTCTGAAATAGCTGCATTTTGGTCAATGTCATACTTGAAATGTTTCTACTTGCTAGTAAATACCCTTACCAAGTGATCAGATATTTGAATCACTGTGGGTACCCTAATTCTCATAAAACCATACTCTTATTCTCGTAATCTGGGATTAAATTGGTGGCTGAATCATTTTACCCACAATTACATATAGACCTTAATCATTTTCCCCGAGTCATGAAATTGGTAACATGAGACTCATAACAGTGATCAAATGATCATCTTAATCCTGTACTACTGGGTCAAAATGGTACAAGAAAATTATCCTACTGGTACCTCAAAACTAAACCACTGACAAACTTATATAATAAAAAATATTGTGTTTGGTGTTAAGTAGCGTAATATATCCCCAAACCGGAAGTTTACATGCTTTGAATGCAACAGCGCATGACCGGATGCCTCAAAGTGAGTGCCACCTGTTTCCGGAGATTATGGACTGTCGAGCACAAGCACATGGCGTGCAAGGTTGTATCTGGTATTCATGAACTGAATAAAGCCAATTTAACATTGGTAGCAGAGCGTAACCAAAGAATTGGGCACAGAAAGTGAAAGTGTGCGTATTGGTAACAGAAAATGGCTACATTCTACAAAATGCCACCGAAGTTCGAAAGTCAAACGTATGACGAATGGAAGACTGAGATAGCAATATGGCGGAGAATTACCGAACTGAAACCCGAGAAGCAGGCATTAGCGGTAACATTATCATTGTCAGGTAAGGCGAGAGACAAAGCACTAGAAATTCCAGCCAACGACTTAGATAATGAAAATGGAATGGATACGCTTCTTAATTCCTTGGATGGTGCATTCTTGAAAGAAAAGAAAGAAAGTGCATATGAAGCTTATTCGAACTTTGAATATTTCAAGAAATTGGACAGTGAATATGACAGAATATATTTTGGAATTCGAACAGAGGTACAACAGGTAAAAAAAGTTTGATATGACTCTATCAGATGCAGTATTAGCATTCAAGTTATTGGACAATGCAATTTAGAAGTAAAAGAAAGACAATTAGCACTCACAGCATCTGGAGATTTGTCGTTTGCTTCCATGAAGAGTGCCATGAAAAGAATCTTTGGGGGTAGTATGAACCAGAACACAAGAACAGAAGCTATCCAAATAAAACAAGAATCTGCATATTGGACCCAACATAAGTCAGGACAGAGGAATCGAGGTTATGACAAAAAAAACTATGACAGGAACAGTTCAAGCTCGAGCAACTCACAGAATAATGCACTAGCAAGAGGTACAAACTCTATCAATAAGTTTGGAAAACGCTCCCGGTGTGCTGTCTGTCAGAGTACATAGCATTGGGTAAAAGACTGTCCAGAGAAGAAAGAATCAGTTGGCTTTACAGAAGAAATTGATTCTGACAATGTGCCTGAGAATGTTGTTCACAAAAGAACAGAACAAGACAGAGTTTGAAATTTTTGTGGTAGAATCTCAGGGGTCGGCAATTATTGATACGGAATGCACCAGAACTGTCTGTGGAAAGAAGTGGCTTGAAAGTTTCATGTCTGAAATTGACTGTCAAGATAGAGATTTGGTAAAGAAGAAACCGAACAACAAGGCATTCAAGTTCGGCGATGGAAATATTGTGTATTCTTATCAGACTCTTTCTTTGCCTGCAAGAATTGGAAAAACAACTTGTAATATTGAGACAAGTAGTTAAGGTAGACTTGCCCTTAATTCTCAGTAAGTCATCTCTAAAGAAAGCTGGAACCATTCTCGATCTGATGAATGATAGTGCAGTTATGTTTGGACAGCCTGCGGATTTAGACTTTACATCAAGTGGTCACTACTGTGTCAATATCCTAAACAGAAGAAAACAAAGAGAGCCCAGTGAAGAGATTGTAACAGAAAATGAGGTACTTAAGGTCACTGACTGTATGACAACTGAAGAAAAGAAAAAGACATTAACAAAACTTCATCGCCAGTTTGGGCATGCGTCCAGTGATAGACTAAAACAGCTGTTGAAGAGTGCAGGAAGTCAGGATGTAGAGACTTTCACCATATTAGAAGAAATCGTCCGGAAATGTGACATTTGCATGCAGCATAAAAGACCCAGTGCCAAACCAATTGTAGGGTTTCCGCTGGCGACAGAATACAACGAAACAGTGGCTGTTGACCTACATGAATTAGGACAGGGCATCTGGTACCTTCACATCATAGACGACTTCACAGGCTTCAGCGAAGGATGCATAACCAGATCGAAGGCAGCTTCAGAATTTGTTACTAATTTCATTCGATACTGGATTGGAATTCATGGGCCACCACGAAAATTGTACAGTGACATTGGAGGGGACATGGCAGAAAACTTAAATATCACTGTGATGACCACTGCTGCTTATAGCCCTTGGAGTAACGGACTATTGGAACGACACAACCAAACACTCACACAGATGTTGCTGAAAGTGAAACGGCAAAATGATTGTGACTGGGAAACTGCAATGGCTTGGGCTTTTATGGCCAAGAACTCTCTACAGAATGTTCATGGATACAGCCCATACCAGTTAGTTTTTGGGCAGAATCCCAATTTGCCATCAGTGTTATGTGATAAACCCCCAGCACTTGAAGGAAATACAATGAGCAAGATAGTTGGATCTCACATCAACGCCCTGCATTTAGCAAGAAAGGCCTTTACATAGGCAGAGTGTTCTGAAAGGATACGAAGAGCACTTCGGAAACAGATTCGAACATGTGGAGAGACAAAATATGACACAGGAGATACAGTTCATTACAAACGACTTGACCAGATGGAATGGAAAGGGCCAGGTGTCGTCATTGGCCAAGATGGAGCAGTTGTCTTTGTTAGACAAGGGGGCTCACATGTCAGAGTACATCATAGTCAACTGCAGAAAGTGCTGCCAGAGAATGTTCACGGGACAAAGCAAAATACTGACCATGAGACTGATCATAAAGAAGAGACTCTTGAACCAGAAGCCGTCGAAGCTGATGATGAAAATGAAGACTATCATGATTATGAAGAGGAAAAAGACAAACCATGTCAGAGACCAAACATTGGACATTTGATGAAATTCCGTGATGAAAGGACAGGAAATATGTGTATAACCAAAGTGTCGAGTCGAGCTGGCAAGTCAACAGGTAGAAACAAAGACTGGTACAATATTGAGTATTTGAGCCCAGATGACGTTTCAGGAGCAAGAATATCTGTTGACATTGGTAAGCTGGGTGATTTAGAGCTGGACATTTCTCATGATCATCACCAAGATGCTGACCATGGTGAAGGAGAAGAAAATGTTTGTGTTGTTGACAATGTATCCATTGATGAAGCTAAAAGGGGGGAACTACAGAATTAGAGAGAGAATAATGTGTTTGTTGAAGTTCAGGATGATGGACAGAAATATATTACAACAAGATGGATATGCACTCTGAAAGAAAGTTCCGAGAAAATAATTCCCAAAGCTCGTCTGGTTGCCAGAGGATTCGAAGAAATAGAGAAAAGAAATCTGCCAAAGGATTCCCCAACATGTTCAACAGAATCTTTACGGCTGCTATTAGCCATTATGGCACAACAGAAATGGACACCATGCTCCATAGACATTAAGACAGCATTCTTATAGGGCTCAACTTTAACCAGAGATGTTTACCTTCGACAAAAAAAGGGAAAGGAGTCCTGTGGAAACTACAGAAATGTGTGTATGGCATGGCCGATGCATCACAACAGGGTCTGTGAAGTTTTGCAGTCTAGTGGGGCAAGAATATCTAAAGTTGACCCTGCAGTGTTCTATTTCATATCAAATGGAAAACTACAAGGTGTGCTTGCTAGCCATGTGGACGATTTTGTTTGGGGCGGTACTTTAGAGTTTGAAGAAACGGTCATTGCATCAATTAGACAGTCGTTCAATGTTGGACGTGAAGAAGAGAGCACCTTCAAGTATGTCGGCATGAAACTACTCTGTGACAATGAGACTATTCTTCTACATCAACATGACTACGTGAGAAACCTAACTCGTCTGAACATAGATAAGGATAGGATGTCAAAGAAAGAAGCACTCCTGAGCACATCTGAACTTGAGATGTTCAGATCAAAGGCTGGACAGATCCTATGGATCGCACGACAGAGCAGACCGGACATAGTTTTTGACGCATGCTGTCTGGCTTCATCAATGAACAAAGCTACAGTGAAAAACATGATGGTAGCCAATAAAGTCATATGAAAACTGAAAAATGAAGATGTGACCCTGAAGTTCCAACATCTCGGACCCTGTGAATCTCTACGTTTAGTGGTGTTTAGTGATGCTTCTTTGGGCAACTTGCCTGATGGGGCGACACAAGGTGGTCATGTCGTAATGCTGCTGGGAGATGACGGCAAGTTCTCTCCTTTGTGTTGGCAATCAAAGAGAATCAGGCTGTGTTGTGCGAAGCACGTTAGCGACACTAGCGACACTTGCATTGGCAGATGGAATAGGTAACGGAATATTCCTCAGCACCCTCTATTCAGAGGTTACAACTGGTGAGACTGACGAAGCAAGACTTCCGATACAGTGTATTGTGGATAACCACTCTCTCTTCGACGCAGTCAAGTCCACAAAGTTTGTGTCTGACAAATGTCTGAGACTTGAGATAAGTGGAATCAAAAAACTCACTGTAACTAGTCAAATTACTGGTGTGCATTGGTCTCCTACCAATGATCAACTTGCAGACTGTTTCACAAAGCCTCATCGTTTCCATTATTGAAAGTGATACATGATGGAACCCTGGACCTAACGACAATAAAACATTCCTAGATACAAGTGAAAGAACTGAACTGTGTAATTGTTCTGATGATGTGCTAGCTCACACACATTGGTTGAATGCACTTTTAACATACTTTAATTTTTTTTAACCAGTTCATTTCAATTTTATTTCTACATTTTAAAATTACAACAACAACAAAATATTTAACACTTCACATGTATATATCAGTGCACAGATATGTTTTTAATTTGTGAATGCTATTACGCCAACTCGACAAGTAAATTTTTTTAATTTTTAAGGGGAGATTAAACCAGAAGTTTACATGCTCTGAATGCAACAGCACATGACCGGATGCCTTATTGTAAGCAAGCATCTCATAACATGTATTGTCAAGCTGAAGAGAAATCAACAAACAAACCAAAGTAAATATATTGAAAATACAGTTTTGAACATTCAGGCATAAATAATGATGCAAAAGTTAAGGACTTGAAACAAAACGTCTCAAAGATAAAACTATTTCACTTTGATAAACATTTGCACAGTAAAATCATCATGTACATAAAATACAAACAATTATGATTTAATTTTACTTTATTATTTCTAGTTATTTATTCTTTCCATAAGTTATAAAAATTGTTCCATTTTACACATTTTCCATGAAACAGAATGAAACCCAGGACTTGTGAACACACAAACCACCAGGCCACCCAACCACCCCTAACTACTGTTGCAAGTGCAGCTACCACTGTGTTGAGCTAGACTACAAGTTGTATGATATAATATATATATATATGACTTCATGCAGTTATGTTTCTACAACATGGTGATACTTCTCTACATCCATCACTAAACCCCAGCTCTACTTTCACTTCACAACTCCAAGTGTGTATACAGCATGTGACATATGTTAAACAGTGATTCCTGCACAAAAACAACTTAGCACTGCCTTAAGTCAGTAACAGTGTTACGTGTCTAGAGAATAGAACTTGTGTTGTTCTGAGGAAGTCCCATTTGAACTCTGCTGTAAACCTGTCACTTCCCTGTTAAAACCCTGTTATTACTAAAGTCTACTTAAAACTCGGCCCTACAGAATTTACAGTAATAACACAATCAGAAAATATGACCTCATGGTCATAAATTTTTAAATAAAGATGCTGAGTGAAAAACCATTTTGGAGAAAATGTAATCAATTACAAAAGGGTAAAGAAAATATCCATCTGAAAAATCTTGTTCAGCAAATGTCATTGCATTGTTAAGGAAAAAGGTGTCTAACTAAATAATCTGTTCTGCTTCGACTAGAGGGCTGTCATTGTTTAACAGCTGTGCTTTTACTTCCCAAATATTGTGCATACCAAAGTGCTAGGGCTGTTATATCGACAGCTGGGTAGTGTACACAGGCCCAGGTCCTGATTGTCATGGAAAACATGATACGATTCACACCTATTGCTCTCACTTATATCCATATTAAAGGAGTACTTTCACAATTTCCCCAGAGATTATTTTTTTGTCATTTTATCTACAAAGTATCCAGATAGACAAAAGACAGTCTACGTGTGTGATTATTCTGTCTAATTATTGTTTCAAATTTTGCATGTTATTATTATCAAAAAAGGGCTCGGTTCTCAACCAATAGGTTTCAATTTAATACCAACAATACCTTCTAACATCAAAACATTTGGCAGCTTAAACAATTAGAGGTTAACCTTACCACATTACCACTTATAATGAATACATCATCTTCAGTGAAACACAATTAATCTTTACTTTTCACAACCAATACATATAAATCCCAGGATTCTACTACAAACATGTGTTACTACAAAACATATATTCTTCATTCCAAACACGTACCCCATCAACTTCAGTTTCTATCAAGTATGATACTCAATTATTTCCTATTAATGACTCACAGCACGTAACCAAGTACAAATTAACATTAAGTCTAGAACATGAGTTTGAAAATTGAGCTTGCTTTTCATTATCTTTATATCTTATCCACATTTATCAGAAAACAGCCCATTAACAACCTTGAACTTTATGAATATTATGTATTTTGTATAGAATGAAGCAGGTCATTAGCAAGAAACAGAAAGGGGGCATGGTTCTGCTTACCATAGTCCATTTCTGTTTAAGATTTTAGGGTAAAAAGAAAAATATACAAATTGTGAGAAATGTGTTGGAAGTTATGTTTTTACCCCAAAACAAATCACTCATGTAATGCATCAGACCTGACGACCACTAGACAACAAAATAACATATATGCTAATAAATATATAATAGCAAATAAATATTTCAACTGTTTGCATCTATCAACTACAAAAGTAAATGTGCATACAAAACTAAAAGAAATAACAAACAATACCCTGAAAGATAGCATTAGCCTACTTCATGTTTAAGGAAAAGTTCAGACAAACACACTGAAACACAGGAATAGGTACAGAAGCTCACCTATATTACATAACCCAACAAGAGTTGGGGGATATATAAAACTAGCTGTATTTACTTCCCACCTCAATGACATTATCACCTTCTCCTGATCTCTGATTGTTTGATAGGAATAGTTTTGCCAATATTGTATTTCCTTCCAGACACAGATTATTCATTACAAACACATACTTTCATCTTATAAATTAAAGCCACATTATCATAAGAAAGCTGCACTACAATTCCCACGAATAACAAAAATTCAATACCATATAAAGTTTAAGGCATCCTATTGAACTGAGAATAAATGGTTCTCTTGACAATAATCAATAAAAAGAAAACTTGTGTTTTCCACACATTAAAGCTGTCACAATTGAACATTTACACACATATATTCCTATTTTTGGAAATGAGGTACTATAAAACTTTGCAAACGTCATCAATAATTTGTGGGGTCTCTTTGCACACATTCTGTTGACCATGACCTCCAGAAAAGTTTATTCCACAGGAAGGCAAGGGCAAAACGTCATGTCTGCCTAGTCATGTGACTGTACAATCATAAGTTTACAATTGACAGGGGTCACAACTTGTAGGAATATTTAGTAACTAATGACCTTCAATACATCAATCAAATGTCACGGGTTATTTTGCGCATCAAGTCAGGGTGTATAAAATGTTATCAATACTCTAATATGTATGTAGTATGCCTTGTATTAATATTAACTCTTTCAACACCAGTCAACCAGAGGCATTTACTGCCATGACACCGAGTTCCCAGAGACCCTGAGGTCATAGATGAAGCCTATGTTTATGAAGGAAATTATAAGCTTGTAAAACGTTATTGCTACTACATCCCATACACCATTTAAAAGATCTAATCCTACTGTTGATAAATATGAAGTTTATTTTTATAATATTATTCAAATAATACAACTACAACTTAAATAAATGTATTTTTGAATGAAAATGCAAGCTTACATTTATAACATCCAGATAAACCACGAAAGAAGCAAAAACTATGGCGATTTTTTTCCATTTGTGACATGTGATAACATGCCCGTGCCTTTTTCTTTTATATTTTCATTTTTACGCCATCATCAGAAAATTATTATAAAAATTTTTCTAAATAATATGTATGGTCGCCTATTTCCCAATATCTGTGGCTTTCCGCCGGGTAACATGACATAACAACGGAAAATACCTCCGCTGCTTTCGTGGTGCATAACATGCGAGGCTTAATCGCTTTGATGTCGGGCATCGCTCGAAAAGCTCTGAACATCAACAATATCACTGTACCCTTGCCAAGAGTATTTTCACAGTTGTAAGAAGCGATTTTATTGGATAAAGATCGGTTTCTAATGACGCTTTTCGCCACAGTCTGCTATAAAGGGTCGGATTGGTCAAAATCAGACACGGACCTGAGGCAGCCAATCATATTACGGCAATGGATACCGCCCTCGTGAAACTAAAACCTTCAGATTTAGACAAAAGTTTTGGGTAAAATAATGCTATTCTGAACATATTAAGCAAGAAATCGCTACCTGTACGTAAATTATGGAACTTATTGGACGTATCGTGCTAGGTTATGACCTGTGACAAAAAGGCTTCATGTATATATTTTCGCATTAAACATCGTGTCCCAGCGTGAAGATTGAGGCGGCGAGAGCCGAGATGTCACTCGTCAGTGACTTGACTTGCATTACATGATCGCACAAAAAGATGGAAATAGTAATTTTATATGTACGCTTGACAACTTTTATGAATGCTGTTGTTGATTTTATTCATTAGTTTATTCAATTTATTTAATGAATTCCTCAAACATCGTTATTTTGCTCTTTGACAATGTTATTGTAGACCCGCCGTCAAGCATGTGTCCGAGAATCGTTGTTTTCAATAACATTGCGAAAAATAGTTTATAATTTTAATTCTGCTGATAATATATGATAAATTGAAATTTAATAAGTGTTTTCAGACATTGTAAAATGTGATAGATTTAATATATGAATCATCAAGTCAGGTAGGTTCCCTAAAATTATGTCTCATTTGTTTTGATTTTGCAGCAAGAAAAATTTCCCTTGGGGCAAGTGCCTTAGGGTAAGGTATCTGGCTTATTAATTTTCGGACAGTGAGTAAGTGAGTGAGAAGGAGTATGGTTTTACACAGCTTTTAGTCAATGGGGACTCATTCACATTTTGAACCCACGCCCAGGTCTTTGGCATGACAAGTAAATGCTTTAATTACATGGCCACCCCATTTCCCTGCCCTTTGCACTTATTAACAAGATGGCCATTACCTGTATTTGTATAAATTAAGTATAATTGTCAACTGTACCTCCCTCTATCATTTTTTGAAAGAGTTGTAAAACAGGTGTCAATATTGCCATGGCTACTGTTGATATCTGGGACAATGAGCAACCTAATCAGAAGGGCTGCGCAATATAACCGGTTTACCTGTATTTACCGGCTAGACATGAAAACGATACGCATTGCGATACGCTGATCGAAAACCGGTATTTTGACATGTATTTTGATATTTCCGTTTTTTCAATTGTTCTTTTCCCTGTTACATTAGTGCCAAATGTTACTTACATTTTTATTTTGTCATGATTAAATTTTTTTTATAAAAGGTTAATCAATCATAGTGATTTTGTTGTGTTTTTGCTTTATAATCAAGCATTAACTCGATTATAAGTAGTTTTTGTTAAAAAAATAATCCTTGCAATATATTGCAATACATATCGCAATATATGCTTCCGCATCGCAATATATCGCAATATGAAAATTCTCTGCAATACCCACCCCTACTAATCAGTGATCATTTGATTGATTCTTTGTTTTTTACTTTTAGTAACAACCTGGAGCTTGATACACTCAGCCACACCAGCTGATGAACTGTGCATACAGTCAGTGTCCGTCACAACTTTTGGCCTATAGCCACCAAATGATATTTTCTGAGGAAATTGTGTAAAGCCCATGACCAATGTCCCTTGTTGCCATACTGCTGGTTGGAATATTGCTAAAAATAGTGTAAAACCTCCCGCACTCACTCACTTTCACTAATATATAGGTGAGGAAGAAGATTTTGAAAACCTCTTTAAAAGAAAAGATTGCTTACTTAAGATACTATACTAAGATATATATGGACATACTACCAGCATATATGAAGATATTTTGTGGGCAGGTAAGTTTTGGTCAGGGCTGGCAAGTTTTACATCTAACCAGCCCTGTGGTCTGGCTGAAATTTTTGGGAGTTTCATACCCTGATACTACACAATTATACATAAACTTGGCAGCTCGACATACCAGTGATGTTTAAGGCAATGGGGATTATGGCTACAGACATCTGTAACAGTCATATAAATGTGATGTGTTACATGTTACTTCATGTGCCTGACAAGGATGTACCTTCCCTTGCTTAAACACAGAAGAAGGCTGTGGTTGGTGACATCCCTATTTAGCACATAGTTCATGGCAGGAACTGAATCGTGACTAAAAGGAAAATGGTGTGTGAATTATGAGTGACTATTAGGATTTACTTCCTTTTTTTAAATGATTATTGGGACTTTCGCTGTAACTTTCATTTCCACAACATAATCAAGCTATACATTTTACTTGGATTCCTGTCTACTATAATACAGTCAGGCCGCGGTAATCCGGTCCGTGTTCGTATTAACGAGGTCTGACTGTATATAGAGAGAATACTAAACAATGTCCTGTGTAATACCGTATTTGTGAAACGAGTGAACGCTTTCGCTCGTTAGATACCAATACCATTCACGAGTTTCATAAATATGGTATACACGAAACATAGTTTAGTATTTTATTTTTAAATCACCCAACATCAGCAAAATAATATCGAGCAAAGTACTTCTTTCCTACGAATTCGACGAGTGTGATGACTCTTTGGCAAGGGCTAATACTATTGTGACAGAGGTATTAGCATTGTGACATCATAACCGTAAACCACTTTGACGTCTTACGTACGGCCTCGCGCGATGTTATTACACAATGTGTAATAACATTGTAAAATTATTAATCAGTGATATCTTCAATGGGTGAGTAATATATAGCAAGCTGCACTGTGCACAAATTACATTACTCTCACCACTGATCTCAGTCTATGTTTATGTAATATTATGTGGAAGAATTTAGTCAAAATGAGACAGCTGCTTCGATTCTTCCGTTTCTGACTACACCTGAAAGATTTGGTAGTTGATTTCAGTACAATAACAGCAAAGCACTCACATGTACAAAAGCATGGCTCTAACGTTGACGTAAGAACTGACTTTAATGTTTTTGGCATTTATGGTATAAATATGGAAGCTGCTATACATTTATTAATTAGTCAGCAATAACAACAGAATGCCTATTCAATCACTAATACAAAAATTGCAGACGATACAAGATACCAGTAAGTGACATTTGTCAAGAAATGAATGCAAAACATGCCCTGTTAACTCTATTATTAGGAAACAGATAGGTTTGTTTGTTTGTTGTTTAACGCTGCACTCAGCTATATTACAGCTGTATGACTGTAACTAATCGAGTCCGGACCAGACAATCCAGGGATCAATAGCATCAATATACGCAACTGGGATACAATGACATGTGTCAACCAAGTCAGCAAGCCTGACCACCCGGTCCCGTTAGCCGCCTCTTACAACAAGCATGGGTTACTGAAAACTACTTCTAACTCTGACCTTAACGGGTCAAGGAAACAGAAGTCTGCAAGAGGGCTTGTTGTCTTTCGGTTTATGAAAATACAAATGCAACAGAAAAGTGCCATGGAATTTATTTTAAATGTCTTTTTAAATGTCTTCCATTTAGTGGACTCCCTCACTAAGACCATACAACTGCAAAATTGGTATCAAATGGACTGTTTTATTATCTAAAATAATAAAAGCTTACTTCACTGTAAATTTACCTTGAAAAAAATATAATACTAAATACACATTTAATTAGAATTATTAATCTCATTGGAGTGTGGGGAAAGTGGACAACTGATAAATCTGCAAGACATAAGCTCAGATTGACCAGGTCAAATGAGCTAAAACAAGTGTTCTGGTTGTGGTATTGACAAAGGCAATGTATATAGACACAGTAACATCAGTGTTCTCACTGTAATACTCACCCATAGCTATCCTGTACGGCAGCTCACCAGCACAATCGTTCGGAACCAACGGCGCACACTTACGATGACAGTTGAACTTGCAATCTAAAATGAAAAACACTTACTTAAATGATATATTAGACAGAAACTACTGTGATATAGGAAAGGGAAAATTATAAGGCAGTGAAGTTTATTAACCTTCAAGGTTTGAGTATAGCTGTGACATCACTCTTCTGAAAGCTTGATTTGCTGTGAAATGATATTCTAATTCTTGAAATGGAGCATTGTCCTGTCAAGATGCAATTTCATAGTTTCTATTTCAGTGGTCAAATAGTTTACACCAAAACCCATTGAAACAAATTCAAGATGTCTGCCTGAAGATCAGCAGTATTCAATTACAAAATCATTAAGAGATGATGAGATTTCAGTTCCATTACCAACAAGAAATGGTTGCAAATTATTGATTTTTAAACACTCTGAAATTGAAAACACTTAAACAAAATGTCCACAGAAAAGCCTTAAGTAACAGTCCTATTAACAAATAATACTAATCTCTGGAAGCATTCACTCTGTAGTTAAATAATAAATGTTGAAATGTTCTTAGGCAAGATAAAAAATATAAAAGACATGCAGACAAATGGGCAAGCATTAAAAGTTACTTGAAACTATTTCAGTAAAATTTCTCCTTCAAACCAGATCTAGGATTAAAGTAATATATCATTCAGTGCACACCAATCATACATGACTACTTTGACAAAAGTTGCCTTAAGAAACAACAGCAGCTTCACTCTTCAGAATCATAAGGATGTCTGCTCTCTGTGATCAATGAAGCCAAGTTGTAAATGTCAAGTTAGTTCAGTGCGACTATAACCTTTACATCAACAAAAATAGTGTAAAATAGGCCAGTGTGAGGAAAACAGCTTGACATAATTAAAGACTACCAGAGACAGGTCAGTTGCTTTGTTGAAAATTAGAAGTTACATAATGCATTTCCATTTTCTTTCTTTGTCAACCTTATTCTAAGAAGACGGTACCCTAGTCACTTTGGTGCCAAATGTACTGAACTAATTACAAGCCTCTGTAATTGATGAGGTAGGCTATCGACTTCCACTGCCACTGGCTTATGCTCTTGTCTAGGGTTCAAAGATGATATGTAAGAAGCATGTCATAGAGGGAAATATCAAAAGAATCATGTCTCTTTGTGGGTGAAATGTGTGAGGCAATTTGTTATATCTAATTGCAATTGGTGTGTTAGCTTGAACAGGATCTTCATAAACAATCTAAACTAAAGGATTATACTGATAACTCTAGTAGTATACACAATGGGGCTACGGTACCAGGTCCCCACCAAGGGCTCAATTTAAAATTGAGCCCTTGGGAAGTCCCTAATCCCGTAGCCCCATTGTGTATACTACTACTGAGGTGCATGCAAAATATGATGAAAATCGGTCGAATAGTTTCTGAAATATTGACTTTTATGTGAGCATGGGGTCGGTCGAGAAAAACGCTCGGGTCGCCTCGGGGGTGGTTGCTCCTCCGAGCGCTGTGGGCGGATGAGTCGCAGTGCGTGTGCGTGTGTCTCTCTTGGCTTAGTGTATGGCTGGTTGGCTGGTTGGCTGGCTGGCTGGCTGGCTGGCTGGCTGGCTACATTAAGCAGAAAAATAGGCATGCAAGACTGATGAAAAATCATGACGAGAAACTATCATCACACGGTGGGTGATGTGTAAGGGACTGTGTCATGAGGTACGATCATCAACTCCTCTCGGCTGTCCATCTTTCAAGTAGTACAAGTTCGGTTCACCGTCTTTGATGTCGACAAGGTCTATGTTGTACGTTTTCATGGACCATATCAGATCGGTGGCACGTTTTCTGCTGTCTCCCTCGTATTCTCCCGGCTGGTACAAGTACCTAACGCTGACCCGGTCCGGTAATGTTTTCTCTGTTTTATCGCGACGTGCTGCTGACGATGACGATTCGACAGATTTCATTTTGATGGCTTCGACGGGTCTCTTGCCCACGAGTCTGGTGACTTCATTGTTTTCCCATTCCGTGTTTCTTTTTCCGGGATCCATTAAATCCTGCGAGTATTGGTGCGAGAACAGGCGTTCGGCTAGGGTGCGATTGAATCTCTCAACAATGGCTTGGCTAAGGTGAGCTCCCCCTATACCTTGTCTCACTTGGACTTTGTGCTTGGCCAGCAGCTGCGACACAGCTCCCATGAACTCGCGTCCGGGATCGACTTGCAATACGGTAGGCCATGTCAAGCGACTGCGTTTGTATATGCGTTCAAAGGCTTTGGCGACTTTGTTCGAATGGTTCGGCTTTCTTGTAGCGACTGGCGACGTTGACGACAGTGAACGGAGAACTCGTGAACAACATGGGTAAACTGAACGAAATCGATGAGCACATCGCTCGCGAGAAAAGAAAACTCAGGATCGTGGATGACAACGAAGCCATGAAAAACATCGAGAAAAGTTTGCGCGACCTGGAAGACGAGAGACGGACCAGATTGGAAGCCGCTTCCTCCAACCGGGCAGCCCTCCTATCACAAATCAGCCGTATGCGCGAAACCATCGACTGAGTCTTGAACGAGGACACCATGTTGGCCGACAGGATCCGAATACTGTTCCAGGAACAAGGAATCACCATCGCTAAGCGTTCTCACGGCTTTGGGCTTCATCATATCGACCCCTTGTCGTATCGCTGACGGGCGGTGGTGGTACACCAAGCCCAACACCAACAAGCCAATCATCATCAGGCGACGACGTCGCCAGAGACTGGATAAAAAAACATTTGAAATCTCTCAGCGAAGCCCTGGCTAAATTGGCCGGCAAAGCCGCTGAAGCGCTGCCTGGCATCTTGGGCAGCATCGTTTCTTGGTTGTGAGGCTTCTTGTCGAAAACAGTCACGTGGCTCGGTCAAAACCTGTGGGCTTTCGTCATCGCCTTGGCATCTGGTGTACGTCGCAGCTAAGGAATTTTTAACCAAATGAGGCACAGTCCAACCGCGATCCCGCCGACCACCAGCGCCGTTTTGCGATCGACATGCCGCTGATTGTTTGCCTGCATGTGCGCGGACAGCTGCTACTGTTGTTGATGTGGTGGTGCTACTTCCAGTGTCGGTGCCACGATGCCCGTTTCGTACTGCGACACGACTCGACTCATGTTATTGACGTCCTGTTTCAAACCCAACTTTTGATCAGCGGTCGTGATGACGATTTCATTGTTATAGCCCACCACTCTGTTCACCCTCATTCGCATGTCGCGCCGAGCACGTAGTCGACTTTCGAATGGGCGTATTCCAGCGCGTTTTCATAGCATTCGATGGCACTTGGTAGATCGATCGGTCTAGCAATGGCATCCTCAACGTTAGCCACGAACTGTTTCTGCGCGTCGTAAGCCGTCCCTTCACGACTCACGATGCGTTTGCGTCTGCACGCCCAGCACAGCCCACACGTACGTTCGAATCGAATCGTTTAATCTGATGACACCGACACAAGTAAACCCTTTCGAACATTTTCCAATCATCCGCGGGTCACTGTTCAAACCTCCAAACGCGGTAATCCTTGCTGTCGTCGAAAGTCATGTAATCGTCGTTCCACTCGTTCGTCTTGACGTAATGATACGACTTGTAACCCCAATCTCTCACCAGCTGTTTGCTGGCTTCCACGAGAGATATGTTGTGAACGATGGGAATGCCCAAACCGTGGTTCGGACCTGGCAAACGCCAATCGACCGTCTTCGGATCTAGTTCAAATTCACCGCAAACGTTTTAGTACGCACGTCGATGGTATGGATTGTTTACAGCATTCCACGCCTTGTCCTGCGGAATCGAAGCGCTGATTTATTTCAGGATACGTCTGATCTGGTAGTACACGTGAAACGAGAATGCAGACTGACTCAGAGCATCACGATGAGTGTCGTTCAACGTCACACCGCAACCCGTCATCGCTCACCACACAGCGAAATTGAATTGATTCTGTCAGAACTGCATCGGGTCGTGGAACCAAGCGTGTACCGTTTTCACATTCGTGACCAAAAACCCGTAATTTTTAAACATGTCGATGAACCGAACCATGAAATGTAAACCATCCTTTGCATCGACCACAATACTCGGTTACGTGAGATAGTTAGCACTTATATTATCACTTTTAAAATAAAACACTCCCGGTTTGTACATATTTGAATTGTTAGATTTTAGTATACATATCTACTTTTTCAATATGTACGTGACGCTTCCGGGAATAACGAGCGGCGAGTCCGTTTAACTGCTGCACGCGATCGATAACATGTCCGGTCAGCTCGAAGTCGCGCTGTACCCGCGATGGACCAACATCAATGGCCAAAACAACAGGCTGTTCGTCAATAACGTCCACAACCAAATAATGCACGGTCATGTTAGCCAACAATGGAAAAAAACGACTTTATACTCTGTGCATTCATCTCGGTCAGCTGAGCACGACCGACAACGTTCAAGGCGAACGACCTTCCACACTGCTGAGAGCCGTGCCGGTGAAAACTGAAAAATATGACGGCAGAACCGAATCGTTTTCATCGCGGCATTACAAGAAATTAATCCGAGGCAACATCACGGAATTGAAAATATCGGTTTTAGACGTTAAATACAATCCCGTAAGTATAGGATATCTCAGCGCGAGGCTGCACATACGGCAATGACCGAGTCTCATGGTCCAGGAACACGCGTTAGAAAATGCGCCAACATAGTGATCTCCGACCTCAGGGACACGCGCAGATTCGACGAACCCGGAGTCGACGGCAAACTGTACGCCTTGCAACTGAAAAACAGCATTTACAAACGTGTCGAACCGACGCCCTCTACTGTAGCTGGTGGTGGTGGCAACGACCTAGGCGATTTCGTCGATACCGAAGGAGCGGTCAAAAACACGCGATACGACCTGATACGCAACGATGAGAAGAATGGACGATAACCCCAGCGTTCCGCGGCAGGCTGTTCCACCTGGACGACGTCGAGACCACGGCCATCTCCAGAAACACGCAGTACACTCTCATCTTCAACGACGACAACAAATGGGTATTAGTGCCATCCCAAATCGACTGGAATCTCAACATCACGCTCAACTCTCC